ATTTCTAATACATTCCCTAGAAGAAAGTTGTTTCTAAACGTTGTGACTTCACTTGTACATGTTTTGGGCATATCATTATGACATCTCTTAGTTATAATGCAAACTTTGCTCTGGGCAGTGCTTAAAGGGATACTCATCAAGACATCTTAACTTAGTGAAGTAGTTGTGGTGTATAGTGAATGCTCCAGCAGTCTCACTGCTCATAGGAGTTAAACTGCTTTTTCTGTGCCGTCCTAGCCCCACCTCCCCTGACTGTGATTCATAAAGCCTCCATAAAAAAATGTTTCATATTTACAGCACAGTGTGATTACATGATAAGTTTTTATTTTCTGCTCTGTGAATGTAATACTAATAATATGGGCAACCAGAGGGACACTAAAGTGTTAGGTATACACTATTGTATTCCTAACACTATAGTGTTCCTTTAACCACACTGTGCAATAAGGGAACTATAAAATTATCTTTTTCAGGAAGTGTGCAGGGAGACTGTGTGGGGGGGTCACCCTGTGAAGGTGTTGCTAGGGTTGCAATCAGTCTGCAGAGGCATGATCTGTACACCAAAACCACTTCATTAGGTTAAGGTGGATTTGATGCTTCGAGTGTCCCTTAATTACATGTATTGAGCCAGCCAGGTCAACAAGACGAAAAATCAGTGAAGGGTCACCTTAATCCACCTAAATCTTAAAACGTTTCCTCCAAACTAACAGTCAAGGGGTGAGGGATTGGTAGGTTTCTATCCATCTCTTTCAGACAAGAATTAAAATAAATTCCTAAACATGTTCTTAAATAGGAAACACAAAATATATATAAAAAATAATAATTATAACAACTTTTGTTTTGTCATGGCATGGCTGAATATCTAATATTTTTCCAACATCAAATTTTCCTCTTCTTCCAGATCCGTACACTTGGAGGGCTTATGAAATTTTTAGATCGAAGGAGGATTGGGGTTCAGTTGGAAGACACTAGCGTGGGAGTCCCTATTATGAGCCTTAGGAAATATGTCTTGTATGTTCCATATTACTGTGGAGGACAGATGCTCCTATTTATTTAGCTCTTAATTAATGTTTTCTTATCATCAATCTAACCTACATTGATTTGCTTGGTCATAGACCTCCTTTCAGAGTGGCACACTATACAGGACTGTAAAGTCCTATCTGTTAACTCAATGGCTGCAATGGACAGTCTGGGCATTTCTTATGTTTTTCCTCTGTTATTGTGTCACTATTGTAAGAGCAGTATCAGAGATCTTTATTATCTACAGAAAATTTTAGGCTTCTCTCTTTCAAAAAGCATTTATATATCAAAAATAAACCCATTGTAGTTATGTATAATATTGTAAAGATTTTACAAGAACAGTTCCCATGAGGTGACCATTCTGCCAGAATGATTTGCATTACGTGAGAACAATTATAAGAAATAAATATTTGAATGTTTTTACACCAGAACCCCCATACACAATAATGGCTATGATAGGGTTGTCTAGTAACGGGTAACTAGGGAGTAACCCTACCTTTAGCATCAAATACTCCAAACAAAAATAGAAAAAAAATACTTCCTTTAAGAAGAGCAAACGTTATAAACCCTTACCAATAAAACTTACATAAACTTTATTAGTTAAATTATTAAAAATTCAGGATAGTCGAATGGTGAGGGTTTATAACTTTTGCTTTCCTTAGAGGAAGTATATTTTTTGTTTCTGTTTGGAGTATTCAATTATAAGAAAGACTTAGATTCTATGCAAATGGTTTCCAAATTATTTCACATCTATGCAAGAATCTAAAGTGGCTGCACATTGTTAAATATGCGGAATGGATGTAATAAGGCCTACAATTAGTGGACAGGTTTAAATGACATTGGGGTAAATTACAAACCATTACTGGCAACAAAATAATTAAGTTTTCTTACAAAGTGATATCATTCAATATTCCATGAAGGATTTACCTGGCAGTAATGTAGCTCACGTCACAAAGCATTATTGTCTTAAAGCTGTGCCTAACTCATGACTTCATATTTAGGACAAGTTCAAAGGTCAAAGACAAAAAATGTGGCACTTTTGCAGTGTGTTTAATTTACATCACAGATTGAAAGTTAATTAGATATAAAGCTTTTTAACTTAAAAAGGAAGTTTTCAGTCTGCACAATCCATGTCATAGGGTATGGGAATATTTTGGGGCTTTGATGTCTTCGTCTGTGCTGTATATTTTTATATAATAATGAGTGGTGCAAAAATTATATATAATTTAATGGCACAAGTAACTATCTCACTTTCTGTGTGACCCTAGGACAGATATCGTAGACATGGATCAAGATACCTACAGGTAGAGGGAGAGAGAGTTGCCTATTATCATTTATTAACAGGATTGGCGTCTCTGCAGGATGATCTCAGCTCTTAATGAACAAGAGTCAACAATGTATTGTCTTTTATATAATTAATTTTTTTTTACAGGATTCCATTGGTCCTTGTTTGTGTTTTCTTCAATGTCTAACTCAGCATTTCAATTGTAGGTTAGCTGAAGTGATTAATATTATAGCTGTAGAACACATTAGGATTCTGAAATTCACAGCAATAGCAAATATCAAACTATTTTAGATGGGAAGGAAGTAAGCCTTAGAATGATCTGTTAATTATCAGTAGCAAACTACAATTAGCTTTCCAAAAATAGAGTTTTTTATGATGGGCTCTGAGTTTGTTTGGTCTTTCGAACTAATATGAAACAAATCCCTATTATTATTGCTGTTGTTAATTTGCTCCCTTAGTTGAATGTTTGCTGTACAGTATTACACATCACTTCTGTGTCTACTACTAACATGTGGCTGGAACAGATAAAGGAATTTATTTGTCAATAAATCTATTTCTCACTGCTTGGTGTCAACACAGAATGTCCCACCCTTCTTCTTCTCTTTGCTTTATGCACTGTACATGGGTTTTGCATTAAAAGTGATTCTGGGGCAAAGTTCTAGAATCCTAGCAGGAGAAACATTTAATCTCTAGATGTTCTGTGACTCCGTATTCTGAATTACCTCCACCTTTTGTCTTGTTGCTGCTTTCTTGGTTTGTACTGATTTGACTTTATGTAAATTGTATAGAAAGGACATTCCTAGAATATCTTCAAAAGGTGCAAGGGTCATTTATACCAGCTGAGAAGATATTTTCTATGTTCAGAATTGGCCATTAGCAGAGTGTTTTTGAAATATTCTGCATCTCATTTTTCTCTCTAGTGTTCTCCAGATATTTAAAAGTGAGGTCCATCCATCAGTGTATAAAATGTCCTCTAGTGTGAAAGAAGGACTGAGTCTTTATGGTAATATATTCATCTCATTGCTGTTTTATGCTGCTTGACTTTAATTTCTCCAAAACAAGCACTTCTATTTGTATCATGTTTTTATTGATGATATGTACAAGGCCTCTACACATATGTTCTCTTCTCAATATCGTTCACATCCAGTGTTTTGGCAGTTTCATAATTTTACTTCTGCTCTGCCAGTACGTGACTGACATTGTTTTCTTTAGAAATAAATATATCACACGGTTTTGTAGACAGGTGCAGTATAAAAAGTGAAAGTGAAGTGGAGCACTATATTAATTATATTTGTCAACGGAACACTCACATGAGGCTGAGTTTATAAGCTATCCCACACTTTATCTTCCATTGGGTCTGTTCTGATAGCCAACTCCCTTCAAGAAGTTCACTGCAAAAACCACTTCTCCAATCTTCACTAAATACTCTCTCAAAAAAAATGAAAGTTCTAACATAACATTATACCGTAATAAATCACAAAATAGAGAAGAAATAGAAGAGTGTGTACCAAGTTCTCAATGACTAGATTAAAAAAATCATCTTCCACATCCATTAACAGAGACTCTGTGCTGTATAAAACACAGGAAGGATTTTATACTTCCTTTATGATACTACACTGGAAGAATTGAAAGATACATATCTGTTACAGTGTTATTTGCATGATCAGTGTTTGATAGTGTTCCGCTTAATTTTCACTTTTTTGTATTGTATTGTGTAGCAGAAGGGAAACACACAAAGTGTGGGAGCTTATATTGTGTATTTTAATAACAAAATATATATAGTGTACTTGTGAATTTATAGCGCTGAAGCACCATTTGTATTTTTGTTTGTGAGGCGCAATATTTTGAAATGTGTTGTGTTGTTAGGTCTTCTGAACTGCTGCCGATCCAAGTGGGGAGAGAACATGATGAGGTTGGTATTTTCTTTCATAAGTTAATTAATAGTTAATAGCTGTTTAATAAAGCGATGTGGAAATCTGTACATAGTTCTGAAAGTTTTCCTTACATTAAGAGGTTGGGCTTGGCACTTTTATAATCTATGATGCAATACAATATAGTTATGTCATGGGCTGTTTAGGAACTTCCATAAAACTCTTGATGGCACACTGATTTCTGGGCCATCTATTTGGACGTCAGTGATCAAGATTAAAGATGATTAAGTTTGAATAACAAAAAATGTAAAGTATAAAAGACAATTAAATTTTTAATCAATGTGAATATTAAATAAGCTGCTATACACTCTACAGTGTTATTAAAACACCATAATTAGAGCATCTAATCAAATATTGTAGCGCTTCAAAATAAAACTATTTAAAACCGAATCCAAAAGTGCTTTTTAGGCATCCAAAATGATTAATTTGATGTTACATAAAGTGCGTAATAAATCACAGTTCTGTGTCGAATAAGTGCAAAATACAGTGATTCTTAAAAGCTTTAAAAAGTGTTACATTTTACAAAATTCCTGAAGTATTGTGCAAATAAATACCTAGCAGCATTTAATTTTCATGTGAGTTGCAGTAACCTCAAAACCAGAAAGTATACATAATATAGGCAATATATCTAATAAAAGGTATTATGGTGCGTCAAAGAAAATCTCTTATGAATGCTCACTCACGTGGACTAGAGCCTATATTTCGGCTCTATGATTGCGTTAAGGGGAGACTCTACACTCTCTTTGAAACACCTTTTATACCTTGGAGTCAAAAAGCGGAAAGGAGCAATATATAGTGTAGTATTTCTATAGACACTAAAAAGGGAATTTAAGAACCACTCACGTGTTCAGGAGCCAAAATCCTGGCTCTCTTCAAGTGCAATGTGTCTCTTAATGGTGGGGGTGCCTCCTTTAAATTCTGGTAGGTGTATTCCAACTCCAGGCTGGGCACTCCAAATGTAGATGAATGAAGTTAATATTAATCTAATAATCTTAGTTAATATTAAAATAAAATTTGACAAAACTATATAAAATAAAATAAATGAACAAGTAAAAAGTCCACAGGATATGTCATCTTTGGATAAAAAAAAACCATTTCACCTTTCTCAGGCTTCCTCAGTTTGTGCAGAGTTTTTTTCAGTAAGTGCTACACTATTTGATTGGGTGATTACATTTGAGACTGCAGATTCTTGTGAGTTAAAAGCTCACTGAATAGGAGGCTCAGCAATTTGGGAAATGCAGTTTACAAATTATACAATGCAAAGGATTGCTGTCACTAATATATGTAATGCAGCCCTATCCCGTATGTAAATGTGATTCTGCCCTATACCACACACTGACATTTCCTGACCTGTAATGCTTACATAGCACCATGACACTTAGTACCAAAACCATTTTATCTATGTATTACTAAATGAAGTTATAAACTAGATTGTATAATCAGAAAACCAGGCAATTCATCTGCTGTTGTTGAACTACAAATCCTTCAATGTTTTACTAGCCTTTAGGTTGACATAGAATTATGGGAATTGCAGTTCAACACAATTTATGTGGGATTTGTGCACTAAATAGCAAATTGTCATAAATTAAAATCTGAATTGTAAAATATAGGCTAAAGTAGCCAAGCTGTGTGTACATTTGAAATATTCTCCCAAAACATCACTTTTTGCCTAAATGTTTCAGTCGGTTCTCAGTACACTACAGTTTGCTGTATTGTGAATAAACCACATGGAGCCCAAAGTGCCAAGTTCCAGCTGTGCCAAGTGTTGTGGGATGCACACAGATAGAGGTTGCCCACAGCACCAGGAAGAAACCAGCTTCTTAGTACAATATTTCCATATACATTGCTGGTGTTGCTAGTACAGTTTATTAATTATGATTACCAGAATTAGACCTTGTCATGCACACATTTTGATGGAGAAGAATCCACTTTAAACCAGCTCTGTTGAAACTGACTGTCTTGCTTACTGGTCTGACAGGATTATTCACTAAAGTATGACATTCTGAGAATTCAAAAATTGACTTTAAAATGTGTTTTCTAGTTGGCTTTTGTGGCCTAAGAAATTTGAATGACAAAACATAGTCTGAAATAAGTAAGTTTAAGACAGAGACTGAGTGGAGAATTTTTCCAAATCACCTGTGTTCGCCTAAACCTAAATCATCTGTTTGCCACTCATCATTTGTTGACATTCATTATTTTTTGCTAGCATTCAGTGTTCAGTGAGTTTAGTAAATGCTTTTAGAAGGTACATAGAACATTTATAAGGAAAAGATAAGTTCTCCCAGTTTTATAACTTACTACACCAGTTTAAATACAGATCCCGTGACTGTAATCATATGAAATGCCTGATTCATTTTTAAAACTTTATTTTTGGTATGACCACTCAATTAATAATGACGTCTCAAGGTTATATGGTTACATTTTGTCAAAGAGTTTTGATTATTAATTTTTCTGTGTAAAATACTCCTTTTCTCTTCATCTCTTTTTTTCACCTGCGTTTTCAGACTGTGGATGATGCGACCCACCCGAGATCAGGTCGAGCTGATGTCTCGTCTTGACGTGATTGAGTTTTTTGTAACCCCTCGGAACCTGGAAATTGCAGGAACCCTTCAGACCTGTATTAAGAGCATCAAAAATATTCCAGTGAGTCTGAATGCTTTTATCCACTCACTGCCTGTTGTCTTATTACTTCCTTTGCACTTACTGTATTATTATACTAAATGTTTTATAATTTGATTGAATGTCAGTCTATATTTACATTTATATATTTTTGGGAAATACATTATTTTTCTAAAGGGGTGAAAATGAAGAGATTTGCAAACAAGAAACTTAGTCTAAAACTAGCCCATGTCAGAAGTTCAGAGGTATATAAAAACAGAAATCTTGTACGGGTCGACAAAGTACTGTAGCCAGAAATTAGCCAAGTTAAACCTGTGGAACTAGAACACATCATTAAACATGCCTACAGGCGTCTAGAAACACAGGGCATTCTGCTCAGTGTTCCAGGGTGTGTGTTGGCAGTTGTCAATTTGGGTGTTCCAGAACATGCGAGTGCTTGTGTTCGGTTGGGAACTGGTGTCTCCATAGTGACCCAAACTGATTTGGCTAGAGATTACGAAGGCATGATCACATGTATAAGGCTTCCTTTTTATTACATTGATGACAACAAGAGCCATTGCTAGCTTAGCTGTGACTAGATAGTTTCATAGAATTATTTTATTTCCAAAGTCCTAACGTTCATCTTTTTTTCCAGATGATTTTAAAACGCATGACATTGTCTAATACCAAGGTATCTGACTGGCAGGCTCTCTATAAGGTACAAGCAGCTCTTTATGATGTCTTTATACAATGATAAGCATCCTGTTAACACTGCAGCCATTGAGCAGCATGCATAATGGATGTTTTTGTTCTCCAACAGCTAAACATCCATGATTTTCTTCACCTATCCCAATGTCTCTTTTATTTACCAGCTATTTCACAGCTTTATGTGAATTATTTCCTATCAATCTTCATTGTTTCTTAACTACACTCTCTCCCTACCAAGAAAGCAAGCTCTCTTTCCAAATATATGACCTTTTTTCCATCACTATGTCTCTTTGCAGACAGTGTACAATGCTGTATGTATTGGAGATACCTGCCGTTCCTTGCCTCAGACAGTGTCTCTCTTCTCCCGCATCGCTGCAGCCTTCAACAATGACTTGCATTATATTGCCAGCATTATTAGCAAAGTGGTCAGAGTCTATTTGATTTTATTTATATCTTTATTATAGTTAACTTGTAATTCCTCTTTAAGTAGTAAATTCATACCTCTCATTTATCTAGTGTAATCTCCCCTTTATGTAGTGTAGTTGTATCTCCCTGTTTTGCAGTGTAGTTTTATCTTTGTGTTATGTAGACTGATTTTCCCGACACATTGGGTGATTTACTACACTGGTGATAACAGTCTAGAGGTGGCACTATTAGATTAGCATTTCTCATGGAGACGTTGGATAGAGGACAGAATGAAAAGTGAATCAAATCAGGATTAGTTTACGGAGCCTGTGTCCTCTCTGGGGTTTATTTGCTGAGCTAGGAATTATGGATAATTGACCTGGGAATTGCAATATTAAGTTACAGTACCTGAACAGCATTTTCTAGCTCATCAATTACTTTGTTAATTATCCTCACTTTCCTGAATCTCTGTCTCTTTCCATCCTTCCAAATCCCACATAGGTAGATTTTGAGGAGAGTCTGACTGAGAAGCGATTCTGCATTAAACCGTTTGTAGACCCTGCAGTGGATGAAAGTGAGTTACCCAATGCTTTTGTTCTACATTCATACACCTTATCGTTTCAGCTGACACCTCCAAGTTTGAGAGTATGAGTGTTATGAATAAACAATGTCAGGTTTGCTTTCACATTCACACCAATTTCTAATGTATAAAACTATTACTCCACAATTTATACATTGGTGTCTTGTTTCTGACTTTTTTTGTAGTTCATCAAAATAATCCAACTTTACAATACTTTTTGTTCATTTTTCAGTTTTTAACTCCTTTTTTCCCCTTACATAAGACAGAGTAGTAATATTACTAGGACAAAACAAGGTGATTTTCAGCTCTGAAAGAATTCTCATACATTAAACAAAGAAGAATACAATGAAGGGACACGTCTACACACACTGAAATCTTGAGTGAAATTGATACTTCCATATAACACCGTATTAACATCCCCTGGCTGTCACAGCCGGGTGGGTTTCTTCATTTACTAGCATTGGATTACTGTTCAAATTATGTTCTTCCACAAGAGACAGATACAACTTCCTTATTGCATATTCCAGGATGGCTACATTTTGGCTACACAGCTGTTACTAAACAACATTTCCCATAATGCTCAGTGAGCATGAATTGAGCAAGTACTTTGCAAAATTTTCTCTGCTATCATTGACATATATCTCAACCTAGCAAGCTGCAGGCGGACTGTTGTTGTCAAACTGGCCCAGTCTGTTTATAACGTAAGACACCCACAGCCAAGATATGGATTAGTATGGAGGAGTGGTATATTATTATTATGAATTTTCAAATTACTTACATAAACACAGTAAGACTGCAAGTGACCATTAACACATGATTGTTTATCATTTCTGTGACTTATAAATGTTCATCTTTTTTTTGTAACAGAAAAGCGTCGGTTACATGGCCTGTCAGATTTTCTCACGGAGGTTGCACGCAAAGAGCTGGAGAACTTGGACCGCAAGATCCCATTTTGCTGTGTGATCTACATTCCTCTGGTGAGAGAATTGAAGCGAGAGGAAAGAATTAAACGCTATTTTAAATGTGTTATAATGTGTAGCTGTAGTTCTGATCCAGTCCCTGTATTTCAATATATTGCGCATGCCATCCTGCAGACCATTATCTGTATACGAGGAGTTGTAATTGTAGTGCACCATATACTGCAGCAGTCAAAGTCAGAGACTCAAACACATTGAAATTGTCATGGATTTGTAATGCATATGTATGTGTTAGAAAATGTCTATTACAAGTATGTAAATGCATAGATTGTGACACTTTTCTGAAGTTTGGATGTTGGATTTCCTATGGGCTGCACATGGGATCCGATAATGATTAGCATGTTTGTCATTGTAAGATGTCACCACTGCTAGTTTAGCTCAGTGGAACTACCTTATTTGTAGTTTATACTTCTATCCTGATAGCGTAGGGTGAGCCCCACCCCCCCCCTCATTCTCATGGAAACAATATGTAATCCTGGGTATATTTATATATATACATATATATATATATATATATATATATTTTACTCAATAGCTTTGCTTCAAGTTACTTATTATGCCACCCCCAATCTAATATAGAGCCTTCCGCGGCCCCACCCTAATACACTGCCCCCAATAAAATACACTGCCCTCCCTCCACTCTAATTTAATACACTGCCACCACCACTGTAATTTAATACACTGCTTCCCCTATTCACCAATCTAATACACTGCACCCCCTCCCTTCACTCTAATTTAATACACTGCTCCCCCTATTCACCAATCTAATACACTGCCCCCTCTCCCTCCACTCTAATTTAATACACTGCCTCCCATACTCACCAATCTAATACACTTCCCCCTCTCCCTCCACTCTAATTTAATACACTGCCTCCCATACTCACCAATCTAATACACTTCCCCCCTTCCCTCCACTCTAATTTAATACACATCCTCCCATACTCACCAATCTAATACACTTCCCCCCCTCCCTCCACTCTAATTTAATACACAGCCTCACCTCCCTAATACACTGCCCCACTCCAACCACTCTAATACACTACCCCTCTCCTTCTGCCCCACTTACTCGATAGACTTCCCCACCTCCTTCCCCCCAATTTAATACACTGCCCCTGTACTCTAATAGACTTCCCCACCTCACTCCCCCCAATTTAATACACTTTCCTCCCTCCATCCAATTTAATACACTGCCCTCACTTTCTCCCCCCATTCTAATACACTGCACCTCTCCTTCCCCTTAATTTAATATACTGCCCCTCTCCTTCCCTCCAATTTAATACGCTGTCAGTCTGGTCCTGGGCCGCAAAGATACTTAGTGTGGGCCACATGCTTGGTGTAGATTAAGGGTCTTGAAGTAATTTTAAATGTTTCCTAAACAATAATAAAAAAAAAAATCAGCTGGTAATAAATTTTACAATTGCTCTGTATATGGTCAGTTTCATAAAAAAATTATTAAAAAGTGACAATATTCACCCTGGAATGCATTTATAATTCTGTAAAAAGGGAAAGGACTGTCAAGCCTGTATCAGTGGTAATATAGTGACATCTTCTGGTGAACCCAGATACTGCTACTGTAAATCAAAATATCACTACAGCTTTCAATCTTTGGAACTGTTTACAAAGAAATTAAAGTGAACCTGTAAGGAAGATATTAAATGACTTGAAATCGTTCCCATATACTTTGAATATCCTATGTATCACAAAGCTACATGGTGTATTTAATGTAAAATATAAACATATATAAACTCTTTGTGTAACACCCCCCTTCGAGCCGTCCTCCGCTTCTTCTCCAGTCTGTCTGGACTCTTCTTTGATTTGCCCTGCTTGGGACCCACCCCCAAGCAGGACAAATCAAATCTCCTCAGTGATCTCGGCACTCGGCTTTGTTGCTAGCGTGCTAGTGTCGGAGTGGACTGACGTTTGGAGCACTGGCTAGGTTGCTTCTATCGCAATGGGTGGAGAGCACAAGGACCTCATGTAGGAGGTCTTTTCTACTCTCCTCTAACAGTGAAAAACTGCTAGCATGCATGCATTGAGCATGCATTGTTAATGACATGACAGGTCCCCTTCAAAGCTATACCAGTAGGGTTCATAAAATAATAGACCAACACCATTAATTAATGTTTTTGTCTTTTAAACAACATGTTTTGGTTTCTTTAGCTCATTAGTTTTATTTCCTCTTTTAGATTGGTTTCCTTCTGTCCATTCCCCGTCTCCCTTTCATGCAGGACAAAAGCGATTTTGAAATAGAAGGACTGGAGTTCATGGTAAAGATCCCAAACAGGACAAAGCTAGCTGTAGTCCCATAATAATATAATATTAGAATATCTAAGGTTTTTTATTGTGGCAGATTTGATCACAAGGTTAGATGCCATGTGAAGTGAGGTCTGCACTTTTACAGCTTTTAATGCAACATACGTGCTAAAAATTTATATTTGTAATAAATTTGAGCAAGGCATTTAGAAAGGAAAAAGGTATATTTCATTTTTTATAATTCATATCTAACTGCTAAATACTTTGATTATTGATTCTGCAGCTAATTCCACTCCTCCTCCTTTCTGCCCAGACGGGAGATGAACCAATGGCTTGATAATGTGAGAAAGAGGGGACACTGTTAATCCATAAAGCACTTCTGCAAGCTGAACGGCTTTTAGAGCGTGGTTTGTTGCTTTAATAGTGCAATCTCCAGAGAAGTGATTTTGATTATTTTGTTGTAGATCATACATTAAAGGGACACTATAGTCACCAGAACAACTATAGCTTAATTTAATTGTTCTGGTGAGAAAAGGCAGTGTTTACATTGCCTCTAGGGACACCTCCAAGAGGCCACTCCTCAGATGGATGCACTGCATGGGGACACTGAATTTTCCTCATAGAGATGCATTGATTCAATGGTGTTTGGCACCGCCCCTTGAAGATTTTAGCCAATTCCATGGGAAAGCATTGGATTGGCTGAAAATTGGCAATTCTGATGATGCCAGGGCCAGTGCCGGCGGACCCGCGAGGCGCTGGAAATAAGGTGAGTTTTAATTGTTTTTAAGGGTGCTAAGTGGGGGGCAAGCCACCTAAATTGTGGGTTTAGCACCTTTTCAGTAGCTGATTTAATGTTACAGGGTTGCTGTTTTCGATGGTGATGGTGATGGTATTTTCTTTCTCTCTTAGCCATAGTTTGTCAAGGAAAAAAGTTACCTGCGCTCTCTTCTTAATCCCTATGTATATTTAAACAAATTGAGGTCATTTAGGTACTCCAATGGCCACTGGAGGGAATGCCCGCCTGCCAACGTCAAGGCAGCCCCCCCTCGACGGGTCCTACTCTGACCCTTCACCTTGCTTACTTAAGTTTCTGGCAAAGATATCTCTAATGAGACAGAAAGGCATATTTTTTTATATACACCCCTACATACTTATTAACCCTTAATAAGGAACACATGGGATGGGCGGCAGCATTGTAACCTAGCTGTGTAATACAAAAAGTGAATGCAAATACAAAAGTCCTGCGCTCACTCCCATCACTCCTGGGCGGCACCAACGACCACAGTACACATCAGCTCCAATACATATAATAAAAACCAAAGGGAAAAAGTTACCTGCGCTCTCTCCTTAATCCTATGTACATTTAAACAAATGGAGGTCATTTAGTTACTCCAATGGCCATTGGAGGGAATGCCCGCCTTCCAACGTCAAGGCAGACCCCTCGACGGGTCCTACTCTGACCCTTCACCTTGCTTCCTTGAGCCGGTGGCAAAGATATCTCTAATGAGACATAGTTTGTCAAGAACTGGTAAATTACAACTAGAGGAAGAACATAGGAAAGAAACTAAGTTATTTTGGCTCCTCACCCTGACTCTAACCCCAGCGCAGTTTCAGATTAAACGTTTATACTGTGTGTTATATGACCATCTTCTTTGTGCTTTCTAGTTCTTGTCAGAGGATAGACTCCACTACAGAAGTGCTCGTACCCGGGAGTTGGATTCATTACTGGGGGACCTTCACTGTGACATTAGAGGTTAGTAAAGTAACAGGGAACATTCATTTTTGTATTTTAAATTGTGAGGGAAGAAAGGGGTAAATTTGATCTGAGCAGTCATTCATTGAGAATGCGAGTCTTTGTGAAAGATTGTAATAAGTCACCTAACAAGACAGAAGTGGAATAGGAGGAAGGGGTGGTCAATGCCAGGTATTTGGAGATCTGCTGTCTCAAACAGTTCATGATCAACACATGGTGCTGCAGATATCTACTCTAATTGGAACAGAGAGAACTAAAATGCACATAGTCGGCAGACTAGCATACATAATACGCATCAGGTTGATATAAGTGCAGAAATAAATGTTTCCTCCACAAAGCAAAACAAGTTAATCTACTTCTCCCCAACAGACCACGAGACCATGATTATGCATCAGATGCAGACATTGATATTGGAAAAGTCAGCTGTTCTATATGATGTGATTGAGTATGTTGGCCAGTTGGATGCTCTCCTTGCCTTGGCAGTATCTGCCCGCGAGAATGGATTTGTACGTCCCCACTATGTTCCATCTAACACCATTTACATCAAGGAAGGGAGGTGAGGCTCAAGAACAGTTTGTACACTTTTCTTAAATCACTAATACTACCGCTCTGTTAAAAAACCTGACGGCCCAATATTTGCAGAAACCAGGAAACGCATCTGAACGTGTCCAGCCCGTTTTTTATTTAAAATCTTCATACTTTCGGGACCATGTCTCCTCTCTGTTTTTTTTTTTTTTTTTTATTTAAGTTCCAGATTCTGCCTAAATGTATTTTCCTAGTGACATGTAGAGGTTAGTGAGTATAAAGATGTAACCTTTTTCCCATATGCATTCACTGGCCCCTGGGGTGTTTATGGATCCATAGATTCACCATCACTGTACTAACACTTTATTTTGTTATATTATCTTGTATTAAACACTATATTTTAATGTATCAGCTAATGATAAACAGTATATTTTATTGTAATTAGCCCATGATATTAAATTGTATCAGCCCTAGAGGTGTGAGATGATTTCCCCTGTACCATGGTCTAGATTTACTCTCTGTGTGTTCATGTATTGTATGTCTTCATTCTTCCACAGACACCCCCTCATGGTATATTGCTCTGGAACATTTGTCCCAAATTCAACCCAGACAGAAGAAATGGAGAAACGTATAAAAATCCTGACGGGACCCAACTCTTGTGGGAAAAGTGTATATATGAAACAGGTGACAGGCAGAGAAGAATATACAGATGGACTGAATGAAGGGGATAAAATACAAAGGAGAGAATGGTAAAGACAGGCTGTGACACAGGAGGGGTGCAGAGAGTTTAATTGGGTACTATCAACAGACAGAGCATTGTAGAAGTGAGAGAAATCAGGAGACTGACAAGAAGCGGTAATAGAGCTAGAGATATAGATCCAAGGGAAAAAGTAAGACAGAAACATTAACCATATTTTATTCTTTTTCTTAATATCTGTTTTTATTTCATACTTTAATACTTTTGTTTCAGCCAATCTCTGTTCATTCCATCTCCCTCTTTCCTTTTCACCATTACTCCTGCAATGCATTTTACAGTTTGGGTTATTCACCTGGTCAGTAAACGTGGAGAACTGAGAAGGGATTAGGGGTTTAATGCCCAAATAGCTGAACTAGAAAATAGCTAACTTGGGGAAAAAATTCACAATTTTAGCCTGAAATGTGCCCCATGTCACTTCTTCACTATTTTCAGTTTAGTTGATACCTCTGCATTTATTGTTTCCTCTCATTATCCATTCTCATTTTCATCATTCCATTCTGCAGTTTTATCCTGTATTCCCTTGTCCCTGTCTGTTCCTTTCGTATCTGATCAGCTCCTTTGTTTTCCCCCATTTCTCACTGTTTTTCACCCCCTCCATACTGCCAGGTTGGTCTCATTGTCTTCATGTCTATGATTGGAAGTTATGTTCCTGCTTCAGTTGCAGAGATTGGACCAATCGATGGCATCTTCACTCGAATCCAAAGCAGGGAATCTGTATCTCTTGGCCTTTCTACCTTCATGATTGACTTAAACCAGGTGAGCAAATCCTTAAAATGCAAAGCACGGTTAAATCCATTCATTACCAGTGCAGCGGGTAATCAGTTCTACAAACACATTGGGTCACTGCAGTGTTTTTAAACCTGCTCCAGTTATGCTGGCATTGAGTTCTCTTTGTTTTTATGTTAATCTAGGTGGCAAGAGCAGTGAATAATGCAACAAAGAAGTCACTGGTGTTAATTGATGAATTTGGTAAAGGAACCAATACAGTAAGCATTGTCAATGTGTTTTATTACTGCAAATCATTTTAGTATTTGTCGCAGTGTGGAAGGCAATAGATCTGCACATCATTTCACTTTATCTCACCTTGTAAAACTAATGACAGACACAAAACTGTCTCCTGTTTCTGTCCCTCCCACACGCTAGGGACAGGTACGTTAAGTACTTTTCTGCCCATGTCGACCTGCACAGCAGGTGTGGGTACAGCTTTGTCAGTGTCAATTCTCAGGGATAGTAGAAGGGACATATAGCACTATCTGTCACAATTTGCATGGGCAGGCATCATTTAACAAGGTATGTTGATCTCTCTTCTTTTCCAGGTGGATGGCCTCTCACTCTTAGCTGCTGTTCTTAGGCACTGGATCAATAAGGGACTTGACTGTCCACACATTTTCTTGTCTACAAATTTCCACAGCCTAATACAACTCAAAATACTTCCAGACAGTCCCCTGCTACATTATCAGGTCAGATCACACAGCACAGGTGGTTCATATTATCAGGTCAGATCACACAGCACAGGTGGTTCACATTATCAGGTCAGATCACACAGCACAGGTGGTTCATATTATCAGGTCAGATCACACAGCACAGGTGGTTCATATTATCAGGTCAGATCGCACAGCACAGGTGGTTCATATTATCAGGTCAGATCACACAGCACAGGTGGTTCATATTATCAGGTCAGATCACACAGCACATGTGGTTCATATTATCAGGTTAGATCACACCGCAGATGTGGTTCACATTATCAGGTCAGATCACACAGCACAGGTGGTTCACATTATCAGGTCAGATCACACAGCACAGGTGGTTCACATTATCAGGTCAGATCACACAGCACAGGTGGTTCACATTATCAGGTCAGATCACACAGCACAGGTGGTTCATATTATCAGGTCAGATCACACAGCATAGGTGGTTCATCATCACATTAGGCAAGAGGTGTGATAGTCCCACACAGAGATTACTGTCACAATTCCAGTGAAATAGTTATATGAATGGAATCTCTTTCTGGCCTGTAGACCCTTGAGTGGTGCCTGGATGGAGAGGAATTGATCTTTTTCTACCAGATGAAAGATGGGATATCAGAAGCAAGTCAAGCAGCCAGAGTGGCAGCCAAGGCTGGTTTACCCTCTGAGATAATCAAACGAGGAGTAGAGGTGAGAAACACCTGTTTACAAGGACCCAGGAAATCTCTCTCTCTGCCATGTTCCCTCGTGTTAAAGCGAGCACACCAAAGGCTTCCATTGAGATTGAATATATACACAAAAGATGTGGAAAAGGTGGCGCTATACAGTTGATAAAATATTTGAATAGATTACAGCTGCTATATATACTCCGTGGATACTCCTTTTAACCCACCACACATAGAAAAACACCCAAAAACAGACAGAGGAGCTTCGGATTTAGTTGATATATTTTACCACTTAAATCCTCAGCTTCTCTCGAGTGTAGCGCTAAGTATAAATGTATACAGTGGGTATTATCAGTGAAAAAAGTGCTACAAAGGCACTTACCCTCTATGTGAAGCTTATGCTGTCTTTATATTATATAGAGAGAAACAGAAAACAGAAAAAAACACAAATAATGGTTTTTACCTTGTTCGTGCCTATCTGTAGTTTGGACTGGTGTGAATTTTGTGTATCTTGATTGTGGTATAGGAAATCTTAAGTGAGGTCTCTCTGGTAGTATAGAGTGTAACATTGGGTCATTTCTTAGCATAGGCCAATGTTTATTAATTATCCTTTTTATTTTATGACTTTCCTGATTGAAATTGCAAATAAATGGCAAAATGTTATGTTCATTTTTCACTTTGGGTTTATATTTTAGGAGAGAAGGTCTTTCCATATTTTGTACTTCTTTTATAGTGTTTAAGAGTTAATATTCCTCATATCCTTTTTCAATAAATTGATTCTTGTGGCGAAACCGGCCTCGCCACGTGTCCTTGGAGGGGGGCTGCTTGCCCGCCTCTTGCCTTTGGACTATGGACCAGACTTTATTTGAATGTGTTAACCCAGATAGCTATGCCATGGAGCCCATTCGTGTAGTTAAAGACTTTGGCTCCATGGCACTTGAACTGTGTGAATAGGATCTGAGCGCTATTCGGTAGTTTTGTGCGCTCAGATCCCAGCTATCTGGGGATATGTGAAATGTCTGTGTCTTATGTGTAAAAGGTGACTTTATGTATTTTAAAGTGTTTTGTGTCTTTTTGCAACCATGTGCTTAATGGAGTCTTGTGTCTGTCCTGGGAGATAATTGAATTACTCTCCAGGATAGAAGACTCTGAAACTGGTTTGGGCCAGAAAGCCATGCTTCATTTAGTCACAAAGGACTTTCCCTTAACTTTTGAACCCCTGGTCTGATTCGTGCCATTTTTTAATATGTTGTTCCCCTGAATGGATTGATTATGAAAATATATGTTTTATGTTTGTGACATGTATATTTTAGAAGTTATAAATATTGTGTAAAAACTGTATTCCTCTGCCGGTGATAATGAGATTACCCATTGTGTTCAGTAATCATATCACCTGCAGAGGGGAGGATTTTGTGTGGGAGTGTCTGGGTGTATTGTACAGATTGATTGGTTGTTTTGTAACGCCCTGTGGGCTGTACTATGTTTGTGGATTGGGAATAAAAGAGACTGTATGTGACAGTACAGGGAGTTCCTGTTTTAACCCTCAAAGTGAAGTGTCGTCTCATTATTGGGGAAGGATTCATTGTATGCTGTTCCAGTTTGACTGCTAGGAGAGTAAACCTATTCGTATGGTTCCTATTCAACTGTCTACAGCATTCATATGCTTGGGAGAATTTATTTGTTTCTCCGGTTCAGTGATTGTGGTGTCTGCCAGAGTGCTTGGAGTCCTCAGGAAGCGCTAGGAGCATCCTTCAACGGAGGTACTCAGTCGGGGTGCCAGGCGATCCGTTACAATTCTTAATTTTGATAGCTTGGGTTTCAAAAGTGCTTTAAGCAGTGCAATTTCTCTGCATCCTCATTTGGAATGTTTCTTAGCCAAGGGGAAAAATGGCAGCTATTTAGGAAAATGTAGTTATTTACATCTACTGGTTTAAAAAAAGTCGTTGTCTTAATTTTGTTATCTTCTATAAAAATTGTAAGGTCTAACATGTTCACACTTTTTGTGTTGTATTCCATAGTTAGTTTAACCCCCCAGTCATTTGTATCCAAAAATGTTAAAAACGTCTTAAGAAGAGCTTCTGGACCATTCCAAATAAAAAATATGTCATCTATGTACCGCTTATAGGAGACCAGGTTTGCTCTCCAATCTATGTTGTTGTTGATATGTTCTTCTTCCCAAAATGCCATGAATAAATTGGCATAGCTTGGTGCAAACCTGGTCCCCATAGCGGTACCTACTTTTTGTAAGAAAAATTCATTATTGAACCAGAAATAGTTGTTTCTTAAAATGAGATCTATTCCCTCTATTATAAAATCAATTTGTTCTTCTGGATACAAATTGTCCTTCTTCAGAAAAAAATGTATTGCCTCTATCCCTTTAGTGTGTGAGATGATTGTGTAGAGGGAGCTAACATCCACAGTTACTAGGATGTAATGTGGTTCCCATTGTATATCCTGTAGTGTCTGAATGATGTTCAGTGTGTCCTTAAGGTAATTACCAGATTTTACTAATTACATGACGTAAAGTCATGATTTTATAAAGGACACGGAGGCGAATATTATGCTTATCTCTTTCTTTATTATACCTCAGCAGCAAAGAGAAGGTATAAACATTCATAGAAAAAAAGTTTTAACAGGTTCTCCAAGGGTTAACCCAACATCATACCCTTAACCAATAGGAACAGTCCCTCTATCTATAATTATTCATGTGACCTTTCCACTTCCTCTTTCTTTGGTCATGCCGAAGCTGTATCATTATAACTTGAGGAGACACTGGAACACTTCATCCGTTGTGTCGAACTTTCCCATATCCCGAACTTGTAATAACTTGTCTGCGTAAACTGCGGTGACAACTGGTCATCCAGGGTGTCGCGTATTGCGAATTAAACTGTAATGGGATGGAGAAAAAATATGGTAAAATGTGGTCTGAGGAACTGTTTGCCACAACGTTAGTGACGAATCTTAGCATATGCCTGATGTACTACAGACTCACTAGTACAGTTGTCTTAAAGAAAAACGAATTAAATCGAGACGATATAAGACACAACAATGACCCTTATTTTATTGTTTATTGGGTGGGCATGTCACTCTACTTCCGCTGATATATGCCTGATATACTTACCGGGTGGGCCAATATTCGCCTCCGTGTCCTTTATAAAATCATGACTTTACGTCATGTAATTAGTAAAATCTGGTAATTTTATTAAAGGACACGGAGGCTCATATTATGCTAGTTCAAAGCTGTGCAATGACTCTTGATGCTATGTGGTCTGTAGGGTGAAAATAATATTCCTTAAAGGTGGATTCATGAGACCAATCTGCCGTCCGTAACAAATCTTCCAGTCTGCATCCCAAGTTGAATACTTTAGATGCCATAGCTCCTCTAGTGGAGTGTGCCCCATATACCGAAGTATCTATGTTTGCAGAGGCCATTATCCACTTCACCCATCGGGCTATCGTTATGGAAGATACTGGCTGGTGTGGTGACTTGACGGCCAGAAATAGTTCAGGTTGTCCAGAGTTTCGAAATGCTTGTGTCCGTGTTTCGTATTCCTTGAGGCAGGCAATCGGGCACAGGTTTTTGTTGTGCGGGAATGCTGGATATGACACTGATGTTGTCGCTGATTTTGTATGTCTGGAAATGTTGAAAGTTACTCCCGTTGGAGTGAACGTGCGTGCGTCGACGTCCAAAGCCCGGACATCCGAGACTCTTTTGCAGGATATTAAGCATAAGAGCATGGCCAGTTTCGCTGAAAGTTGTTTCAATGTGAGGTCAGAGTTCTGTGGCCATAGTTCCAAAAGATTTAAGACCACATTCACGTCCCATACTGTACTATATCGGGGTCGCGGTGGTCTTGCCAATCGAATACCGCGTAAGAGCTTGCATACCAACAGATGCTTGCCTGCTGGAAATCCTTCTATACCCTTGTGTCCCGCCGAGATCGCTGACCTGTATACATTGATGGTCCGGTATGCAAGTCCTCGGTCGTATAGGTGTGTAATGAAACACAACAGGTGGTTTACAGGGGCACATACGGGATCCACGTGTTGTTCCATGCACCAACCTCTCCAGATGTTCCAAGCTTTAGAGTAGGATCGTCGTGTACCCGGAGCCCAGGCTCCCGCCAGGAGTTCGAGAGTTGTTTGCGGAACGTTTGGCACGACCCAGGGACCCCGGAAAGGAGCCACGCTAACAACCTGAATTGTCCTTGCGCCATCAGAGGGTGTGGGTTCCCATCTGGGTCTGAGAGGAGATGTGGGTCCTCGGGCAGCATTCTGGGGAGATCTATGGACATTCCCATGAGTAAAGGGAACCAAGGCTGTGCAGTCCAGAATGGAGCTATGAGGACTAGGGACGTCCGTGTGCGGTTGAGGTGCACTAGAGTTCATGCCAGTAGGGCGAACGGTGGGAACGCGTATAATCGTTTGTTCGGCCATGGTTGTAGGAATGCGTCCGTAGCCAACGCGTCTGGGTCCGGTCTCCAGCTGAAGAATTCCGGGAGTTGTGTATTCAACCGTGACGCAAACAGGTCTATATACATCGGACCCCATAGAGTGTGCAATCGTAGGAACGTCTCTCGGTTCAGGCGCCAATCGCTGGTATCCCGCAGATGTCTGGAGTTCCAATCTGCTACGGTGTTCGAAAGTCCCGGGATGTATTCGGCTCGTACTGTGATGCTGCGTTCTAAGCAAAACTGCCAAAATTCTGTGGCTAAGTCTGCTAAAATTTTGGACTTGGTGCCGCCGAGGCGGTTGATGTACTGGACGGCTGAGACGTTGTCCATTCTCAGGACGATGGAGCAATGCGTTGCGGGACCCAGGAGGCTCTTCAGTGCGAACGAACCCGCCATTAATTCCAGGCAGTTGATATGTAGTGTCCTTTCTGCTTGGGACCATTTTCCGCCCGTGGAGGTATGTCCACAGCGCGCTCCCCAGCCCCGTGTGCTGGCATCTGATTCTATTACGCAATCTGGGTTGTTGCCGAAGATTGCTCTGCCGTTCCATGCTTCCATGTGCTGCAGCCACCACCTGAGTTCCTCCTTGGCTGTGTGATCGAGTGGCACAGAGTCTGAGTAGGAGTGTCCTGAGCGCAGTTGTGCGGCTTTTAGTCGCTGTAGGGCCCTGTAGTGTAAAGGCCCCGGGAAGATCGCTTGTATGGAAGCGGAAAGGAGTCCAATTATCCTGGCTAGTTGCCTGACCGTAAGTGTTGGTCAAGCCAATGTTCTGCGGATCTCCTTCTTGATGATTTTCATCCTTGTGGGTGGCAGGCTTAGGGTCCCTAAGACCGCCCCTATTTCGAACCCTAGGAATTCTAAGGACTGGGAGGGGGTTAGTACCGACTTCTCCCAATTGATTAGGAATCCCAGGTTCTGTAGTAAAGTTACTGTCCAATCTAAGTGTTGTTGTAGCAGTAGGGTGTCTTGGGCCATGATCAGCATGTCGTCCAGATATATGATCATGCGGACGCCCCTGCTGCGCAGCAGCGCAACCACTGGCTTCAGCAGTTTTGTAAAGCACCATGGTGCTGACGATAGGCCAAACGGAAGGCACTGAAACCTCCAGGTCTGGGAGTCCCAACTGAATTGTAGGAGATGCTGACACTCCTTTGCAATGGGGATGGTGAGATATGCATCTTGGAGGTCTAATTTGACCATCCAATCCCCCAGCCTGAGAAGATCTCGCAGGCAATGAATCCCTTCCATTTTGAAGTGATGATATCGTACAAATGTATTGAGTGGGCGTAGGTTGATCACTGGTCTTACCCCACCGCCTTTCTTGGGGACCAGGAACAGATTGCTCACGAACCCTGGGGAGTGGGGCGCGACCTGATAGATCGCACCTTTCTCCGCCAGTGCTATGATTTCTTTCGACACCAGTTCCCTGTCCTGAGGGGCGAACACCATCCGCCGTGGCATTGCGGATTGGATTGGGTGTGTGACGAATTCTATATGGTACCCCGCTACTGTATCGAGAATCCAGGCATCGGACGTGAGTCTGTGCCATGCCCCGATAAATTTTGAAAGTCTGCCCCCTACGTGTGAGGTATGAGAGAGGGGAAATGGAAAAGCACTTACCATAAGGTCGTCGGCCGTATGTGGCACCCCTGTGACCTCTGGGCTGCCATGATCTGCCCCTGACCGGGAAGAAAGGTGCGGGGGTTCTGGTCTCCGTCTGTGGGACTCTTGGTGTCGTGGGGCCCCGGTAGCCCCGGTGGGAGCTCCGTGATGGGCGGCTGGACAGGCGGCCCCTGTACCTGCCAGCCCCTCCAAAAACCTTCGGGGAGAACACCCGTTTTAGGTTTGTTTGTGCCTTATCCAGGGCTGTAAATGTGCTCACGTAGGTGCCCAGCTCCTTTACAAAATTGTCTCCGAAAAGGAGGCCTTTTGCCTGGGGTCCAGGCTCGGTTATGGCCATGTTGACCAGCTTGGGGTCTATTTTCATGAGAATTGCCTTCCGCCTCTCAGTACTAAGTGCGGCATTTGAGTTGCCGATGAGGCAGATAGAGCGTTGTGCCCACTCTCGGATCACTAAGGGGTCTAGTGGTGCGCCACCTGAGATTGTCTCTTCGACCAAGTCGAAGATCTTTGCGCTAGGGCCCAAGGAGTCGAGCACCTTATCCTGGCAGTGGCGCAGGGAGTAGTCTAGCCCTTTTTTGGCTTTCCAGCCAGCCTTACCCAGGAACTGGGCAATCTTGGGGTCCACCTCTGGCGTGGCGCACGCCATATCAGGGACCGTCGGGCGTGGGCACTCTGCCCTTAACTTATTCCTGGTCGTTTTATCCAGGGGCTTCCTTATTCTGGCCGCAATATATTGGGCCACATGGTCAGCTGGGAACCAGTCTGTGGACCTGGGGTGCTGCAGGTCGTCAGGGTTGAATAGGGGCTCGCCCTGGGGGTCTAGGATGATGGAATCATCCGTGGGCGCTTTTCCCTTAGCTGGTATGACTGCCAGGCTGCGCTCAGGGGAAGAGTTCCCTGATTCCAACGAGCCGAGTCCCTCGGACTCACTCATTACCTCCTCTATGTCCGAACCAGAGTCGGATGTCTCTGTCTGGGCTTTTGCCCATTTCCACGTCCTCACCGCTTTTGCCCGGTGGGTGGCTCTTTTGCGTGGGGGCCCCACGTCCTCAGTAGTGACAGGGCGTATCCTGTCCGTCGTGCTGTTTTTGGAGGTGTGTTTGCCCATATGGTGGGTCTTCTGCGTAGCCCTACGGCCGCTGAGGGGCACAGGCTTGTCAGGCTGGGCCATGGAGCGGGGGCCGCCGGGATGGCTGCTAGACGCCAGTATGGCATTACTAATGGATTGTGTCAGGGTTTCAGACATCGCCCCCATAGCCGTGACTATAGCTTGGGTGACCGACTTGGTCATGGTTGCATCCATGAGTGAGTGAAACTCCTCCGAGTTTAACTGATCCATGGATGCCACGTCTTCTCGCAGTGGCGAGCATGGACGTGTTATCTGTGACACGTGATGACTGGTGTCCTTACTGATATCAGTGGGGGTGGCAACCCCGTGGTCCCTAAGGTGTTGCATGACAGGTAGGTTGTAACAAAAGACACCTGGGGTGTGGGAGCAGTGACACCTAAATGGCAGGTATACCAAGTGACACAATGAAATTTGTACCAGACTGGCACCAATGTGTGAGAGGAAAAATGCCCCTAGTGACCCTGTGCAGGGGCTAACAGTAAACCAACTGTGGGCAGTGAGCTCTGAGAACAGTGCAAGTGGGAGGATGCAGGCACAAACAAAGGCTGTCAGCTTACCAAGTGTTCCCTCCGGAATGGCCGCCAGGAAGCACTGGTAAGCTGCCAGCCAATGCAGCTGGCCAATCAAAGAACGCCCGCCCTCTGTTACAGGGCGGGCGCGGAAAAAAAGCGCGGCACAGCCCAGCCGGCTTACTGGAAATGGCCGCAGTGCCGAGCGGCCGCTATTGCGCATGCGCGAGCGGGCTCTGAATTCAGAGCGCTCGCGCCACGAAACGGCCGCCGCGGCTCTCAGGGGACAACGAAGAACGGGTAATAAACTACCTGGTAAGGTGTGGGAGGGGGGTAACCGCCGCAGGGGGGGTGGATGGAAACCCCAGTGAAAACGTCTATCTGCCTTAAGGCAGACAGGCGCCGGCTCTAAGAACCGGCTAAGTAACCCACACAAATACCTAAGACATAAAATATTAACCAAACAAGACACATAAACAAAACAATACAATACTAATTCAAAGAGGGTGCTCTGAGGAGAGCTAAAATTAGATGGTACTTAGCTGAGGCAGCAGCAAAGAAAGAGGAAGTGGAAAGGTCACATGAATAGTTATAGATAGAGGGACTGTTCCTATTGGTTAAGGGTATGATGTTGGGTTAACCCTTGGAGAACCTGTTAAAACTTTTTTTCTATGAATGTTTATACCTTCTCTTTGCTGCTGAGGTATAATAAAGAAAGAGATAAGCATAATATGAGCCTCCATGTCCTTTAATAAAATTGGGAGTTTTTTGAACGATGGGTTGTAAATATTTATCCAGGTATTCCGATAGTCTACTGGATACAGAATTTATTCCTGAGACTATCGGTCTACCTGGAGGGTTTATAAGGTGCTTATGAATTTTAGGGAGGTGGTAGAATACAGGAATTTTTGGTTTCATAATGTTTAGATATTTATATTCTCTATCATTTAATATTTCCATTTCCTTCCCTTTTTGTAACAAATCATCAAATTTATTTTTGATATTAGTCGTTGGATCACTAGGTAACTTTTGTTTTAAATATTTTTATTGTTTTCACAATATAAGTGCATATTGCAAACTGGTTCGTAGTAAAGCCAGAGGTTGCCCACGCAGGGGCTTAAGCAGTAAGTTATAGCATTCATTAAGGTGAACGGTCGCCTACGTAGAGGCTTAAATGTTAGCACATAGGAATAGGTGCAGATTATCGCCTGCGCAGAGGCGTAATGATCAGAACATATAGGCGTACTTGAACTTTGCAGGAATACATTTCTAAGCATTACAGCATAAAAGGTAACAACATCCTATAATGCGTCAATCTGAGGTAAACTGTAGCTGATCATGCAATAAACAATTAAACATTAAGATGCGCGTAGCTGATGGCCTTATTTGTAGTTAATAAATCATGTCATGTTTCGTGCCATTAAATAAGCGGTACTAAGTAACGCGGTGTTAAGTAGCTGTTAGCATTGTGTCATTGCCCTATCAACTGCGCAACAGGCTCGCTGTGTAATGAATGTGCAACTATTAAAGTGTATATCCTATGTACAAGGGCTTATGCAAGAGGGAACATTAGCATGGTTAGCCCTAGCTAAACACATTTGAACTTTTAACATATAAGTCACTTCGCTGGAGGGGGCGTAATGGCGCCCGGTATGTTGAAGCCATCTGGTGTGAAATTGGCAGTCTTCTTCGCAGCTTTTATTCTGGCATGACCTTCCCATGGCTATCTCTGAATGATGCTGCACATGGTGGGTCAGCTGTACCCCCCCTGAGTCTCTCCGGGTCCCCCGGGTGTGACAGCGCCCTCCCTTTCCCACCCCAAGTCGTGTTTCCGCATCTTTAGGGGGCACAACCCCGCTGTGGGCACTCGGAGGCCGGAGCTGTCCGGCGGCCTCCCCACCTTAGAGTCCACTGGGCTCCCGCCTCCTGCACCTCCCCAGCTTCAGCAGGGCCTCCTTGGGGCCCCAGCCCTGACTTGCCACCTCCTCCTCCGGCCACTTACATGTTGCCGGCGCGTGCCCTCCGGCCACCGGTCCACGGCTGGCCCGCGCTTCTCAGCCCCACCGGGCTCACAGAGTTGGGGGTTGTTTCTCCCGGACCCCCACCAAATCCGGGGTTCAGGACCGGCTTTCCAGCGACTCGTCCGCCGCCCGGGGTGGTCCAGTAGTGAGCTCCGCCGTCTCGGGGGTCCCGGTATCCCAGCGCGGGATTTCTGCTGTGTGCTAGTCGTCCTGTGATGCTGTGCGGGTACTGTGTATCCGTCGGCCATTGTAGCTCCGTGTACAGGAGCGTCGTGTACCGGGCGTGCCTCCTCCTCCAGCCTCCGATGTTCCGACTTTGGGCCGGGATCACCCCCCCGGCCGGGTGGGGGGGGGGAGCGGGGCCGGGCCAGGTCACCCTCGCCTTACTTGCATGCTGTGGGTCCCGCTCTTGTAGCGTGGTTGAGGCCTCCGGGGTCACTGTGTGAGCCGGATGTTCAATATGTGCTCTAGCGTTGCACTCCCCGGTTCCTCTCTGCCGGATTACCTCTCTGGTGTCGGTTTTCGGCATGGATCGTGAGTATTTTAAAGGTTTTAGGCTTTTCTATGCCGGAGCCGGCGTGAGTTGCAGCCGTTCGGCTCGGCGGCCCGGCCCCGCCCCATCGATCACTAGGTAACTTTTGATACGTTTCTTCATCCCCTACTAATCTAAGACCCTCTTGTAAGTAATCTTCTGTATTCATAACTACAATTCCCCCCCTTTATCGGCTGGTTTGATGACCTTGTTCTTATCCTCTGAAGTGTTTTTAGTGCCCGCCATTCTTCTCTACTTAAATTCATATATTTTTTATCCCTTGGCTTAATTTTGTTTATTTCTTGCATGACTGTTTTTTCAAATGATACCATTTCTTTGGAGATGAAATTGTTTGGAAAAAAAGTAGATTTTTCCCTAAGGTCTGTGTGTACATATTTCGACACGGGAACTTGATGTATTGATTTATCTGACCTTAGAAAATATTTCTTTAGACATAACTGTCTTTTGTATCTGTTTAGGTCTATAAATATATCGAATTTGTTTTATGGTTGTGTTGGGGCAAATTTCAGTCCCCTATTTAAAATCTTTTGTTGGACCTGTGGTAAAGGTTTTCCAGTTAGATTAAATATAATTGATTGGGTATGTGTAGTTATTTTTTTTATCTTATTAAGTGTCTTTCCTCCTCGGGTTCCCCTCCTCTTAAATTTACTTTTTGTTTGGGGGGCGTGTTCTGGGGTGAAGAAATATTTTTGGGGGATTGGGCCGCTTTGTATTTCCCTTTTTGGCGTCCCTCCTGAAAAAAATCATCCTCACTTTGTCTGTCTGTTAAAACGTGAAATCTATTATTAATGCTTATGTGGTTTCTTTGTATCTCCTTTCTATTTCGTGTGAGGATAGGTGATCTTTCTCTTTCCTTTTTACCTTGTTCGTGTCTATCTTTAGTTTGGACTGGTGTGACTTTCGTGTATCTTGATTGTGGTATAGGAAATCTTAAGTGAGGTGATCTAGTCCTTGAGTGGTGTCTCCTATCTCGTGAATCCTTTCGTCTTTGATAAGGTTGTTTCTGACTTCCGTCATATTGATTTCCTCGTCTGACTATTTGTGAATAACTACTCTTTTCATGTTGTGAAAAATTCCTGTTGTCATAATACCTAGAATTACTATTAGTTCTTATCCCCATGTGTTTATTCCTTGTTGTATAAGTGGTGACCTGATTATTATCATAATCATATCTATCCCTTTTGTATTTCTTTCTTTTTATGTTTATGGTTTCTGTCTCTGTTTTATCTATATGTTTTTGAATGGTTTTTGTAATGGTTTCATATTCCTCAGGGGAAGTATGATTTAGAAGTTGGGTTTGAATTTCATTTATATCCCCATCTAGTTTTTGTAGGGTAACCTTCCTCCTTTTAATTATCATTTTCATGGTGGTGAAGTCGAATGTTTCCAACATCTCCTGCCATGCCCCCATGAAATCTTCCTCTCCTTTATCAAATGTAGGGTATTTGTTATATCTTAGACCCCTAGGAGTAATTTTTTCTTTTATGTATTTCTCTAAAGTTGCTACTTCCCAGATTATTCGAACTTCTTGATTCATAGCCTCTGTTAGTTTATATTGACATTCTCTAAGATCACACGTATTAGTCTGAGGTTGAGAATTATAATTTGGGATAGAAGTATCAAACATAGTATCTATATTTGTACAATAATTCTTCCTTCTTTCAAATAGTGACATATTGTCAGCTGCCTCCACACGAACAAGGAGTAGGATATACAAAGAGATTGAATATATACACAAAAGATGTGGAAAAGGTGGCGCTATACAGTTGATAAAATATTTGAATAGATTACAGCTGCTATATACACCCCGTGGGTACTCCTTTTAACCCACCACACATAGAAAAACACCAAAAAACAGACAGAGGAGCTTTGGATTTAGTTGATATATTTTACCACTTAAATCCTCAGCTTCTCTCGAGTGTAGCGCTAAGTATAAATGTATACAGTGGGTATTATCAGTGAAAAAAGTGCTACAAAGGCACTTACCCTCTATGTGAAGCTTATGCTGTCTTTATAGTATATAGAGAGAAACATCGGTGAAACGCGTTTTGGCTAAATAGGTGGATCTGTCAGTAGACCACTAAATACATTTGTATTTTCTTTCTATGCTTTTATTGTTTTTTATTTTATAGAAAAAGTATATATACATTTTAAATAATACTTTCTTTAAATAAATCTATATATTTTTTATATTTACCATTGGGTTGCATCCTGCACAAGTGATTCAAGAGGGGTAGTGTCACCCCAGTAATTGACACTAGGCCTATACACTTAGAGCCAGTTACCAAAAGGCTCTAAATAAGGTGAGCAATTCTGTATTTTATTTATATTGATTTATATCAGTATTTAAAATACTACACTTAGATTGGAAATATCTGTGTCTTTTTTCTACCCAATGTGGAGAGGAATACACGCTATTTCACCTTGAAAGATGGGTCGTGTGATCTACCCAAAAAGACACAGACATCTGGAAGTTTAGAGCTTTAAAACTGTAAAAGGCTCTAAATAATGTGAGTTTATTTCAATTTACAACTCGCAGAAAAAAGACTTTTCCCAAATATTTATTTGACATACTGCACCATTATTTGTGTTTTTTTCTGTTTTCTGTTTCTCTCTATATACTATAAAGACAGCATAAGCTTCACATAGAGGGTAAGTGCCTTTGTAGCACTTTTTTCACTGATAATACCCACTGTATACATTTATACTTAGCGCTACACTCGAGAGAAGCTGAGGATTTAAGTGGTAAAATATATCAACTAAATCCGAAGCTCCTCTGTCTGTTTTTTGGTGTTTTAACTTCCATTGCATGTAATTAGCTTCATGATTACAAAGGTGTTTAGTAGTGAAACATTGAGAGGAGTTAAAAAATGCACATTATAGAACATTTTAGACATTTGGTTAGAATGAAAATGTTTGGACAAACAAAATAAAATGGTTTTGGTCATTGAACATGATATGTGGAGGGGGAGACAACAGAGCCGCACAATAAAGGGTTACATAGAAACATAGAAACATAGAATGTGACGGCAGATAAGAACCATTCGGCCCATCTAGTCTGCCCAATTTTCTAAATACTTTCATTAGTCCCTAGTCTTATCTTATAGTTAGGATAGCCTTATGCCTATCCCACGCATGCTTAAACTCCTTTACTGTGTTAACCTCTACCACTTCAGCTGGAAGGCTATTCCATGCATCCACTACCCTCTCAGTAAAGTAATACTTCCTGATATTATTTTTAAACCTTTGTCCCTCTAATTTAAGACTATGTCCTCTTGTTGTGGTAGTTTTTCTTCTTTTAAATATAGTCTCCTCCTTTACTGTGTTGATTCCCTTTATATATTTAAATGTTTCTATCATATCCCCCCTGTCTCGTCTTTCCTCCAAGCTATACATGTTAAGATCCTTTAACCTTTCCTGGTAAGTTTTATCCCGCAATCCATGAACCAGTTTAGTAGCCCTTCTCTGAACCCTCTCTAAGGTATCAATATCCTTCTGAAGATACGGTCTCCAGTACTGTGTACAATACTCCAAGTGAGGTCTCACCAGTGTTCTGTACAATGGCATGAGCACTTCCCTCTTTCTACTGCTAATACCTCTCCCTATACAACCAAGCATTCTGCTAGCATTTCCTGCTGCTCTATTACATTGTCTGCCTACCTTTAAGTCATCAGAAATAATCACCCCTAAATCCCTTTCCTCATATGTTGAGGTTAGGACTCTATCAAATATTCTGTACTCTGCCCTTGGGTTTTTACGTCCAAGATGCATTATCTTGCACTTATCCACATTAAATGTCAGTTGCCACAATTCTGACCATTTTTCTAGTTTAGCTAAATCATTTGTCATTTGGCTTATCCCTCCTGGAACATCAACCCTGTTACATATCTTAGTATCATCAGCAAAAAGACATACCTTACCATCAAGACCTTCTGCAATATCACTAATAAAAATATTAAAGAGAATGGGTCCAAGTACAGATCCCTGAGGTACCCCACTGGTGACAAGTCCAAGCTTCGAATATATTCCATTAACTACAACCCTCTGTTGCCTGTCACTCAGCCACTGCCTTACCCATTCAACAATATTGGAATCCAAACTTAAAGATTGCAGTTTATTGATAAGCCTTCTATGTGCAACAGTGTCAAAAGCCTTACTGAAATCTAGGTAAGCAATGTCTACTGCACCACCCTGATCTATAATTTTAGTTACCCAATCAAAAAAATCAATAAGATTAGTTTGGCATGATCTCCCTGAAGTAAACCCATGTTGTCTCTGATCTTGAAATCCATGTGTTTTTAGATGTTCATCAATCCTATCCTTTAACATGGTTTCCATCACTTTCCCCACTACTGAAGTAAGGCTTACTGGCCTATAGTTGCCCGACTCCTCCCTATTACCTTTCTTGTAAATGGGCACAACATTCGCTAACTTCCAATCTTCTGGGACTACTCCTGTTAACAATGATTGGTTAAATAAATCTGTTAATGGTTTTGCTAGTACACCACTAAGCTCTTTTAATAGCTTTGGGTGTATTCCATCAGGTCCCATTGACTTATTTGTCTTTACTTTTGACAGTTGAAATAGAACCTCTTCCTCTGTAAACTCACGTGTAATAAATGACTCATTTATCCTTTTTCTCAACTGAGGTCCCTTTCCTTCATTTTCATCTGTAAATACAGAACAAAAATATTCATTGAGGCAGTCAGCTAGACCTTTATCCTCTTCTACATACCTTCCTTCTTTTGTTTTTAATCTAACTAATCCTTGTTTTACTTTTCTTTTCTCATTTATGTATCTAAAAAATGTTTTATCCCCCTTTTTTACTGACTGTGCTATTTTCTCTTCTGTGTGTGATTTGGAAGCTCTTATAACTTGCTTAGCCTCTTTCTGCCTAATCTTATAGATCATTTTGTCTTCCTCACTCTGGGTTTTTTTATAATTCCTAAATGCTAACTTTTTGTTTTTAACTATTTTGGCCACATCTGCGGAGTACCACAGTGGTTTCTTGAATTTTTGCTTTTACTGACAAGCCTAATGCAATTTTCTGTTGCCTTCAATAGTGCAACTTTTAAATAATCCCATTTTTCTTGGACTCCATTTAAATTGCTCCAGTCTGATAATGACTCCTCTACCCATATTCTAATTTTAGAAAAGTCTGTTTTTCTAAAGTCTAAAACTTTTGTTTTTGTGTGGTGTGACTCAGTCACTGTTCTTATATTAAACCACACTGACTGATGATCACTGGATCCTAAACTTTCACCTACAGTAATATCTGATACCAAATCTCCATTTGTTAACACTAAATCTAGTATGGCCTCTTTACGAGTTGGCTCCTCAACAACTTGTTTTAGAGACAATCCCAGTAGGGAGTTTAGAATATGTGTGCTCCTGGCACAAGTAGCTAATTTTGTTTTCCAATTTACATCAGGAAGATTAAAGTCACCCATGATGATAACTTCCCCTTCATTGTCATTTTAGCTATTTCCTCAACTAGTAGATTATCTAACTCTTCAATTTGTCCTGGGGGCCTATAAATCACACCTACACGAGTTACTGTGTGATTACCAAATTCTAACGTAGCCCAAACGGACTCTATGTTTGCCTCGCTAACTTTTATTAGGCTAGATTTTATGCTATCCTTCACATACAAGGCCACCCCTCCCCCTTTCTTGCCTTCCCTATCTTTCCTATATAAAGAGTACCCTGGTATTGCTATGTCCCAGTCATTTTTCTCATTGTACCATGTCTCAGTAACAGCGACTAAATCTACACTATCAGTTGCCATTATTGCCACAAGTTCATGGATCTTATTTCCTAAACTGCGAGCATTTGTAGACATGACTCTAAGCTTATCATTTTTTAACACACTTGCTACAGGCACCTTCTGTCCTTGTTTTGGGGGGCAATTGGATTGATGTTTTATCACCCTTTTGCCCCCCCGCCCCCTCCTAGTTTAAATACATCCTAGCAAAACCGCTGAACTGATCACTGAGAACATTTGTTCCCTTTTGCGAAAGATGCAAACCATCTTTTTTGTACAGCTTATATCCATTTCAAACAGAGCTACCATGAAAAATAAAGCCAAATCCTTGCTCCGACACCATTCACCAAGCCACAAATTAAAGTCCCTAATACGCATCCGCCTGTCGTTCTGAGTGTTATGCACAGGCAGAACTTCAGAGAATGACAGTGTGGAAGCAACCTGCCGTATATCATTGGCAAAAACACTAAAAACTTCCTTAACCTCTGAAACCTCATTGCAAGCCAAGTCATTTGTCCCTAGATGGACAAGTACATCCAATTCCCCTTCCTGCTTTGCTTGCTTAACAATATTACAGATACGTCTCCTGTCTCTGTGAGCAGTAGCTCCGGGAAGACACCTCACAAGACCACCATTGTCCATCTCCACACCTCTTATAATGGAATCCCCCAACAACAACTGCTTTCTATTAGGCCTCACCATAGTCTCCAAGCCGGTCTCCACAACACCACTAGCTCAGTGCCTCTCTCCACAACACCACTAGCCTCAGTGCCTCTCTCCACAACACCACTAGCCTCAGTGCCTCTCTCCACAACACCACTAGCCTCAGTGCCTCTCTCCACAACACCACTAGCCTCAGTGCCTCTCTCCACAACACCACTAGCCTCAGTGCCTCTCTCCACAACACCGCTAGCCTCAGTGCCTCTCGCCACAACACAGCTAGCCTCAGTGCCTCTCGCCACAACACAGCTAGCCTCAGTGCCTCTCGCCACAACACAGCTAGCCTCAGTGCCTCTCGCCACAACACAGCTAGCCTCAGTGCCTCTCGCCACAACACAGCTAGCCTCAGTGCCTCTCGCCACAACACCACTAGCCTCAGTGCCTCTCGCCACAACACCACTAGCCTCAGTGCCTCTCGCCACAACACAGCTAGCCTCAGTGCCTCTCTCCACAACACCACTAGCCTCAGTGCCTCTCTCCACAACACCATTACACTCTGAAAGTGCAGAAAATGAATTATGAAGAGCAACAGACTGTGCAAAATGCCTTTTATCCACAACTCTAAGTCTACCAGATCCTACAGTAATCCATCTGCCTTTCCTAGCATGTCTCTGCGGCAGTGGCTTTGCAGCAGTTCCAGTCTGAGATTCTTCACCAGATAATTTACAAATCTCAGACTTCAAAAATACAATCTCCTGCCGCAAGATAGAGAACTGTCTACAGATTAGACAACAACCAAACCTCCAAAAAGTGGAACGTGAAACAAATGCATAGCAATTGTTACACTGAACTAAGTCTGCCATTACAATTATGAGAATAATTTAAATCTAACAAATCTTAACTTTTTTCTTTATCCTCCTGAATACCTCAGAATACCTCAGAATACCTCCAGAATATCTCCAACTAGACACTTAGAAACAGCACTTGGAAGTAGCACCAAGCTATATTAGACAAGCTAATGAGACCAAGCCTTATATAACTCCTTAAATCACCGCCCACTAGGAATGTTTAACACCTGGGTAGGCCTCTGCTTATTTGCAAACAATAGCTAATTAACCAGCAATCAACAGCAAGTAACTAGCTTAATCAAATCAAATGCCTTATAATTACCAACAGGAATTCAAACCTTGGGCAATCAGTAACCTTTTCCTACAGATGAATCTTACCTGTAACAGTAGAAAAGAAAGCTCTTAGCACAACTCTTAGACAGTTGAAGCTTCTGTAAAACTCTCCAGAATATCTCCAACTAGACACTTAGAAACAGCACTTGGAAGTAGCACCAAGCTATATTAGACAAGCTAATGAGACCAAGCCTTATATAACTCCTTAAATCACCGCCCACTAGGAATGTTTAACACCTGGGTAGGCCTCTGCTTATTTGCAAACAATAGCTAATTAACCAGCAATCAACAGCAAGTAACTAGCTTAATCAAATCAAATGCCTTATAATTACCAACAGGAATTCAAACCTTGGGCAATCAGTAACCTTTTCCTACAGATGAATCTTACCTGTATAAATTATAGAAAATTAAAGGTACGCCTTTAAGGTCGCACAAGCATCATTGGACATTTAGTTCAGAAATAGAAGCCACAGGCACTAAGCAATGTAGCATATACAGTATGTATGGTGGCAATGAAGGAGTCAATCTGCCTTGTCTGGGATTGGAAGGTAGGGAAGTTTACATTTGTGGCAGTCGGTCCGTTAGACAGGTATCTGGGCATAATTGGTGACATTGCTCTAGCTGGGGACTGGAGCTGGCCTGTGATTGGTTGAAGGTTGCAAGCATTAAAAGAGCGGGAAACTGGGGCAGTATAAAAAGCAGGGAGGTGCCAATAGCATTCATTCATCAGCAATTCTATTCATCTATGCCAAATTTAAAAAAACTTTACTTTGGAAGGCGTGCGCTCTCCACAAGAGAAGTCCAAATAAGTGCACTAATACACCCAAGTCTTCCTAGTCTTTCTCCTGAGTGTTTCATAATGTTACGATTACTTGGAGCTTCGGGACCCACCAGTCCCCACATCTCTGAACTGAGTTCTGCGATGCCTAAGTGACATGTGCCATCTGTCTGACTAGTCCCATGCTCAAAAGTGTAAATATCGTAGGGGTTGATCTAAACACCGGAGGGTGGCATAGTATGCCCAGCCGTTCTGCTGCCTTACCTGGACCGGTGATCTGCGTGGATTCCGGTTGGAGGGGCACTGCCTGAGAGCCCAGCAGTCCCCCTGCAGCCACTGAGGTCCTCCAGGGCCATGTGATCACATGGCCGCAATGGGAGTCTAGGGAGCTGCCTGCAGGGGGGCTGTCAGGTAGCTCATGAAGATTGTATTGGTGGATTTTATGTCCCGGCTAGCAGAGACCTTGAACTTGCTAGTTCGGGAGTGCCATCTATGGAGCTAGCTGATTTCATCACCAGATCATTCAAGCGCCAATAAGGTGCCCCTGGTAGCTTCTTATAGTAAAGGGTTCTCGGTGTTTAACAGAAGTTCCTGGGTGCAGCTTGATGCACCCTATGTAGATGTGCGCTCTTGTGCAGTATAGCCGAAATAAAATTCAGCTATGAGGTTTACAGCTTCTGAACTTAAAGGGACAGCACCTTGAAGAAAAGAAGATGGGTAAGTAGCCTGTCCTTCTCTCCTGTATCTGTATTAGGTCAGGGTAGAGTAGAGGGCCAGGAACTAGAACTTAGGAGAACTTGGATGATGGGAGTGAACATCATCTGAATGATAACCCAGTTCTTCTAGACATGAGGTAAAAGGCAGAGCTGGTACTTAAGGTGGTTAGTATGAACACTAAGCTGATGGATTAGCGAAGCAGTAGTTTTGGTACCCGATGGTTACATTTAAATAACAATTTTTTTCATTTTTTTTAAAAATCCTGCTCAGACTTGGATAGCATGAGTAGAAGTTAACGTTAAAATAATGTTAATTTGTCATTATTATTTACCTTACATTTTTTTTAAATATTAATAAAATAAAATAATTTTAGAGAAGAACATGAAAAAGTAAAGACTCGTAGGTTAATTTCATGTTATTTTTTTCAATAACAATACAGAAGAGAAAATAATGGGGGGGAATACAATAAATAACTACCATCCAATAATATATTTTAAGTGTATATTAAAGCAGAATTATAATAATAATATACAGGAGTGGTAAAATTAAAATGTCAGATGTGTCTTAAAAGGTATTTTACCATCCGGTCTGGTGCAGGTCTAATGAAAAACTTGTAGGCCATAACTGCCCCTGATGCCCTCTTCCCAGAGTGTCCACTCATGTTTTAGTAAGTCCACAGCAGCAGAAGGTGTCCTAAAGGCCAACTCATTGCGCAATACCTCAGTCATAGATGGAATGGTAAATTCCATGCTTTTTTTAATGTCCGACTTTAAGCTTTTGTACTTTCTAAGCCACCATGAGAAAGGAAGCGGAGTTTACATAGTGGATTTGTTCAGCATTCGGAAGATATACTGTTGAAATCGAAATTATTCAACCTCCATTGAAAATCAGGTTTATTGTCAAAATGTACAAACCTTCAGCTGTTTGCAATGAACAAATCAAACAAAAACAAAAAAGTGACTTTCCCAAAATTCAACTGAAAATGCAACTTATAATGGCATGTCCAGTTTCAAACTTAATCAACCCCCTGAATATAAACACAGCACAAATATGCAAAACAGGTGTTGTCTCAAGCACACTTAAGATAACTAATCAAGGGCTTCATTAGTTGCACCATGTGTGCTTGAAGTGGAACACTTGAATTGGCTAGGGGCTTGTTGAATGTCACATTTCTCTGCATGTTAGAAATATGGCTAAGTACAAATGTTGGAAGCAGTTTTCTCTTTAAATGTCTTCCACTTTGCCTCAATATGGTACCTATTTTCTAAGTAACCGATCATTATTTTGCATGGTACTATGATTGTGTGATTCTCTCGTTCTCACCGAAAAATCTAAATAAAGATTGTCAAAAAAAGAATATGGTTAATTTAAAAAAAATGGTCCACAAATTTAACAGAAGAGATCATCGCCCTTCACAAACAAGGTACAGGATACAAAAAGATAGCAAAGGCACCGGAAGACACCGTTGGAAGCATAGTTCGCAAGTACAAGGTTGAAGGAACAGGTGGACAGGGCAAAAAAAGGACGCTATCAATAGCAGAAATCAGATTTCTGAGAAGGCAGGTTGTGAAAAACCCTTGAGTGACTGCAAAAGACCTGCAGCAAGACTTGGTGGCAACGGGCACTGAGGTTTCAATGAGCACAGTTAGATGCGTACTAAACGCAGAAGGTTTCCATTCCAGAACTCCAAGATGTACACAACTACTGACAGAAAATAAGAGAAAATCATATAAATAAGAGAACTTTTGGAATTCTGTTCTGTGGAGCAATGAACCAAAACGGCAACTTTTTAGCCCAATGCATCAGCAGTATGTCTGGAAGAAGAAGAATGAAGCATGTGCTGAAAAGAACACTCTGCCAGTTAAGTATAGTGGTGGTTCGGTGATGCTTTGGGAAAGCTTTGCCTCCTCTGGCACTGGAAACCTGCAGCCTGTGGAAGGCAAGATGGATTCATTGAAGTATCAGGAAATCCTAGGCGAAAACGTCATGTGAGGAAGCTGAAGCTTGGGCGTCATTGAACCTTCCAACAAGACTGATCCCATGCATACTTTAAATTCCACCAAGGCTTGGTTGTAGAAGTCCTGGAAAATTCCACAGTTACCATCACAGTCACATGACTTAAACCCTATAGATCATCTCTAGTGGGATTTAAAGAAAGCGATTGAAGCACGCAAACCCAAGAATATTACCGAACTGAAGGCCATTGTTTATGAGCAATGGGCTAATATTCCTCAGGAATGCTGCCAGAAAGTGGTGTCTGGCTATGCATCTCGTTTGCAGAAGACCAAAACAGCAAAAGGGTGCTCTACTAAGTACTAAAGATGCTTGCCATGAAGGGGTTGAATAATTTTGAGACTGGATAAGTCTGCCGATTTTTGCTGCAATGTAATTACAGGACCCACCATTGTGACGTGCTAAAATAACTAAACTGGCTGTCGCTGGAATCCAGACGCACCCTTCATCTTTCCAGTCTTGTGTTTAAGAACTTTTCTGGGAAGCTCCCACCCTACCTGAGTGAATGCTCTCCCCGCCTGTTCCCACCTCCTATAACCTCCAATTCAGTACCAGCACTTTATTTAATCTACCTCAATACAAAAAGAAAGGCAGCCCGATCCTCCTTTTCCTACAGAGTGCCGCAATTGTGGAATGACCTCCCTCACAATTTAAAATCTTCCCTAAGCCTAAAGTCCTATAAGAGATCCCTCTCTACATACCACAAAACAGAATGCACGTGTCATGGTTGATCATATATTTCCTACCTGTTCTATGTTAAATTTTGTATATATTGTGTATTAATATTGTTTTTGTATTTTATTGTACACTATTGTATCAATGCAATGATTTGTGGACCCAGGACATACTTGAAAACGAGAGAAATCTCAATGTATCTTACCTGGTAAAATATTTTATAAATAATAATAATTATAAGTTGCATTTTCAGTTGAATTTGGGGGAAACCACTTGAAACATTCGTTGTATTGAGCTATTTCAATTGTTTTTGTTTAACCCCTTATGACGAGTGATGGACGAGGTCCGTCACTCAGGGGATTGCCATAACGACAAGTGATGGACCTTGTCCGTCACCCGTTAAAATTAACCCCGGATCGCCGCTATTGCGGCGATCGCGGGGTTAATGGTGCTCCGGTCTGCCTCTGTATTATCCGGGATCGAGCACCTGTGCTTAGTATACTTACCTTCCGCCTCCCTGCACATCCTAGTTCTGTGTGAAGTGCAGGGAGACGGATCAGTGATGATCCTGCCCCCTGTTAAAAACAAAAAAAAGTTTATTTAAAATCCCATCCCCCTTTACCCATTTTAATTAAAAATTAACCCCTTCCCTGCCAATTGATCACTGAGTACAGTGATCAATTGGCAGGGATTACATTTTACTGTCATCTGATTATTATTTTTAACCCCTGAGGGTTAAATTTTTTTTTTTTTTAACCCTCAGGGGTTAAATTTATTTAATTAATTAATTTTAATATTTTAAAATTATATGTTTAGCTAGCTGGGGTGGGTGGAAGTTAGTGGGGAATTGGGGGATTTGGTGCTAGGCTAACTAGGTGTTAACGTTAAAAAAAAGTTTTAAAATAAACTTTAAAAAGTTACGAATTAAGCTAAAAAAAAAAGTTGTAATAACATTTAAGTAAAAAATAAAAAAAAACACCCCCCCTTTACCAAGTCCAAATAAAAACACTTATTACTACTACACTTGGTACAAGCTAGCGGAAAAATTATCCCACGCTAAGGTTCAAAATATACCTTTTGAAATACCCTGGAGTGTCTACTTTAAGAAATGGTAGGCCTTTGTGGGGTAGTTTGAACTTAAACCCTGCTAAGATGCTTGGAAATTGCACATAGGCCCAGCGTCAAAATTCAAAGTTCGGTAAAAACTGATATGGCTTGGTCTCCTATATGGCACTGTAGCTTCACAAAATAGTGCCAAAGATATTCATTGGGGGTGTCTTTTTACTCAGAAGACTTAGCCGAGCATAATTTGGGAGGGTTTGAACTTAGTGGCACGTGTGAAATATGTAGAGTTGAAGACTCCCGAGAGAAACCATGAGGTGAGTGGGTATTAGGCTAGGCCACACTTGCCATGGAGGGGGTAATTTACGCTTATCGAGTCGCCGACCACCTCCCTGCATAGCAGGTAATTCAGATAGCTTAGTCTTTGTTTGTTCAGTCCCAGATCAGGCATTAATATGTGTAAAAAAAGCTCCCTATAGCAGGCTGATGGAGGAGCTCCTCTCAGATGCGTCTGTCCTTCATGGCAGTCATGCCCCGCCCCCTCATGCTCTCCATTAACACATTTCAATTCCAGAGGATATTACAGTAATGCTTGAAATACATCGGTTGAAAAGGTAATTTACATCTTATTCTTTCATATTTGGCTGCGGCAAAGCGGCTACATTGGGTTGGTGCAAATAAAATCTAAAGGATTGGGAGATGGAATCAGACCTTTATTTCAGTTATTCGTGCGTGATGATTTGATATAATGTTATCTCTTCCTCTTGTCATTCTTTTATTATTTTCTTCAGGTACCATAACAAATGTTTGGATTCTCGGTCACTGTGGTGTCTAGTGGGCCATGCAAAGAGCAGGAGCCAGAATATATGGACGGAACCTGAACTTCAATCAGGACAACATAGTCATTTAGTTGATCTGAGACTTTTGGAATTAATGGTTATTATATTGGATTGTTCTACATAGCCAGTTCCAGGTGTATTTATATAATAATCCACATACGTGTGATGTAGGTTTGTTAAGTCTGTTCATTTGTGGCTTGGTTTAAATTTGTGGATTATTAAGGTATTATTTCCTGTACCTGTTTTAGTTTGGTCAGAGAGCAAGAGGGTGAGATCCAGCTAATTCATTGTTCCCAAAAAGGGGTAACATTGGCTTTGTTAAATATCTTAATTTACTGCATTGTTTAATGTTTTAGTTCAATTTGTGTATTATTTCCTTCAGCCTTTTTATTTTGTTAAGGAGAGGGCCCTGCACTTGCGATGCTTAGAATCGCAAAAGTAAAGGTGCTGGAAAGGGTGCGTAATAAGCTAAATTTAACAAATTATTTTTTAATGTTGCCGCTGCTTGGTGTTTTTGCATACATCTATATAGTAAGGTTCAGGTTAATTTGTCAACTGTTGGTGTTAATATATTTGGAGTTACAAAGCATGATAGAAAGTGATTTGTTGGTGTCTATCACAGTTTAAGCTGTGGAGCAAAAGTCATTCTCAGGGGCAAGTTCTGAGGAAGAATATGGTGGTAAATGGTTTTAGATAAAAGGCGAACAGGTCATCTATGACTAACTGGCAGTTTGGTGGTTAATACAGTTAAGTTTTGAAAGGTTACAGTTTGTTATATGTTTATCAAAAATAGTTATTAAATTATGCTTGTAAGCCCCTTAAGCTTTGAATAAACACCACGGCTAAGCCCACTGAAAAGTTAATAAATGTCTGTGTTTATTATGTCGTCTAATTTTATTTATACAAGTCTTGGTCTAGAATGTTTTGAATAATCAAAACAGAATGGTTAGAAAGTATACATTGTTTACAATGCATAGTGTAAAATGTTTTGGAGTAGCAAAATAAAACCAATTTAGGATGGACAGAAAGTTCTTATTGTTTTGAATGTACAGGGTACAATATTTGTTTAGAATGTTTGGAATAGAGTGGACAAGCTATAAATATAATTATTTATGTTTACAATAGTAGGATTTTGAACAAGTAGAATTGTTACAAAGTGGGGAAATGGAGAAGATAAACAAAAAGGATGTTCAACAGAAATGAGGACAACAACAATGGTATATCATTCCAGATCTACCTACTTTGAAAGGGACAATCAGGGCACCAACACAACTAAAGTGCATTTCATAGGTTTTAGTTTCATATTCACACTGTATTTCTTCCATATATAAATCTCTGTTTTGCTAAAATAAAATAAAAATAAAAAAAGCAGCTTTATGCAGCATAACCTGGCACCCTTAGATATGCCTCCCTTTTTCACAAACATTCTGCCTGATTGTAAATATGCAGTCTACATACTGTAAATACGCAGTGTACATACTTATCGTATTAACAACAGAGTTTATCCAAGGGACTACTTGGGACCATCTTTACAGCATCGCCTTTAAGGTGAGGTGTAATAACTAATTTGGCAAAGCATCGTTAAGTCAGCTATTCGTTAAGGAAAGTCAAGTGAAACTTTAGCCTCCAATACTGTTTCAATGATATACAATGGAGCACGTTACAATGGGATGATTATTGTGCTGTTTTGTAGCTAACTGATGCAATTTTGCCTTTGTGGACCTCTCTTTGTTACTTTGAACTCTCATTGTGGACATTGCACCCTTGTAATACTTGTCACTGATTACAGACTTTTCCATTGAAGGTATCTGAGCTCTTCCGAAGTGGGCAGGCAATTCAGTGCTTGGATCAGGAAGCAAAGAATGAAAAAATGGAAATGTTAGTAAAAAAAAAAAACAACATTTTTCATCACGTTTTCTGTTTTTACTACATGTGCAATGTTTTTCCTTATTCCTCTTCTACTCTTTTTATTCTTTCATTTTTCTAAATAACATTTCTTAGCTTCTTGTCCTACTCCACATCTGTCTTGTCTGATCAAGTCCTCCGTCAAGTTCTTTTATTTGTTCTGTGATTCTCTCTGTAGGTGCCAGAATATGGTTTCCAATTTTCTTAGTCTAGACCTCGAGGATCCACAGCTTGACCTGCAACAATATATGACCAAAGAGATAATTCCTTCTTCAAACATCCTATAAACTGTCCCACTACTTTCCATCCTCCTTTCCTATTCTGCCCCCATACACAGGGTGATATCAGAGTTTTCACTGTAAAATGTTGTACTTAAACTAAACGCTTATTGCAAGACATTGTTCCATTGTTATTTTCCCTATATTTAAATATGTATAACATACACTGGTAATGTACTGGTATATCAGGTTTTAGCCCAAAATAAGTCAGAATTCTTTTCCCATTCAGCCATTATGGACTAAAATGTGAAACTCTTGTCAGTTCTTTGCAAATAAGGTTTGTTAATAACCCTGACAATCTTGTTGACCTCATTATGTGGTCCGCAGCTGCATATATCCCCCCACTGTGACTGCTTAATGGAGGAAATCTTTTATTGGGAGAGCAGGGGAGAGTGGTCTCTGGGAATATGTTAAATAAAGTAATTACCATGTTACATCTGCTTCATTTTAATCATTCATAAGATTTATGGCCGAGGACTCTGAATGTGATTTTATCATTATTTTATCTCAGTAAAGTAGTATCTTCCAAACCAGCAATACCTCATCCCAGTACTGGTCGGAGAGACAAAAAAATCTTCTTATTTATATTTTCTTGCATTTAATAATTAAATTGCTATTTTCATGTGATTGTGTCTTCTTCGCAAAACATATCTCAAGGGTGTTTTGTAGGCCTTGCACACAATGAGACACGGTGGGAACACCGCGATCAGATGGTAGGAGTGTTTCTCTGGAGGGGTATATACACAATACGTAGGTTCCCTGGTGGCAAAATCAAGTAAATTACAAGCTGTTGGATGTATTCAAAGCACGTTTGTTCTGCATCCTGTGTATACAAATGGGAATGGTACACATTGTCTGAGTGTTTCTACTCCTCATTGAGCTCTTGTGTGTGTGTGTGTATTTGTAATCATTCGTTAGCGCCCAAAATATTATAAATAAGCTTATATACAGGGTTAAATTGGATAATGGACCGGCACAGTAAATAATTGCAAAACAGACACTTTTATATGCAGAACCTGTCCCTGGGAGATGGACAAAATCTGGTTAGACCTAGGCAGAAATGGAAAACCTACAAATACATATTACATATCATGCATGTGACATGCTCTCATGCACTTTCACTGGGTTTAGAATTTTTCCTAATACAAATTATTTTATTTAATAATAATTAAAACCACTACGCCCAGAAGTTTATTTAGTATTAATGAATGTCAGTATTGTTTGTAAACATGCCATTTTATTTTGTCACTGTGTACCAGTAGCCAACTGACCCTTTAACCCAGCGAATACATTGTAACAGCAACTGCTGATTATTAATCCCTGCTCTGCTGACTATGTCCATTCCTCTGTTTCCTTTTGTGTGACAGATTACCAGCTTGATGTGCAAACTCTGTATCCTGTACTTAGCCAGGCACCCCTGTACCTAGAAAATCTAACCCCTGCATCAATGCAAATTTATTCCAGCCCCAGGGTCCTTGGTTCAAGTGAGGCTAGATACATTGAGTTAGCCGTAACATACTGTTAAGTCTGCTAAAGCTGGCACTGCCAGTCCATTTATTATTTAGAATATCACATTTAGTCCCTGGCATAGGGCATTATGTCATTGAGAACAGTTTGTGTCACACAAAATTGTTATTCTGTGGTCTGTAGCAAGGTTACTGCTAGATGGTGTTGGTTTCTGAAACTGTAAATTCAATTCATTCTGCATGTGTTTTATTGTGTTTGCCCCCAATTCCCTTCAACCAACTCATAAACATGCAGGCAATATGGCCTCCAAAAAACATCCAGATTATTTACTTGGTCTCAGCACTCGATCACATTCTCAGAGCTTGCGTGGCCTACCACTTTGTCACTGAGTTACAGTTCATCCTAGATATTTTTTATTTCACAGTAAGAGCTCTTTCTGTGGACTATTGTAGCTTGTGCAGGGCAAAATGTGGCCAACTGACTTGTTGGATAGGTGACATCCCTTTCTGGGACAACATGGAAAGACACAGCTCGCAGTAAATACCATATTATTCCCAATAAATATTGATGAAAAAGACACATACATTAATTAAAACAGAACACTACATACCCGTTAGACACGTAGTGTATCTTATTTACAACCAATAGCCCAATATGTATTTAACATTGTATGATATACAAGGTGCATAATGTAGGGTTTTGGAGGGTTTTTTTTTGTGAGTTAAAACAGTTTTATATATAATGGGTTCTTTAACGTGCATTTCTTTTATTTTACAGTTCTTATATATTGCTATTATCCAGAGTTCTTTACCAGTTAAACAAAAGAGACACAGTTGGTTTTACAAACAAAAGGATATATAATTAGATGTAGGTTTTCAAATGCCTGTGGCACCTCCAACAAAGAGATGAAGAAGGCAGCCCGTGAGCTTACAATCTAAAGGGCAGTCACGTAGGAATTACCTGGCTGCAGTCTTAACCTTAGGATGCAAATATATTAAATTTGCTGATTATTTGTACGAGTTAAAAAGATATGCTTCTAAATCCAAATTTATGGTTAATACAAATATTTGTTTATGTTTATTGTCTAAAAGTAGAGTTACCGATTTTGCTGTATTTTACATTTTCAGTGCCTTTATCAGTGTATTTTATTTTTATTCTAAATGTAGCATTTGTATATTTATTTACACTTTTGTGTTAAGCAGGATTATCTATTAATTAGATATATTTTTGATTGAGGGTATCACAGTAAGAGTGCTAGGTTAGAAAGGGAAAATTAAGGAGCAGGGAGGGAGATGGACTTAAGACCCTAGAGAGACGAAGGGCAAGAGAGACAAAGGGTAACATGGGATTCAGCTGGGGGAACGAAGAATTTAGAGAATAAAATATTCCTGGATTTGTATGGTTCATAGAGCCCCCTGTGTATAATGAGACATTAACACATCTGACAGTTTTTTAAAGCTTCAGAGAGGATTGCAAACTACAGACAGGATAGCTAGAGAGAGATTTAGCAAGAATCACATAGAGATTATACAGAGAGGGAGGAGAGACAGCTAACTGTCCGTTCAGAAACGGGAAAGGAGGATCGCAGGAGAAAGGGACCTAGCTTGCTGGCCCGACACAGCAAGACTCCTAGGAGGGGGAGACAGATTGTGGGAAATGAGAGAGAGCCAGACAAAGAGAGAGGTGACAAAGGAAAAGTGTTCGAGAGGCCATTATACATTGTAGCAAGAACTGGGCAGTGGGTCACTGAGATACAGCAGGGGATTGAGACGTAAGCCAGACACAAGGAATATGATATGTCAGAAAACTGTCATGTGAAAAGGAAATGGGAAGAGTGCCTGTGTAATTGTAGTGGGTGTGTGCTGCAGAAAAGTTCATTATAGTTAAATAATGTGTTTTATAGAACAGTCTGGGTCCAGTACTGTAGGATTCTATAGACTAATGTAGGAGGATTTGTGTTTGTAGCAAACAGTACTCTATAAAGTGCAAGTTATTGCAGTGTGTGCATATATATTTATGTATACACATACTGAGCATTATTATTATTGTAATGCTTTATATTCAATCTTGATAGTCATAGAAAGTGTTGTAGTATAGGTACTCAGACAGAAGGAAGAGTAGATTTCTCAGAGGGGTTTGCAATGAGTTCCTTGCTTGCATCCTCTCCTTCTCTCACCACTAATGCTCCCAGCTCCTCTTCCCTTCCCTCTCTTGGTCCAGTCTCTTCTCCTCTTCCTTGTCCTTCACGAGGGTTTCTCCGCAGCCTTCGTGTCTTGTACCACATCTTGGAGGAGGAAGGGGGTGGCCGGGTCCATGTGCAAGACATTGAGGGATTATGGGGTGGCCCCACTATCCTGTCTGGGGTCCCGCAGGCACTCAGAGATGCAACAGCTTCCAGTGGTGGCTACCTGAGCTTCCCTCGGCTGGTGAAGGGACTCACTCAGGCACTGAGGGCAGCAGAACCTCAAGATACACAGACACACAGGAGAGGTGAGTCTGAAAAATGTGCTGTGAGTCTTTGTAAAGCAAGTGTCAAGAGGGTGTCAATTCAATCCCCTCTCCATACCTCTGTCTCACTAAACTGCCTGTCTCTTAACTGTCACTTTCACCCCTGTTGTCTCCTAACTTGCCCCGTACCCTCATTCTGAAAACATCTACCTATACTTTATAGAATGCTCCTCCTGCTTTTGTGACCTCTCTTACTATCCACCCTAGCACTGTCTTTCACTCTCTTTCTTTCTCTCATCCTTTTCTTTCACTTTCCCTTATTCTCTCTTTTCTGACTTGCTTTCTTGTTCTCTCTCTTTCTTTCTTGCTGCCCCATCTCACTCTATCATCTCGCCTCCCTTGATTTACACTTTTGTATCATAACGCTCTCTAATCTGCACCATCTGTCTGCATGTATAATCTGCACATTGAGGAAAGCAGAGAGAGATCAGATGAGAGGATTACTACTTTTGCACTGTACAAATAAAATACTTTTTGCTCAACCTATAATTTCCTGTAGATAATTCCCCATTTATAAATGAAAGGTGTCAAAATACCAAAACCACTATGTATCAAATTAAACAGCAATGCATACGACAGTTACATTTATATTAAAAAGAAAAGATGAAGAAACCTAGGCAAATAATATTTAACAGTGTATTCGCTGCAAAATATTCATTAGTCTTTTGTATAGTAAGGAAATTATTTTTCTTGTTGTGTTGAGAATTATTTTGTGTGTATCGATCAAACTATTTAAAGGGACTCTGAGTACCGTAACATCCTGTTGTAGTGGTCATGGTGCAGTGAGTCTGTGGATGCGTTCTGACAGGTTTTCGTAAAACTGTTTTGTTTTTTTAGCAGATTGACAAACACATACTGCCAGGCCACTCGTCACCATCTGCTGATGCAGATGTGCCTTTCCTCTTTAGCCCTTACATCTTCGGATGGCAGTGAATGGCTGAGAGTGCTGAGGGCTAGTTTGACAAAAACACAGGGGATGTATCCACAGAATCTTGAGCTGCAGTTGTTATGGTGCCTAGAATGCCCCTTTTAATTTCCAGGTATTGTAGCACTTCAGAATTTCCTATCCTTCTCTGTAATTACTTACTGAGACTGCAAGTACCAGTTGGTATAGCACTTGTCTATGTGGAAACCATAAGTCATATTTAATTAAGCAGTGGTTTCTGCTATGATGTACTAGTAAAAAATATCCTGCTGGATGCTTACATGTTTTGATATTAATATGGAATGTAAAGGCATTGCCGTAAAAACCCAGAGATTGGATGTATATATATATATATGTGTGTGTGTGTGTGTGTGTGTGTGTGTGCCAGGAACGTGTCTGGCCATTCTTTTGCATTCAGAGAGAAATTTATTGAGAAATCCTACCTGGCTCATGGTGATTACTAAGTTCCGGTCCCTAACATCATAGCTTGTGTGGTTTTAATGCTATGTGCTGAAACACCTGCTCTCCCCAGCATGCCTATTTAATCTTTCCTCTTCTTGACATCTAAGCTCAGGTATCCTGGCACCTACCTCTTTGTCTTTGCTGCTCCGTAGGCCTATATGGTCCTTGCAGATGGACTTTGCGTTGTGTTTGTGCCTGAGAGTTGTCACTTCACCAGTAGCTTCTGCCATTTACATTGACACTGGGATATAATGTCAGCATATCTTAGCTGCCCCATCTAGTGGGCCCCCAATACCCAATTCTATTTGCCTTCATTTTTGACTATAGTTTGCAGCAGAAAGTTGTAGTAAAGTTTTCACAAGCAAAAGCTCAAACAATGACCTATTAAGCCCAGCACATCTTGGTGGACTTGGCAGAATTGAAACCACCAAAGTATTCTATGAATTATTATTATTGAACCCCAGTAATTGATGGCCAAGCTTAATTTAGCAAATAACCCGGCGGGTGACTGTCATTATTTGACCACCTGTTTCTTATTCAGGAGTGAACTCACCAACCAGAATCCTTGGTGTCAAATATGTTAAAATGTTGGCTTATTGGAAAATTTAACGAATGAACAAAATACCCTTCATTAAATACCACTGTAATTAATAATAACAATTAACCACAGCACATTGTAGTGTTATATTCCACGGAGGTTTAGGATGTGATCCTATTATTATTGGCATGTGTATAGCTCTAACACATTCTTCAGATCTATACGATATTATAAAGGAGGGAATTTAACAACAAACGAGACAAGCTTTTACAATTTCCAAAGAAATGATCATGTAGTAGGTGGGATTTAAAAATCCACAATAAGAAGGGAGCCAGCTACAAAGTACAGGGTGGCAAAATAGCAAACTGCAGGTACTGCTGAGCTATCACTAAACCTGGAATTTTGGAAAACTGACAATAACATTTCAAATTTTAGGACAATATTATTGACTGGTCACAAATGCCAGTCTTATACTTTGAATGATCTGTGTAAGACTTCTCCATAATTTATATTGTATAATCTGTGCCAGGCTCAGATTTGGAAGGGTTTGCTTGTGCTGGCCACCCGTGCCAGCTCCTTTCTTCTCTATTTGTGTACTCTGTGGCATCTCTCAGCTTGAGTGAGTCATATTCTCTGTGTCACCTCCATCTAATGCCCACATTAGTCTTGCCATGTGCTGGGCCTGGAATCGAGAGGGACCTTCGTGCCCTCTGTCAGACTTTATTAACCAGATTGTGACGCTTTAATGCAAAGCTCTGGTTATTGAGCCCTGATGTGAACTTTTAATTTCTGCTGAACAGATGCAGGTCTATAAGATGGAGGCAGATGGTGAGAGCAAAACATTAATTACGAAGAGATATATTAAGCCTCTTACGCTGAAAACTTCCCGCATAGAACCTTTAAAAGATAATTCCAGTATATGTCCACCTGTTAAACGATCATCTAGATAATAAGAATGTATTGCTCTCTCCTAGGTGGTAAAGGAGTGACACGCTCACAGAGCATCAACCATGACGTCTCCTCAACTCCACGACTCTCGCGTCAGGAGCAAAAGTCACGCCGACACACGTTGACCAATGGCATTGATTACAACACGGTACTGAGCACTTCTACACACGTGGGTGGGATCATTTTGATGGGGTAAAGGGTTAAGGTTAAGTGGATCTGTCACTTCTTGGGATGTTTAGTTATCCCTGTACTGAATATGTGTTTGTGAGGGTGGAAAAATAAAATTAAATGTAACAATTCACATCTCTTTAGCCTGCAACATTTACAGAGAATAGGATAAATTAAACAATGTCTTGTCAATTTCTTGTCTTCATTTGTGGTGTGTGGCCTGACTTTGCCTGAACTGGTTTGGGATGTAATTTGCTAAATATTTAATATAAACTTAAAAGAAAGCACGTCGCACAAAAAAAAGGTTAACACCGGTTATAAGTGATTTTCCATGTTTTATTCAGTGCTCTGAATTAGAGAGACATGCCAGTCGTTGGTACTTGGGTAACATGGTAACTGCTTGGCTGGATTAATCTGTTACAAGTGATAGTTGTAGAATGTGTGAGAAATGCATATTGTTCATAACTATGTCTTCTCTGGTACTGGATTTAAATATTCCACTCACTATTGATATGACTACAGAAGACATTTATTCACAAACCCAAATTAGCTAATCAGTCTTTCTTTCCTGGCTCATTCTTCATTTTTTTTCTATTTTTCATCTCCTTCATTTTACAATGCGCCTACACTGTCTCCATCTCGCACAGCTCACTTTACTCTAGTCCAATTCCCACTTTCTCCTGAATCTTCTAATTATTTTCTTTTATTGTTTTTTAAGTCCTTTCCCACATTCATTGAAATTGTAGGTACAAGGTGGGTGGGAAACAAGTTACAGTTTCACTGAAAGTTATTGGCAGAAGAGGTAGGGTGAGAGAGAGAGACTGAGAATGAGTGAGAGAGGGATGGAGGGGTGGGGAGAGAGAAAGTGAGAGAATGAAGGAGAGGTGGGAGACAGAATGAGGGAGGAGTGGGAAAGAGCGAGAGAGAATGAGTGAGAGATGAGGGAGGGGTGGGAGTGAGAGTATGAGTGACAGATGAGGGAGGGTGCGGGAGAGAGAGAATGAGTGAGAGATTAGGGAGGGGTGGGAGAGAGAGAATGAGTGAAAGAATGAGGGAGTGTCAGTGCAGCTCGCATACCTTCTCTATTCACACAGGATTGCCGTTTGAGAGCAATAGGCAGGCAAGTCTGTGCGGCTATCCCAATCTGGAAGAAAGCAGGAAAATCACAGAGAGGGCAAATATAGCAACAGGTGGGAGATCAGGGGAAGGGAGACAGTGGATGAAGAAAAGAGAATTAGAGTGAAGAACGAAGAGAAGATAAGTGGAAGAAGAGGTAGGATCTCTAAGGTTATCAGAGTTGGGAGAGAGTTACAGGGATGAGAAGAGTGGACATAAAGAGAGAAAAAAGAGAATGCAGGGAGCAGTGAGAATTAAACGTGTAAGTAGAGAGCTGACAGGATAGGGGATAGGGTGGGACAGATATTCAGGAATATAGACACCCATACCTACAGCCCACAGCTATAGAGAAGCAGGGATTTAGATAGGGTTAAAGAGATACGTGGGGAGTGGACTGAGATTGGACAGAGGGTGTACACAGGTACACAGACTGCCACACCTATAGCTCCAGAACTGGGGAATATACACAGCTGCTGTGACATAGCCACATATACAGCTCCAAGCCAGGTACTGGAACATAGCACAAAATAAGCATTATATGCACATGTAGCATTCAATATGACAGTTCACACTAATATTAATGTACAGAGAGAATGTCACCATCACATATAACCAGATACCTGAATATGTGTACGTATTAATACTTGTTTCATTAACTTTAGCAGTATACACGGTATATAATTATACACACACCACACAGGCACATCCCAGTCACTTATGGTGGTTTTGTTAGCGCACACGCAGACACATGCTCTCTATGGCTGTACAAGCGTATACTATCCTCATCCTCCCCCTGCGCAGCAGCCGAGGAGCCCTGACCTTCTACCTGTGGGTGAGTGTCTATCGTCAGGATTGGTTCATGCTCTGAGATGTCATTGATTTGATGTAAAAGACTTCATTCACTGAATCAGGAATTGAAGACGTGTCCGGTAAATCCATGTTTGTGGCCAAAATATTGAAACTGGAGAAATAGCGGTGTTAGGGAGTGATTACAGTTTGTATAATTTGTCTTAAACCTGAGCTATTACTTCCCATTAAGAGATAACTAAATATAATACGTAAAAATAATAAAATAAGAATGCCAAATAAACTTGATGTTAAAAATATGTTTAATATTAAGAAATATTGTAGTTACTTATATTTAATGAATATGTATTTGTCAGATGTTAAAAAATAAATAAAATAAGTTAAATGTACAATTCCACATCTGGGGGGGGAAGGGGCCTCCCTCTTAGCTCACTGTCAATCATTGTTATGAGCTCTGTCCTTTACACCTGCCAGTCAGCAGAGAGAGAGGAGGGGAAATGAATATGATGCATTATATATAAATTAAATATTCTCCTTATTTGCAATGTGTGCCTTGGCTGTGCATTGGCTGGAATATGATGTAATTTGCCAACTGTTTAACTAAATTTCAAATAAAATTGAGCATCATGTGAAAAAAGGTTATCAAATTTTACAGGTGGTTTTCAATGTTTTGTACAATAGTGTAATTTAAGAAGTGACATAAATTGCAATATCCTAATCAGTTATCCATAATTCTCCCTTTAATGAAAACGCTGCTATGTGTTCATCTAATGTGTCTTGATTAACACCTGCTTTTGTGATACTGTGATACCTCTCTTCCTCTTTAGATCACTGATTTATTCTCCCACCTCTGTGATACAATATTATCAATATTTACTGCCTTTGTCTAAACCTGATCTATTTTATGCTATATGTCTCTCATATCAGACCTTTCTCCAGGTACAGGTGTATCCTTTCCCCTTCTTTTCTATCTTTCGTTCCTGATCAATCTCTCCTCTGCCTCTCCGAGATCAGTTAAATGTTCTATATAATGTATTTGGGATATTACAGCCTATTTATTTGACCTATTGTGCATTGCTATACATTTTTGCAAACCTGAGTATTAAATCTAATTCTGATCCCACTGGCAGTGCTTTGACTTGCAGTATGTCAACATCCCCTGTATTTAAAAAAACAAAAACACTTTTACATATAGATTAGAAATCTGTGGCCATGGCTATAATAAAATGAAATAGTCAAAGATACAAATTGTCAGCCCTGCTGTTTTAGGTTTCCCAGAGATTGTTCTTCCCTGTGGTGCTGAATTTTTCTTTTATTTCTTTATTACCAAACAATATAACACCGTATCAGAGTTTTATATCAATTTCCATTGAGCTTCCACTATGATCCTGCACATTTTTGTTCATGTACACTCATGGAAATTTAAAGTGTATAAGTACAGCGAGCCCCCCCTTCCTCCTTTCACAACTGTACACTGTCATAGAACCTTACAGTGTAACATGAGATAAATACAGCACTGCTCCCCCATACTGCTCCTATACACAATCATAGAACCTTACAGTGTAACATGAGATAAATACAGCACTGCTCCCCCCATACTGCTCCTATACACAGTCATAGAACCTTACATTGTAACATGAGATAAATACAGCACTGCTCCCCCATACTGCCCCTATACACAGTCATAGAACCTTACATTGTAACATGAGATAAATACAGCACTGCTCCCCCATACTGCTCCTATACACAGTCATAGAACCTTACATTGTAACATGAGATAAATACAGCACTGCTCCCGCCATACTGCTCCTATACACAGTCATAGAACCTTACAGTGTAACATGGGATAAATACAGCACGGCTCCCCCCATACTGCTCCTATACACAGTCATAGAACCTTACATTGTAACATGAGATAAATACAGCACTGCTCCCCCATACTGCTCCTATACACTGTCATAGAACCTTACAGTGTAACATGAGATAAATACAGCACTGCTCCCCCCATACACAGTCATAGAACCTTACATTGTAACATGAGATAAATACAGCACTGCTCCCCTATACTGCTCCTATACACAGTCATAGAACCTTACAGTGTAACATGAGATAAATACAGCACTGCTCCCCCATACTGCTCCTATACACAGTCATAGAACCTTACAGTGTAACATGAGATAAATACAGCGTGGCTCCCCCATACTGCTCCTATACACAGTCATAGAACCTTACATTGTAACATGAGATAAATACAGCACTGCTTCTGCCATACTGCTCCTATACACAGTCATAGAACCTTACATTGTAACATGAGATAAATACATACTGCTCCTATACACAGTCATAGAACCTTACAGTGTAACATGAGATAAATACAGCACTGCTCCCGCCATACTGCTCCTATACACAGTCATAGAACCTTACATTGTAACATGAGATAAATACAGCACTGCTCCCGCCATACTGCTCCTATACACAGTCATAGAACCTTACAGTGTAACATGGGATAAATACAGCACTGCTCCCCCATACTGCTCCTATACACAGTCATAGAACCTACATTGTAACATGAGATAAATACAGCACTGCTCCCCAACACTGCTCCTATACACAGTCATAGAACCTACATTGTAACATGAGATAAATACAGCACTGCTCCCCCATACTGCTCCTATACACAGTCATAGAACCTTACAGTGTAACATGAGATAAATACAGCACTGCTCCCCCCATACTGCTCCTATACACAGTCATAGAACCTTACATTGTAACATGAGATAAATACAGCACGGCTCCCCATACTGCCCCTATACAGTCATAGAACTTACATGTAACATGGGATAAATACAGCACTGCTCCCCCCATACTGCTCCTATACACAGTCATAGAACCTTACATTGTAACATGAGATAAATACAGCACTGCTCCCCCATACTGCTCCTATACACAGTCATAGAACCTTACAGTGTAACATGAGATAAATACAGCACTGCTCCCCCATACTGCTCCTATACACAGTCATAGAACCTTACATTGTAACATGAGATAAATACAGCACGGCTCCCCCCATACTGCTCCTATACACAGTCATAGAACCTTACATTGTAACATGAGATAAATACAGCACTGCTCCCCCATACTGCTCCTATACACAGTCATAGAACCTTACAGTGTAACATGGGATAAATACAGCACGGCTCCCCCATACTGCTCCTATACACAGTCATAGAACCTTACATTGTAACATGAGATAAATACAGCACTGCTCCCCCATACTGCTCCTATACACAGTCATAGAACCTTACAGTGTAACATGAGATAAATACAGCACTGCTCCCCCATACTGCTCCTATACACAGTCATAGAACCTTACATTGTAACATGAGATAAATACAGCACTGCTCCCCCCATACTGCTCCTATACACAGTCATAGAACCTTACATTGTAACATGAGATAAATACAGCACTGCTCCCCCATACTGCTCCTATACACTGTCATAGAACCTTACAGTGTAACATGAGATAAATACAGCACTGCTCCCCCCATACACAGTCATAGAACCTTACATTGTAACATGAGATAAATACAGCACTGCTCCCCTATACTGCTCCTATACACAGTCATAGAACCTTACAGTGTAACATGAGATAAATACAGCACTGCTCCCCCATACTGCTCCTATACACAGTCATAGAACCTTACAGTGTAACATGAGATAAATACAGCGTGGCTCCCCCATACTGCTCCTATACACAGTCATAGAACCTTACATTGTAACATGAGATAAATACAGCACTGCTTCTGCCATACTGCTCCTATACACTGTCATAGAACCTTACATGTAACATGAGATAAATACAGCACTGCTCCCCCCATACACAGTCATAGAACCTTACATTGTAACATGAGATAAATACAGCACTGCTCCCCTATACTGCTCCTATACACAGTCATAGAACCTTACAGTGTAACATGAGATAAATACAGCACTGCTCCCCCATACTGCTCCTATACACAGTCATAGAACCTTACAGTGTAACATGAGATAAATACAGCGTGGCTCCCCCATACTGCTCCTATACACAGTCATAGAACCTTACATTGTAACATGAGATAAATACAGCACTGCTTCTGCCATACTGCTCCTATACACAGTCATAGAACCTTACATTGTAACATGAGATAAATACATACTGCTCCTATACACAGTCATAGAACCTTACAGTGTAACATGAGATAAATACAGCACTGCTCCCGCCATACTGCTCCTATACACAGTCATAGAACCTTACATTGTAACATGAGATAAATACAGCACTGCTCCCGCCATACTGCTCCTATACACTGTCATAGAACCTTACATTGTAACATGAGATAAATACAGCACTGCTCCCGCCATACTGCTCCTATACACTGTCATAGAACCTTACATTGTAACATGAGATAAATACAGCACTGCTCCCCCCATACTGCTCCTATACACAGTCATAGAACCTTACAGTGTAACATGAGATAAATACAGCACAGCTCCACCCATACTGCTCCTATACACAGTCATAGAACCTTACAGTGTAACATGAGATAAATACAGCACTGCTCCCCCATACTGCTCTTATACACAGTCATAGAACCTTACATTGTAACATGAGATAAATACAGCACGTCTCCCCAGGGCCAGATTAAGAGCCCAGTGGGCCTGGTGCTGACAATTATGACGGGCCTAATTACAGAATCATATCGACCAAAAACAGTAAAACACTCCCAAGCACCATGTATCTGATGGAGATGGTGCTGTAGAGAAAGAAAACAGCAGCTATAAGAAAACACATACCCTAGGCTAATCTCTCTCTAATTTATGTTTTCATCTTTCAAGTAAATCCATAACCCCTAACAGCAGTGTCCAGTCAAGCAGGAAGTCAATGGGCATGGTAAAAAGGGTGTGCCACTGACACAAATCAAATAACCTGCCAAAAGGGGCGAACATGCCCAAAAAGAGGACATGTCTGCTCAAAGAATTAGAAGGCCAGCCTGGCATGAATGCATGTCAGGCTGCCTGCCAATCATGCAGCTGGCCAACTAAGGGCATACTATGCAGACAGCACCCTGAGCTTGGCATAAATGTATCTAATGATACGCTCACTCAACGCTTTCTAAGGACTGTCCCCTAGCACTCGCTGGTCCACTTGTCTCCTTACCTTCTTACTAGCAGGCAGAAGCTCCTGGTATATGGTCTGGGACAGAGAAAAGCCTGTATGTAGTGAGTGTAGAAGAAAGGGAACATGCCACAGTGTTAGAGAGACCAAAGTCAGCATTACCTTAAAGGATCACTATAGGGTCAGGAACACAAACATGAATTCCTGACCCTATATTGTTAACACCACCATCTAGCCCCCCTGGGCCCATCATGCCTCCATAAATATAGCAAAATCCTACTATATTCAAGCTTGAAGCTGTGACTCTGCATGCTGTTAGACTGAATAAAAACAAGCAGTCTGCTGACATCATTAGAAGTGGTGGCCTGATCCAATCACAGTGCTTCCCCATAGGTTTGGCTGAGACTGACAAAGAGGCAGATCAGGGTCAGAGCCAGCATGATTCAAACACAGCCCTGGCCAATCAGCATCTCCTTACATAGATGAATTTAATTAATGAATCTCTATGAGGAAAGTTCAGTGTCTGCATGCAGAGGGAGGAGACACTGAATGTTTGGATGCATTTTAGGCAGCCATGACCCAGGCAGGATCTCTAACAGTCATCTAAGGAGTGGCCAGTTAAGTTATCACTAGGATGTAATGTAAACACAGCATGTTCTCTGAAAAGACCGTGCTTACAGCAAAAAGCCTGATGGTAATGATTCTACTCACCAGAACAAATTCAATAAGCTGTAGTTGTTCTGGTGACTATAGTGTTCCTTTAACTATATTCATTGTCAGCCAGTCCACACAAGTTTTGTTCCCATACATCCCTCTTAAGTTTCCATACTTAAGTAAGAGTATGTGAAAAGTAGTTAGGGTTGCCACCTTTCTTGGAAAAACATACCGGCCTTACTAATTTGCATAATTAAATATGTGTGGGTGACATCACATGATGTAAATCACAAGGAGTGACATAAGAGAAAATGCTGTAAAATCACCAAAAAACTACTTAGTTTAAATTTGCTGTATAGATGGATTCCTCTCAGTGCCCCCATGTCTCCCAGTGCCCCCATGTGTCGATTACTCCAGGTCTCAGTGTTCCTATGTATCAGTGTCTCAGTGCCCCATGTCTCCCAGTGTCCCCTAGTGTCGTGTCCCCAGGTCTCCCAGTGATCCTATGTATCAGTGTCTTAATGCCCCATGTCTCCCTGTGTCCCCATGTATCCCAGGGTCCCCATGTCACTAGGACACTAGGAAGACGGGGAGACCTGGGGACACGGGGAGACCTAGGGACACGGAGACACCAGTGACACTGAGAGTCTAGGGGACTCTGGCTGGGACACATGGGGACAATGGGAAAATAGGGGACACTTGAAGACATGGGGACACAGACACCAGGGACAAAGATACTAGAGACACTGGCTGGGGGACATTGAGACATGGGGGCACTGGGAGACATGGGGACACTGAGACACCAGGGCCACAGACACTAGGGACACTAGCTTGGGGACATTGTGACACTTGAGGGACTGAGAGACATGGAGGCACTAGGAGACATGGGGACAGTGAGACACTGGCACTGAGACTAGGGGGCACTGAGACACCAGGGACACTGGCTGGTAGACATGGGGACACTGTGTCCCCATGTGTCTGTGCCATAATGTCTCCCAATGTCCCTTAGTGTCTCAGTGTCTGCCATAATGTCTCCCAATGTCCCTTAGTGTCTCAGTGTCTGCCATAATATCTCCCAATGTCCCTTAGTGTCTCAGTGTCTGCCATAATGTCTCCCAATGTCCCTTAGTGTCTCAGTGTCTGTGTGATAATGTCTCCCAGTGTCCCTTAGTGTCTCAGTGTCTGCCATAATGTCTCCCAATGTCCCTTAGTGTCTCAGTGTCTGCCATAATGTCTCCCAATGTCCCTTAGTGTCTCAGTGCCTGCCATAATGTCTCCCAGTGTCCCTTAGTGTCTCAGTGCCTGCCATAATGTCTCCCAGTGTCCCTTAGTGTCTCAGTGTCTGCCACAATGTCTCCCAGTGTCCCTTAGTGTCTCAGTGTCTGCCATAATGTCTCCCAATGTCCCTTAGTGTCTCAGTGTCTGCCATAATGTCTCCCAATGTCCCCTAGTGTTTCAGTGTCTGCCATAATGTATCCCAGTGCCCCTTAGTGTCTCAGTGTCTGCCATAATGTTTCCCAGTCTCCCTTAGTGTCTCAGTATCTGCCATAATGTATCCCAGTGCCCCTTAGTGTCTCAGTGTCTGCCATAATGTCTCCCAGTGTCCCTTAGTGTCTCAGTATCTGCCATAATGTCTCCCAATGTCCCTTAGTGTCTCAGTGTCTGACATAATGTCTCCCAGTGTCCCTTAGTGTCTCAGTATCTGCCATAATGTCTCCCAATGTCCCTTAGTGTCTCAGTGTATGTCTCCTTGCAGCCTTTCCCCCATCCCTCACTTCCCTGAGCTGTAGGCTGTCTCTGCAGGGTGGGAGTTGCTGTCTGGACTCTCTGTAGCTGCACCCCTGCAGATCAGTGAGCATAGATAGGCAGGGAGGGATATGCTGGAACTTCCTATCCCTGCCTGTCTCCACATACAGCGACCCCTACTGGCCAGTGCTGGTATTGCAGAGTAATCTCTGGTTATTCTGAGAAAAATACCAGCATTTGTATTGCCAGTATCACTGCAATATTGGCACCAGCCAGGCAGCCTCAAATACTGTCTGTGCCAATAAAATAAAAGCCAGGTGGAATCCTTAAGAGTAGTGTGTGTAAAAAAATTTTTACATTTTTTTTTTTTAAATCAATGGGCCTATTCCCTGGGCCTGGGCCTGGAGCTGCAGCTCCATCAGCCCCTATGTTAATCCGGCCCTGCGTCTCCCCCATACTGCTCCTATACACAGTCATAGAACCTTACATTGTAACATGAGATAAATACAGCACGTCTCCCCCATACTGCTCCTATACACAGTCATAGAACCTTACATTGTAACATGAGATAAATACAGCACTGCTCCCGCCATACTGCTCCTATACACAGTCATAGAACCTTACAGTGTAACATGGGATAAATACAGCACTGCTCCCCCATACTGCTCCTATACACAGTCATAGAACCTTACATTGTAACATGAGATAAATACAGCACGGCTCCCACCACACTGCTCCTATACACAGTCATAGAACCTTACAGTGTAACATGAGATAAATACAGCACTGCTCCCCCATACTGCTCCTATACACAGTCATAGAACCTTACAGTGTAACATGAGATAAATACAGCACGGCTCCCCCCATACTGCTCCTATACACAGTCATAGAACCTTACAGTGTAACATGAGATAAATACAGCGTGGCTCCCCCATACTTCTCCTATACACAGTCATAGAACCTTACATTGTAACATGAGATAAATACAGCACTGCTCCCCCATACTGCACCTATACACAGTCATAGAACCTTACATTGTAACATGAGATAAATACAGCACTGCTCCCCCATACTGCACCTATACACAGTCATAGAACCTTACATTGTAACATGAGATAAATACAGCACTGCTCCCCGCCATACTGCTCCTATACAGTCATAGAACCTAAGTACAGTGTAACACATGAGATAAATACAGCACGCTCCCCATACTGCCTCTATACACAGTCATAGAACCTTACAGTGTAAATATGAGATAAATACAGCGCGGGTTCCCCATACTTCCTATATACAGTCATAGAACTCATACATTGTAACATGAGATAAATACAGCACGTGTTCCCCATACTGCTCCTATACACAGTCATAGAACCTACAGTGTAAATATTTTATGATAAATATGTTAACGCCTCCCATACTGCTCCTAAGGCCATCATAGAACCTTACAGTGTAACATGAGATAAATACAGCACTGCTCCCCCATACTGCTCCTATACACAGTCATAGAACCTTACAGTGTAACATGAGATAAATATAGCACTGCTCCCCCATACTGCTCCTATACACTGTCATAGAACCTTACATTGTAACATGAGATAAATACAGCACTGCTCCCCCCATACTGCTCCTATACACAGTCATAGAACCTTACAGTGTAACATGAGATAAATACAGCACAGCTCCCCCCATACTGCTCCTATACACCGTCATAGAACCTTACAGTGTAACATGAGATAAATACAGCACTGCTCCCCCATACTGCTCCTATACACAGTCATAGAACCTTACAGTGTAACATGAGATAAATACAGCACGGCTCCCCCATACTGCTCCAATACACAGTCATAGAACCTTACAGTGTAACATGAGATAAATACAGCACGGCTCCCCCATACTGCTCCTATACACAGTCATAGAATCTTACAGTGTAACATGAGATAAATACAGCACGGCTCCCCCATACTGCTCCTATACACAGTCATAGAACCTTACATTGTAACATGAGATAAATACAGCACTGCTCCCCCATACTGCTCCTATACACAGTCATAGAACCTTACATTGTAACATGAGATAAATACAGCACGGCTCCCGCCATACTGCTCCTATACACAGTCATAGAACCTTACATTGTAACATGAGATAAATACAGCACTGCTTCTGCCATACTGCTCCTATACACAGTCATAGAACCTTACATTGTAACATGAGATAAATACAGCACTGCTCCCCCCATACTGCTCCTATACACAGTCATAGAACCTTACATTGTAACATGAGATAAATACAGCACTGCTCCCGCCATACTGCTCCTATACACAGTCATAGAACCTTACATTGTAACATGAGATAAATACAGCACTGCTCCCCCATACTGCTCCTATACACAGTCATAGAACCTTACAGTGTAACATGAGATAAATACAGCACTGCTCCCCCATACTGCTCCTATACACAGTCATAGAACCTTACATTGTAACATGAGATAAATACAGCACTTCTCCCCCATACTGCTCCTATACACAGTCATAGAACCTTACATTGTAACATGAGATAAATACAGCACTGCTCCCCATACTGCTCCTATACACAGTCATAGAACCTTACATTGTAACATGAGATAAATACAGCACTGCTCCCCCATACTGCTCCTATACACAGTCATAGAACCTTACAGTGTAACATGACATTTCGAGATAAGGACAGCATGGCCCATCTAATCTTCTTATTCTCTTTCTGCCTTAAAACCCCTCAATTGATCCTTGGCTTTTAAATGTTCACCCTTTGCTTAACTCGGTTTATACGACAGATGAGTTGGTGAAGGATGGTTTTACGGTCATGTTGTCTGTGCTGTCAGCGCTGCATTATATTCCAGGGTTTACAGTTTGTAATTTCATAATGGCTTATTCACTAAACAGTGAATTCCCGTCAGTTGAAAATCGCATTGCAGAATTCATGCTAATTCATTCATAGAATTAGAGTTAGAATTTTTCTTAAGTCTGTTAATATGGACCCAATTTTGCTATTTGATTTTCACTTGTCTGAAAGTCACTATTTAGTGAATAGATCCGATGATGTTTCTTTGCTCATAAATCTACATACAGACCATTTGTCTGGCATGCTCGGAGGCAGAAACGTGAGATTTCTGTAGATTTTATACTCACATCAATCTCTGCATTTGTTTCAGTATTTTTAAGGAGAAAAAACTGAGCTCTCCCTTCCCCTACAACCCAGTCAATCTTCTCCACCTTAACTATATCAGGGAAATATTCCCCTACAAGGCATCTGCCATGATCTACTGATAAGTTGCGTTTGGCTTTCTCGTTTTCATCATTCTGGTAGCAGCTTTAATTAATGCTGTGTACTGCCAAGGCGATTCATTCACATATCTCTTGGGTCGTACCATAGAGCCTTTCTTTATTATTCTCATACCAGAAGGATTGAGTTTCACAAGGTAACACCAGGTTTCAAAGCCTGGACAAGTTTAACTTCGTGTTATGACATTTGATAGGGAGAAAAGATGCCAAAACTCCGGAGTTTCCACAGAGATGCATAACACTGTGGTCAAATAATATGGAACTGTGAAGGGCAAATCTGAAGGCAGCTCTTTAACTATGTTTGCTTTCTGAAGTGGTTACTAAATACGTCTCATTTTACAACCTTCCTGGAGTATCTGCTTTAACAGTGTGGGCCAAAACTCCTAGTAGGGTTTGAGCAATCAATAACTTTTTTAATAATGAACCAATTTCAATTATATTACATACAACGAATGGTTAACATATGGAGATTTGTTTGACTAGGTACAGAAAATGACATCTTTTAAATGAGCTCCAGCTGCCGCTTGGCAGTGTCGGGCTCTTTCGATTGCATTATTCATAACATTAGTTAATGTTTGAGGCTCTAGAGATCTTTTCTGCACAGATATTCGCCTTGACTTGCTCAAATGTACGCAGTTTGTTCACATACACCAGCTACTTCGGATATCCTCACAGGAAGTAATTGGGAGCTGAAAGGTCAGGCGGATGTGGTGACAAATTAATCTAGGAATTTATTTAAATGATCTGCTTGACAAACAGTTGTCTCAATTTTGAAAATTAAAATTCCACTATTTTTACTTTTTGCTCCTTTGTGAAATTACCCATGATGAATCTCTGAAGACTATAATAAGTACCTGCAATAACAAAAAAAAAACGAAAAAAAACAAACAAAAAAAAAAAAACTTATTTACCTGTCCAATCCTACTCTGAATTCTGGCCCAACCTGTACCTCTGCAAAAGCCAGGTCTTTTATTCTTACATGGCTGGTTAACCATGGTTAGCTCTACCCAATCCACTTTTATTTTATTTTTATGTTTTGGTAGCAGGTTATGTGTCTGCCAGCTCGCCTGTCTGTCCGTCGTATCTATCCATCTATCTAGAAAAGACACGTAAGAGGGAATGGTGTATTGTGTGACAACAGACCCATTGTGGGGTTTTGGAGACACCGTAAACCATGGTACTAAGATTGGATCTCCAGAACCTCACAGTGGCTGACAGCTTTGCTATTTACCTACTCACCTTAATTTCCTTAATGTACATTTAGATTATTTATTTAGGTTTCATCACCTATAGTTTCAACAAATAAAATCAGACAAGGGCTCGGAGAATTTGTTTTAGGAAAGCTAAGCTCTATGTCTAACACTCTCTGTCCCTTTAAACCTGTTTTATATAGAGGCAGTGGTTTGCAAACTCACTACAGATTACATCCGCCCTTGTTTAAAAACCTGAATGGAAGCTATTGTCACGTTTTCATCCGCTTATAAAAAATGTGGTTAATGACATTTACTGTCCACACAGGAAAAGTTGAGCCCAGCAGCAACCTAATCCACAGAAGGGTTAATGTTGAGCAGAAATTATGTAAATGAAACCTGGTAACTGACTTTGGGGTCAAAGGCCGGTTACAGCCTATCAGAACTAAAGGAGGAGTATTTAGGCCCAGTTCTCAGCCTGCTCAGTGCCCTGTCGTGGTTTCCCTTGTGGTTGTCCGAGAGCGCGTTCCTGTTTATAGTTTTCTACCTGTTTTTTTACTTTGGCTTTGCTTATTGACTTCTCTATATTCTGGTATCCTGACTCCTGGCTTTCCTCATCGCCGCGTCCCTTTCTGTGTTCCCTGACCTCGGCTAGTATTTTTGACTATTCTATGTACGTTAAATCCGGCCATTCTAAGGACTGGTAATACGTTACTTATTTGTAATCCATGCTATACAGTTCTACGTGCTGGATTAAACAGTAATCCTGACAGCTATACAGGAAGTGACGGGAATCCTGCAGCTATATTTATTAATTTGATGAGGAGCATCCAGCATCTTTACCGCCAAGATCGTCTGAGACCAGCCACCCAGACAGCTGCTGCAATAATCAGTTTGCATAACTAAAGAATTTCTGCCCAGGCTGTCAGAAACCATCTCAGGGAAGCTCATCTGCATGCTCGTCGTCCTCAGATGCTGGATGTGGAGGTCCTGGGCTGGTGTGGTTACACGTGGTCTGCGGTTGGGAGGCCAGTTGGATGTACTGCCAAATTCTCTGAAATGCCTTTGGAGACGGCTTATGGTAGAGAAATGAACATTCAACTCACAGGCAACAGCTCTGGTGGACATTCCTGCAGTCAGCATGCCAATTGCACACTGCCTCAAAACTTGCGACATCTGTGGCATTGTGCGGTGTGATAAAACTGCACATTTTAGAGTGGCCTTTTATTGTGGCCAGCCTAAGGCACACCTGTGCAATAATCATGCTGTCTAATCAGCATCTTGATATGCCACACCTGTGAGGTGGATGGATTATCTCAGCAAAGGAGAAGTGCTCACTAACACAGAGTTAGACAGATTTGTGAACAATATTTGAGACAAATAGGCCTTTTGTGTACATAAAAAAAATCTAAAATCTTTGAGTTCAGCTCATGAAAAATGGTAGCAAAAACAAGTGTTGCGTTTCTAATTTTGTACAGTATAATAATGCTGAACAGTTCTTTTTGTATCAGGGTATTTCGCAGTGGTTTCTGCTCCATATTGGGCTTTTCTTTGTATTTCTTTCTTTGTTAGATGTGTTATATTTGCTGTGATTGATGGGTTTGCATGTAATATTTAGGTTGCATGTTACAACGCAGGGGAATGCACGCTGCAAGGCGTATTCTTAGGAATACCAGAGTCATTTAGGGTTTTATACTAATAACATCTTTCCTGACACTAAAATGGATTTTTTTTTAAACTTGTGCTTCCCATGGCTGTGTGTATACTACATACATGTCTGAATAGGCTTAAGAAGTATGAAATGTGATACAGGATAGCTAGCACACGCTACTAAGATATAGTGTAACATTTTAGTGTTCTCAACTGTTTTAAAAACATTTCATATGTTTGATGCAACAAGCTTCTCAATCCACATAATAGTGTAAAACTATATCCGCTCTGTATCTGTATCCGCCTGAAGTTCCATATTTCTGTATCTATTAACTCCCATCCTACCTCTCATCTCTCTAGTTTGTCCTTCCCGGAGTCAGAGCAGGAGGGAGTGCACACATTTTGTATGAGTTAGCTTTTCCCCATCATTCCTCCTGCTTCTGATTTCTCATGGCAAAAAAAAACAAAACGGTTTTGTGGATCATTTCTTTTTCTGTAATAAATCCTGTGAATTGGGAGATTGTGATACTTTCTTTATGTGTCAAAAATGAGGGGAACAATATTTCCAGACATTCGAGGTATATTATGACTTGTATCACCTCGTGTCAGATAAGGAGAGGTGGATTGTCTGTATAATAGATCGTACACCTATTTGGTCATTTATTATTTCAGTTTATTTTACAATTTTTTTAAAATAAATATTCAATACATCACCACTGATTTATCATTTACATATGCACTATTTGTGTATATATATATTATTACATTTACTACCTTGCTAGTGCTGGGCATTTTCCTATAAAATGCTTGGTAAATGGTAAATAATAGTATTAATATCCCAAACAAAATTGCTGCCTTTTTGTGTCTAGTACCTAGTTCGAATATCCAATGTCTGTGATTTTATTATTAAATGTGATACATCTCCCCTCTCTTTGGCATAACACATATTTGAATGCCCTGAAACTGAGAGAGAGAGGGGACCCCCACTACCTGCCCAGAAGTGCCTGGCTGCCGATGATTCTTGTTTGTTTCTGTTAATATTAGAAATATGTTTTCAAATTATTTCTCTGAGTTCCCTAACAGTCATCCTACATATTAAGCCTGGCATGGCTGGTAAATAAAGACTAAACCACATTACTTGTTCTGCAGTTAATAATCTGCTGTATATTAGAAGATTTCATTTGTGCAGTAGAATGAAAAATTGTGCCCTTCAGTGTAAAGGGTTTTTCAGCCTCCTCTACATTTATTCATGTCCTTGAAACGTAACCAAGAGGGATTACAAGACGCATCCTTCCAAGAGACCAAGCTACAGGCTACAAGTGAAGCCAAAGTGCTGTGCTCTTTAATTAACCGCACAGTACATCGGCATAACCTTTGTCCAATCGTAGAACTGGAAGACACTTTTGTGAAGTATTCATTATCTCAAATTCCTCACTGAACTGAGAACAAAATTCAGGACCTTGTCCTTCAGTGGAATGAATACATTGTGTTCTATTTGTTTCATAGATTCCCCTCTTAACAGAGTCCCTCATCTTACTCCTGGCTACATTATAGCCTCTCCAGATATCTCTCATCTTATTACCAATATTCCACATGTGCTGTTTAGGAAATGTTGCATTACTATCCCATTACATCACATGTATGTTAATTCCCACCAGCCTATAAATTAGAGTTCCAACAGTGACTGTCTTTTTTTCTAACCTCTGCACTTAGGAAGCGCAAAGGTCAAAAATCAGAACTGGCTTGTGTTTTTTTTTTATTTTTTTTATCCTGCGAGTTAGATTGTTAAATTGCCCGAGAGCCTGGGGAGCAGGAGCTTTGACAAATGTCAGGATTATTCACCAAACTCCAAATCCTAGCATTTATCACCAGAATTAAATGTATTTTTTTTTTTAAAGCTACAGGGACAGAGTATTTTCACCATAACCACTTCCGAGAGATGACAATTTGAACCCCACAGATGGATATTGCCAAAGAGCATATACTCAACTGTAGCGACCAGGCCAACTGTGGGTGAAAGGTAGATTAAAATGGAGACATTCTCTTTCATCTAACCATTACTATTGTTATGATTAGCATTTATAAAGCGCTACCATACTATGCAGCACTTTCTAATTATAGAATGGGGATATTTGACAACAAATAATTGCATACAGAATATAGTAGCCAAGAGCTGATGCAGGCCATGCTCACACAGGCTTACAATACATTACTCTTTATTACAGTTACGTCGTATGAAAGAATTGGAGCAAGAACGAGATGCCCTTCTAGATGGTATTCAGCTTGTGGAGCGAACACGGAATTGGTACATGGAAAGACTTCATGAGGCGGACCAGCAGAGGGAGCTAGAGTGCAGTGCGGTAATACAGACACAACCAATCCTATTTATACTGCCACCTACAGACCAGCAGGGGGAGCTAGAGTACAGTTTCGTAATACAGACACAACCAATCCTATTTATACTACCACCTACAGACCAGCAAGGGGAGCTAGAGTACAGTGTGGTAATACAGACACAACCAATCCTATTTATACTACCACCTACAGACCAGCAGAGGGAGCTAGAGTGCAGTGCGGTAATACAGACACAACCAATCCTATTTATACTACCACCTACAGACCAGCAGAGGGAGCTAGAGTGCAGTGCAGTAATAGACACAACCTATCCTATTTATACTACCACCTACAGACCAGCAGAGGGAGTTAGAATGCAGTGCGGTAATAGACACAACCTATCCTATTTATACTACCACCTACAGACCAGCAGAGGGAGTTAGAATGCAGTGTGGTCATACAGATACAACCTATCCTATTTATACTGCCACCTACAGACCAGCAGAGGGAGCCAGTGTACAGTGCGGTAATACAGACAACCTATCCTATTTATTCTACCACCTACAGACCAGCAGAGGGAGCTAGAGTGCAGTGCGTTAATACAGACACAACCAATCCTATTTATACTACCACCTACAGACCAGCAGAGGGAGCTAGAGTGCAGTGCGGTAATAGACACAACCTATCCTATTTATACTGCCACCTACAGACCAGCAGGGGGAGCTAGAGTACAGTTTCGTAATACAGACACAACCAATCCTATTTATCCTACCACCTACAGACCAGCAAGGGGAGCTAGAGTACAGTTTGGTAATACAGACACAACCAATCCTATTTATACTGCCACCTACAGAGCAGCAGAGGGAGCTAGAGTACAGTGCGGTAATACAGACACAACCTATCCTATTTATACTGCCACCTACAGACCAGCAGAGGGAGCTAGAGTACAGTGTGGTAATAGACACAGCCAATCCTATTTATACTACCACCTACAGACCAGCAAGGGGAGCTAGAGTACAGTTTGGTAATACAGACACAACCAATCCTATTTATACTGCCACCTACAGACCAGCAGAGGGAGCTAGAGTGCAGTGCGGTAATAGACACAACCTATCCTATTTATACTACCACCTACAGACCAGCAGAGGGAGCTAGAGTGCAGTGCGGTAATACAGACACAACCTATCCTATTTATACTACCACCTACAGACCAGCAGAGGGAGCTAGAGTGCAGTGCGGTAATAGACACAACCTATCCTATTTATACTACCACCTACAGACCTGCAGAGGGAGCTAGAGTGCAGTGCGGTAATACAGACAACCTATCCTATTTATACTACCACCTACAGACCTGCAGAGGGAACTAGAGTGCAGTGCGGTAATAGACACAACCCATCCTATTTATACTGCCACCTACAGACCAGCAGAGGGAGCTAGAGTGCAGTGCGGTAATACAGACAACCTATCCTATTTATACTGCCACCTACAGACCAGCAGAGGGAGCTAGAGTGCAGTGCGGTAATACAGACAACCTATCCTATTTATACTGCCACCTACAGACCAGCAGAGGGAGCTAGAGTACAGTGCGGTAATACAGACACAACCTATCCTATTTATACTGCCACCTACAGACCAGCAGAGGGAGCTAGAGTACAGTTTGGTAATACAGACACAACCAATCCTATTTATACTGCCACCTACAGACCAGCAGAGGGAGCTAGAGTGCAGTGCGGTAATAGACACAACCTATCCTATTTATACTACCACCTACAGACCAGCAGAGGGAGTTAGAATGCAGTGCGGTAATAGACACAACCTATCCTATTTATACTACCACCTACAGACCAGCAGAGGGAGCTAGAGTGCAGTGCGGTAATACAGACACAACCTATCCTATTTATACTACCACCTACAGACCTGCAGAGGGAGCTAGAGTGCAGTGCGGTAATACAGACACAACCTATCCTATTTAAACTACCACCTACAGACCAGCAGAGGGAGCTAGAGTACAGTGCGGTAATAGACACAACCTATCCTATTTATACTGCCACCTACAGACCAGCAGGGGGAGCTAGAGTACAGTTTGGTAATACAGACACAACCAATCCTATTTATACTGCCACCTACAGACCAGCAGAGGGAGCTAGAGTACAGTGCGGTAATACAGACACAACCTATCCTATTTATACTACCACCTACAGACCAGCAGAGGGAGCTAGAGTGCAGTGCGGTAATAGACACAACCTATCCTATTTATACTACCACCTACAGACCAGCAGAGGGAGCTAGAGTGCAGTGCGGTAATACAGACACAACCTATCCTATTTATACTACCACCTACAGACCAGCAGAGGGAGCTAGAGTGCAGTGCGGTAATACAGACACAACCTATCCTATTTATACTACCACCTACAGACCAGCAGAGGGAGCTAGAGTGCAGTGCGGTAATAGACACAACCTATCCTATTTATACTACCACCTACAGACCTGCAGAGGGAGCTAGAGTGCAGTGCGGTAATACAGACAACCTATCCTATTTATACTACCACCTACAGACCTGCAGAGGGAACTAGAGTGCAGTGCGGTAATAGACACAACCCATCCTATTTATACTGCCACCTACAGACCAGCAGAGGGAGCTAGAGTGCAGTGCGGTAATACAGACAACCTATCCTATTTATACTACCACCTACAGACCTGCAGAGGGAGCTAGAGTGCAGTGCGGTAATACAGACACAACCTATCCTATTTATACTACCACCTACAGACCAGCAGAGGGAGTTAGAATGTAGTGCGGTAATACAGACACAACCAATCCTATTTATACTGCCACCTATAGACCAGCAGAGGGAGTTAGAATGTAGTGCGGTATTACAGACACAACTAATCCTATTTATACTGCCACCTACAGACTAGCAGAGGGAGTTAGACCATTTTGCCGGTTTTTCATTAAACCATGGTTCAGGTTAATATGATTTTAATGTCACTGTGGTAGTCCATTAGTCAAGCTCTCCATGAAGGTTGCTTAAATAAAGAGTGAAGGTGCGCTAATCCTGGAAAATTAGTAGGCAGAAATTGTTTAAGAAACGTTGCACATGTTTTAAGGCAGATCGATAGGAAATTAGAAAGGGTTATGGGATAATTCAAAAATATAAATAGCCCCCAAAAAAGTAAACAGAGATATACGTCATGTAGCTGAATTAGGTAGCTGCCTGTCTGCACTACACAGTCATTTATACCAAAGTAGAATCATTAAATGTGGGAAGAAATGCAAAATGTAGGTAAAAGGTGCTGAAACGGAAACATTCTCCAACGCTTTATTTTATATTTTGGATAATATATAGAACTTTTACTTTACTCTGATTCTTCTGAACACGCTGTCTTCTCTGGTTTTAAATCCGTCTGTCTTCCCTCCTTGTGTAGGAGCAGTCTCTGCCATCTCCTCTCCTCGGACCATCTCTTTTGATACAAATTCAAGAAGTCAACAGGTTCCTGAATGACCTTCTGTCCCCTCCAGAAAAGGTACAGGGTTTGTCCCATTAATTGTCTTTCTTTGAGTGAGTCTTTCATCTGAGATGTTCTTTCCATGAGTCAGATTGAAATAATTTTGCTAAAATACACAAGTTGTTTTGTTGTTGGATTTTTATTAATATTTATTAGCATTTTGGAACTATAAAACATACAACAAAGAAAACCTTTGCAGTGAAACTGCCTCTTCCCAGGATTTGACATTTAAATTAAACAGAGGATCACGTGATTAGTTATAGGTGATTTTAAATGTTTTATTCAGTTAATGTCCAGATAAGTGAAAGTTGATCTTTGAACAATAAGGGACGTGCACACCTGATTCGGATCCTCACCACATGGTCCATAGTAAAACAAAACTCTGTACTATTTCCCATACCTCTTACTTATCCGTAGTGATGTTTAGACTCCGGTTTCTAGATTTTTGATCATAGAAAGTATGGTTAGGCAGTAGTTTGGACTTTCTTCCTTTAGTTTCGTTTACTATTTGTTTATTGTCCTTTTTTTACTTTCATGTCTATTCTCTTGTGGGACTAGGGATATTCAATAATAGAGAGATTCCGATTTGGTTTAGTATTTAGAAAATAGGGGGCACCCAAAGGCACGATAGGGTGTTCTCATGCTGTTAAATTATTATGGTTCCTTTTCTTTCTTTATGGACTACACTCTTGATTTACTTTTTTGCTGCTTCGTTTATTTACTGCGCTTTCCTAGTAAGTCTCTGGATGTTGCACAGCAGCAGTTTTTCCTCATTGACTTTCATTTAGATAGCGACTCTTTCTTTTGTTGTTGCTACTATAGCTTTTAATTTGTATACTTGGCAGAAGGTTAACACTCAAATTGTTGTAGCTGTTTAGCAATCACCTGTTAAGCTGTGTGTGCCATTTATTAGAAAATTGCTGTTTTTAAATTTTATCTGCTGCTTATTATCCTGGAACTAATAAAAATTAATGTTTCTTTTGGCAAAGTACACCCTGGGCCAGCCCTGGAGAGGTGCACTGTGTGCGCTGTGTGATAGCACAGAGTACAATAGAGAGCAGGGTGTTGACACATCTCTCTGTCGGGTAGTAAGCAAAGTATCTTAAGAGTTGAGGAGTTCAATGCTGAGTGTTAGTGTGGCCAATCTCCAACAGCCGATGTATTGCATCAATGCCTGACTGTCAGAAGAAATTAGCTAAGTAATGGAAAAAAGACTAATATAGCAAGTGAATAAAACCAAGACGCTTAATATTACTGTTTATTCAAGGAAAGTTAATGATCGATGTGTCATAATTTAAAACATAACTATTATTAGTAAATTTGTTACAATAAATGAAAGCTATCTATGTGGTTGTGACCATATAATTGTGTGACGCAATATAAAGAATGAAAAGATCATAATAAGCCCTACCGAATGATAGAGTAAAATGATTATAATGTAAGTCACGTCAGATAAACTGATAGGTAGAACGAAAGACAATGTATCAATCTCTGTTAGGATCCCACTACTGAATGAACAGGGAATCAGTTACAAGTGTCTTAGGACAGAGAAAATAATTATTCAATAATAGTGAAAGGACTTGGTATTTAAAGACACTAATAATCCCTGTTATTACTGCAGTGATAATGCATTATATGCAGCCAAAGGGTAATCAGAACATTCAGGTCTCTTGTGGATGGTTGGTCTATTACAGTGTGTCTTAGTCAATTACTGGCAAAATAAAGATTATTAAATCCCGTACCGCTTCACTGAACCAAAAGTGTCTTGAGCTCTCTCATTATGTAGCTGGTAGATTTCTATATATATATATAGCTATATCCTGGTCAATTACAAGATGCAGACAAACAACTTTTTTTCTGGAATAAATTGGTTGCTTGGCAGCTTTCAGTGTGAAGAGATTCTGTATTGAATGAGTCACCGTGCGCATGACAACCGTATTGGCGTATGTGTGAGTGTGTGCGGATATTCAGAGAAAATGTCATTCAGTGCTATGTCTCACAGTGTAATTTCTCTTCTCTTGTAGAAACAGCCCTCGTACATGACGAAGCACCCTGATGCCATCAACACACTCAGATACCAGAACCAGCTGCTGACGCGGGTTAGTAAACCCTGGCTGCTCCAGAGCAGTAATGGAAGACTTTGGGCATGTCGAGGGTACAGGGACAGGTTTGGGTACATGGATTCCTAGCGTTCCCCACTGGCAGCATTCCAGGAACTCCCTCCCATTGCTGGTTCTCTTTTCTTGGTATGAGTCAATATCTCCGTCTCCCTGAGTTCCCATCATGCAGTGCAAGGAGGCACTGGCGCTTGTGATGATTTCCTGTAAATCTACAGTTGGGGTACCAAAAGTGAATTTCAAATTTAAGGTCAAAATAGTTGAACTGGAAAAATTATCTGAGTCAGCAATACTTTGAATTAGGCTACTGTGGCCTGCAGGATAATGGCTTGGCCAGGCGAGGGGGAAGGTAGACAAACAACAGAGGAAGGTGTAGGACTGTTATACAGCTCTGGTTAATGGTGCGTTATAAATAATATTGTTCTAGATAAAGTATGAGTTAGAGATGGTGAGATTGCTCAGTTGGTTATTGTACCAATTGTGTTAGAAGTTCACACAGGTTAGTTTCAGAGCAGAATCAACTAAAGCATGCTTCTCTCTAAGGTTCCTGATTACCATGGAGTTAGGAGCGTGTAATATATGTACCCTAGCATTGCAGGAAATGGAGGTCTCCATGTATCCCTCCTGATAATGTTGGATACTATTGTAACTGATGTAATTTCATTGTAGGAGCTCTCCACACAGAATGAAAGGATCTGGAAGCTGCAGCGAGAGAATGAGGCTTTATATAGGGAGCTTGAAGAGCGTCAGTTCCATAGAGGGACATTCATCTGAGAGCAGTGGATGCACCCAATGTGCAGTCAGTTTTCCATATAAAGGGACTCGAGGAGCACAACAAGCTGTGCCACCAGCAGGATAACCGTTATAAAATTACACAGTGCTAGATCCAATGAGACACAGTCTCGGTAATTAGAGATCTGCTGTTGGACCTGACTAGAAAGAAAATAAAACATTGCTCTTATCCCTCGTCAGCCAAGCCTTCATATTGCGTGATATCTATGATCCATGGCGTGTCTGGCCAGAGACCTCCAAGACAAACTGTGAATAACAAACTATACGGCATCTGTGTCTTACGAAATACCGGTTGTTTTCACCATAACACACACCTGCAGCGTCCCTTCTTCCGATCGTCAGAGCACTTCTCGTTTTGGATTATTCTTTCTAATTACATGACAGCAACATTCTCATCTTATTACAGACACAGAACAGTCTTCTGCCCACAGATCATCAGAGGATTCTTCTCACCTTGAAAAAAACAAATCTGTTTAACCACAGACTTCCCTGTCCGAATCCGCCACTATCTGTGTCCCTTAATTTTTATATTAAAAATATCACATCATTCTTTTCTGTATGGCCTCTGTTTACAGATATGTATACGAGTCAATGATGTTATGTAACACTAAAGGCTTTATTCAATAAACCCCAAACTGTAGAGAATGAAAACCAAGGTGTAAAGTTTACGCAAGAGCAGCTGGTTTGCACAAAAACTCTCCAGTTCAGCAATAATTGGAGTTTGCCCATTTTAGTATACATTGTGTAATTGTTTCTAATCCTCTAGAATTAGTTATTGAGCGAATAACCTGTGGTGTCTTGTTGCTGGTACAGTTTCTCTGCTACTAAGTGTGCAGAGCGTGCATTCTTTCTGACCATTCCAGGCACCCACTGGTGTGGAAGAAATGTAAAACCGTTCGTTGCGTGGCTGCTTCTACTGGGAGAATTAAGTGAACCTGGGCTGGGGGAAATATAATTAATACATAGCTGTTTAACTACATCTATTCTCAAGGAAGGGAAGTTTATGCAGATTATCAAAAACTGAAGTTAAAGGGAGAAGCCAGATTAAAATATGGAAAACTAACCCTTTTATTCAATTGGCCTTCATTTTAGCACTTTGGGTGAATGGAATTCATGTAATTGTATAAACTAGGCAAGTCTGTTCAATCCCCTGTATTATTCGCAATAAATACATTGTTTGCATGAAGCAAAATGTTCTCCATGTCACAAGCACACAGATTAATATAAAATAATATAAATAGTGATTAATCTGCACAGATTACCAATTGGTGCAGGCTGAGCCCAAGTTAAAATCTCAAACAACTGTACTCCAATAGTCACTTAGCATGAGCTCAAAAATATATGGCAGCCGGCAGCGCTGAAAATGGTCAAATTTAATAGTACGGATTTGGCATTTTGTTAAAATATTCAAACATTGGTGATAAATGCCAATATAAACCCAGATTGAAAGACGTCCCCCGCTATTTATCACCACTCCAAGTGGCTTTATCACACAGTTTTTAGGGAAACCGTAATAAAATGCAATGATTTTTGTGCAATGAAAATGGCCACTTTACCATGACGTGACTTCTCTGGAACAAATGAATATAGGTTTTAACTCCACATGTGAAGTTCCACATCTGTAACATAAGTGGTTTCAGAGACAGATTTTACAAGATGTGAAATAGCTCTGAGACACGTGCTGTAATTCTAGATTTTAAAGGGACACTATAGTCACCTGAACAACTTTAGCTTAATGAAGCAGTTTTGGTGTATAGAACATGCCCCTGCAGCCTCACTGCTCAATCCTCTGCCATTTAGGAGTTAAATCCCTTTGTTTATGAACCCTAGTCACACCTCCCTGCATGTGACTTGCACAGCCTTCCATAAACACTTCCTGTAAAGAGAGCCCTATTTAGGCTTTCTTTATTGCAAGTTCTGTTTAAGATTTTCTTATCCCCTGCTATGTTAATAGCTTGCAAGAGCCTCCTGTATGTGATTCAAGTTCAATTTAGAGATTGAGATACAAATTATTTAAGGTAAATTACATCTGTTTGAAAGTGAAACCAGTCAATCATAGCCAGGGGAGGTGTGGCTAAGGCTGCATAAACTGAAACAAAGTGATTTAACTCCTAAATGACAGTGAATTGAGCAGTGAAATTGCAGGGGAATTATCTATACACTAAAACTGCTTTATTTAGCTAAAGTAATTTAGGTGACTATAGTGTTCCTTTAAAGCTAAACATTAACTAACCCCCTAGAACAGTCACTTGATGTTCCAAAGGAATAATTGAGACACAATTAGCAGCTGTTGTCAACAGGATTCCTGACAGAGACAGGTACCAGATACCTAGAAATATTCTCTATTTTGAAGTATTATGTAGGAATTTAGTCTTAGAAGACATGTAAGAGAATAATGTGTCACATGTTAAAGATTGCTTGATTGTGATGCAGCTTCCATCCAGTCGATACATGTCGCTATCTCACTGCATTGGAGTGATACGGACTACGTGCTCGTTCTTACATATAATGTGTGTGGATATCGTTATAAATTTACTACTAAGGGTGAAAAGGGGGAAGAGACAAATTGTATTATTTATACATAAATGCAATTTTTTTTCCTTTTTAAATAGATACAGAATTTTTTTCTGTGAGAAATTCTGTTCAGACTGTCCTAGCCATGTTTATATATTACTTTGTACTATTTATCACGTTATAGTTGGTGCAGTTCTTTAAATTATATGGCTACAAAATCACTTTATTTGAAGTCTATCTTAAACCATACAAGGCTTCTGCGGTTTTACTGCAGCCTCAGACAGGCTTCACTGGGGTTCTTCTAAATCGTTATGAACAAAAATATTTTAAGTCCACATCAACCTTTATTAATTCAAAGTTACAGAAAGGCACGCTCTAGAATGGAGGAAGAACCTCACTGGCTGATTGACCGACAGCCAGGGAGGTGTTTCTTAATTTAATTATAAAAGTACAGATTTCAATGTTATTGAGATGCGATATGAAGTGGTTTATAGCTGTGGAGTGGTCCTTTAATTTTACATTTTCTAAAGTTCTGTGCATCACAGCAAAGCTGGCCCCCTCTACCTTCTGTAAAAGACACAGATTGAAAAGCCAGTCTATGGGGGTTCAATTAATCACTTAGCAAGCCCTCCTCTTCTAACCCCACCCAGACTTCCCAATGCAGCTCAATGAGAAATCCTTGCAAGGCAGGTGCTCTGAGCTTCTTTGCAAGGCCGCCATCAGGGCGTGACAACAATGACTTGTCACGGCCTGGCCGCTTGGGCCCAACGTGTAGCGACGCAACTGCCGCTGGTGCAGCTGCACCGGGGCCCGCACCCTGATAGGGCCACCGGGTGGGCTCTATATCTTAAGGGGCCCGGACAGCGCTGTGGCCATGTAAAAGCGATGACCGATCACTTCCTCCAAGCTCCATCCGCTCGGGAGGGGAGAGAGACAGGCAGCGAGGATGGGAGATCCCACACCAACTCCAATCAGTCCCAGCCACCCTCCTGCAAGGAAAAAGTACGAAACATTAGCTCTGTGTGTGTGTGTGTGTGTGTGTATGTCCAGCGGCGTACATACTGCGGTTGCAGGGGTTGCAGCTGCGACCGGGCCTGGCACTCCAGGGGGCCTGGCCGCCCTGCGACCTGGTACCAGGCCTGCTGCCACATTTTGCGGCCCCGGCCTGCGCAGCAAACCGCCGGGCCGCATATGGAGGGGTCCATCGGTTGGCCCATGGTGTCAGGGCCTCCCGATGGATATGGATTGTGAGGGGGCCCGGTCGCGCTCTTAAAGCGCCCAGCACAGACTGGTGATTACATCAGAGCTGGGAGGAAGTGATTCTCCGGTCACTCCTCCCAGCATACTGAGAGCCCGTGCGGGAGGAGGAGGAGGGAGTCAGAGTGGGAACTCTGACTCCCATCAGGCTGAGCCACCACTGGACCCCAGGGAAAGTAACAAGGTAGGAAACATTTTGTGTATGTGTGTCTCTGTATATGTCTGTGTCTCTGTACGTGTATGTGTGTGTGCCTGTGTGTATGCGTGTGTGTATGTGTCTGTGTCTCTGTATATGTGTGTCTGTCTGTATGTATGTGTGTGTCTATGTATGCAGTGGCGTACACACAATCCATGGGGCACTGTATGTATGTGTCTTTGTCTATGTATGTGTGAGTGTGAGTGTGTGTATGTATGTATGTATGTGTCAGAGGGGATGGGGGAGAGAGGGGAAGGGGGCCCACGGATCAGTTTCGCACCGAGGCCCCATGAATTGTGTGTATGCCACTGTGCATGTCAGTATATATCATGTATATGTCAGTGTGTGTGTCCGTATGTCAGTATGTATGTGTGAGTGGGATTAGGGGGCGGGCCCCCACGGGCCCAGACCTTGAGCAGTGTTAGGATCCCCAAAATTTCTGATGATGGCCTTGCTTCTTTGGTATAGCTCCATTGAGCTATGCAAACCAGGAAGTATCAGGACCGGTTGTGAGATTAACAGGCAGTGGATTGTAACAAAGTTTATATATATATATATATATATATATATATATATATATATACACATATACATATACACACACACACACACACCCCCCCCCCCCCCCCCCCCCTACAAAAATAGTTGCTCAACGTTTCAGTCCACGTTTGGGACTTTCCTGATGATGAAGTCCCAAATGTGTACTGAAACGTTAAGCAGCTATTTTTAAATTTTAATTACCTATTGGAATCAGAGAGTGCTGGTTATCTTCTCTATTGGGGGGGGGGGTGTGGGTATATATATATAAAATCTCTTTTGAAATGTGCACTTTTTTCCAAAATGTGAAAAAAAACAAATACAAAAGTGTTTAAGCGCTATAGAGAGTCTAGCTGCGCTGTACCACAGTGACACAAGAAGTATACACAAATAGAAATATTAAAGCACGCTTCAACTAATGAACATTTTTTTATCTGGAAATAAATAACGAGAAACGAATATAGTGCAGACTATCCGAATAGAATATAGCGCATAAAAGGGGTATAGGGTATCACCCCTGGCTCCGGGTTTGAAGTATCCCACACTGTGTGGACAGGATCTGGATGTTATGCTCCCAGTTGGTAGATGGTTCTATGCAATATAGTACAGAGAGAGGCAGAAACCCCTCATTGAATTCCCCTATACCCCCTTTCGTTCGAAATATCCTATTCAGATAGTCTGCACTATATTCATTTCCAGAGAATTGCTTTCATTAGTTTAAGCGCGCATATTTTGGTAATATTAAAGTGTTTTAGAGGTTCGGTGTGTCCCTTTAAGGTTAGCTAGTGTAATTTGCTGTTGCTTGTAATAATTACATCCATCAGCCATTGGAGAAGGTTTTAACAATGTTTTAGCATTTTTCTGCTGCACTTTCTAAAGCCTTCGTAGCCAGACCGGGCCATTCCTTCTCCCACCCAAAAAATATATAATCTGGTTAGTAACATCTCTGTAAAGATGGCGGATTCAATCAGAGGATTCCAGGTTGTTGATTCAAATGACAGCAAATTGTAGTGAAATGTTAACGGATTTGCAAAATACAAACAAACATAGCCGAGCTGTGTCCTAACAGAACTGGAGAATTTGTACAGAATCGGCTTATCCCAGTTTATTGAATAACCATCGCCTTTACCGGTGTAGATGCCGCCTGCTTTTATGGATAAAACGTGGCTTCCTGCAATAACATCTCCTTTTCAGTCCCAGTAAGGGAGAGTCTATAGCAGCCATTTTTCAGTCAAGGAACACCCAATGAGAAAATATTTATATGGCACACCTACGCCCCCTGTCCCTTCATCATCAGCTGCTAAATGCCAGATTTACTTCCATTTACTGCCACACTACCATCTGGAACCATTTTGCTCCAATTAGTTTTTAACCCAGTTTACATTTCCAACTTCTACAAAGCGAACGGAGAAGGAAGACCCTGAATATGCAGATTAAATATTTAGTTTTATAAAGATCTATCTCAGTATATAATACATGCACACTCTGGAGACCTCACGCGTCTAACTCATAACTGCGGCTCAACACACGCTTTCAGCCTGATAGCGTTGGGGCAGATTCCTCTTCATTCTGCGTTTGATCAGCAGAGGGGAACCCCGGAGGGCGGTATTCTAACGTGTCGTCAAGGTTATCCGGACCCAGGCGGTTATGGCGCATTTTATCTGTGGACACCTGGGGAAGAGCAGACCGAGAGAATCTGATACACAATGAGACCATATACTGAACAGTGGTTTTAAAATGTCTGTACCGTGCGCTACGATGTCTTTATGGTGCTCAGAGGGAAATTTAAACATTTACTTCTTACCACATGTGACATAAAATAAAAACTAGTCAGCCAGTGTTTTGTACGGAGTATTGAGAGTGTGCACAGCTACACCAGGAGATAGCCATGGTGCCTGGAGTATCTGGTCTATTTCGAGGATTTAAAATGGTTATAGTGACTGGAGTCTGTATTTGCAATGCTTTGTAATGAAACTGAGTTTAACACCTCTGTTGCTGGACTGTGTCATTGGGGCTAATGTCAATTCTATGCGTACATGGCATGGGTCCTCAAACTCCGGCCCCCCAGATGTTGCTGAACTACAACTCCCATGATTCTTTGAATTACATAGCCAGAGAATCATGGGAGTTGTAGTTCAACAACATCTGGGGGGCCAGAGTTTGAGGACCCATGGTATTTGGTGGCAGCATGCTTACCGTTCACCTTCCCCGCTTTCTGTGCCTGACCTTCTGCCAACCTATGACGTGCAGGGAGAACTTGGGTGTGGTGTGGTTGTGTGTGTATATGTGTGTATATATTTTTATATTAGGTTATTTACTAGAGAGTGAGAATTGTTGGTAATTTAAAGTTCATTTTACATTTAAGGCCATAAAAACCAAACTGGAAAATGTATTTACGTTATTCTTCTAGATCTGCTGTTTTGGTTAAAAATCTGACATTATTTGTATTTACTTTGAATTCCTGATAAATCTCCCTTTAAATAAATAATCCTGCTAATGGTTTTACTAACACATTTACACAGCACAGAAAATAATTTAATGTCTAATCACCTCGTCATCTGAGATTTCATCTTCATCCACGGTCACATCAGAACTTTCCATGTGGCAAAGGACACTAAGACAAGCCGGAGGGATTCAGTAATTAAAGGAGCAGTTAGATTAGGTGTGTCATTGTTACAGTGTGTCGGGGGAAACAAACCCCTCCCCCCCCCCCATTTTGTTGTACAGGGGCATTCACAGAGATAACAGAGACAGTTTGTATAAATACAGACTTCAACTATACCAAAAATGCTACAAATCCATTTCTAGACCGAGGGTACCAAAACAGATACAATACACTGCGGTAGTTATGGTGCTCAGTATGTCACAGTTTTACTTATGTTGATTTTTTGTCCTGCCCTGGGTATTAAAGATTAAATATATTTCATTACTGATGACATCATGCGCTCATAATGGACTGCCCAGCAGTATGTGGGATTCATGTGCTCCCAGTGTGAAATAAAATATCCAAACTAAACATGTGTCTCCTGCAGGATTATTTGCTAAACTGGAATTGAAAGAGATAAAAAAAGGCCAAAATAACAGAAATGCAAAAATGTATTTCTATCCTCGGTTTTGCCATTCAATTGAGTTTGCAGCTTAGTGACTGACCCCCTTGAGAATTTTTTTCTATCTTGGTCTAAAATATGAAATTTAGATTTAATGCCGGACGATTTACCTTTCAGAGGGTAACTTACAAATGGAGAATTCACAGTGAAATTCAAATCTAAAGCCAGAGTAGCCGAACAGAACATATAGCTGGCTCAGAGAATGTTTCCAGGATGGGCTACTTTGACCTTAAATTCTCCCTTTATTGAATAACTCGGTCAATTATATTTTATATTCAGCAAAGTTGTCTATATAGGCTAACTGTGGATGGTTAGACCAGTGATGGAGAACCTTTTTGAGCTGGACACGTTAGCGGTATTAGCCAGACCCAGCTTTTACAATAAGCATTTAATAATTCAGTGCAGATAACAAAATGACAAACAGGAATAGATTGTTAGCTCACAAGGCCAAATTAGAATCCACTCTCTTTCCATCATAGAATAAAATAAGCGACTGTGATTTGAGGAAGCTTCAGCCCAAAGAACGTAGCAGAGATGGCTGGATAAATCTTCTCCAGGTAAACTATGGGTGTGGAGATCTCCAGTCCAATGAGAGGTGGTGGGACATGGTTTTCCAACCCTGCTCGATTATATCATTTACACACGGTTGTAGGAAGCCCTGTCACTTTTACGTAACACTTTCTACACTTGGTGAAATAATGACAGCATCATTGGCATTTAGAATGTTACGTTACCAGCTCCACGGTGACAGTGACCGTCTCTACGTAAACCAGCTTGGTATTCAGGGAGCTCCCTGGGGAATCCAGATTATATTCACTAAACTCCAAATTGTAGCAAATTGAATGCTGAATGCAGGCAACTCTAGGTTAAGACCATACATAAGTCCCTTAAAGTCACAGCCAAATATTACCAGGTTTCAGTTTTTTATGAACACACACTGTAGTTTGGTTTATTTTCTTTTTGGCATTTTTTTCCCCGATACCCAGACCCAACACTCACCATTCACTTAGCGACCAGTAAACTCCCAGAAGCTGCGTATCGGTGGGGATTTATAGGCTGAGCTCATTATAATAAAATGTCGCTCACCTGAAGTTTTCATTCCATAAATCACTTTCAATCAATGTATAACAGGCACAGGGTGTGTCCAAGCCATAGGAACCTAGGAATGGCTGCCACAGATGTTCAAACCCTCCTGGACAATTATTGTTTAACCCGTTAATGACCAAACTTCTGGGAAGAAAAGGGAATCATGACATGTCACGTGTCCTCAAGGGGTTAAAACAAAATAGCTGCTGAGAACATGTGATCAGCAGCCAATCAGAACCCTAGAGTTATACAGCTGAGCTGATTAAATCCCTTGGAGTGAGTGACGTGTGATGATGTAACTGCTGGCTGTGGCCAATGAAAGATCAGGTCAGCTTTACAGGAACGCTCCAAACATTTAAAGCACTTTAACCTGCTGAATGCTTTATGTGTGAAGAGCGGGCCCTATTTTTGTACTTGTGCAATGAAGTGTCTCTTTAAATCCTCTATTAATTAAAATCCAGTCTGTCTGCATATATGCAGACTGGGATGGGTGTCATCGATGTAAGAACTGAAGACGTTTTTACTGGTCACATGCAGCACAATTGATGCACTGGTGCTTTCTAAAGGACTCTTGACTTTGAGGACGGTTACATAACTTATGCTTTGTAGCGCTTTACAATATCAGAGGTGGAGATTTAACAATGAGACAATTCCAAAATGTCACAGGAACAATAGGTTGAAGAGGACCCTGCTCAAACGAGCTTACAGTCTAGGGCAGAGGTTCCCAACCCAGTCCTCAAGTACCAGTCCAGGATTTAGGGATTACCCTGTTATGTCCAAAGTGTTTATTTTTTTCTTTTTCTTTCTAAAACCACCTTAGACACAATTGGGTAATGCCTAAATCCTGGACTGTCTAGAGGTTATTCATAAAAGTGTGAATTGCCAGTAATTCAAAATAAATGTTAAATGTTAGGTTCAAAACAAATGGAGACCTAGCTGACCTGTAATTTTTCCCTTATAAAAAATAAATTGACATACAATGTTAAACAGTCTTTGAATTCCTGACAATCTGCACTTTAGTGAGTAACTCAGAACGTCACCACATGATGGCGCCATTATGAAGAGCTGGTTTTGGTCTATAAATTAGACTCGATTACTGCAAATACCAGCTTCCAGATGTTTCACTGTGAACTATGACCCTAAACCTTGCCTGGACCTTGATTAGATTTTGGCTGGTGAGATTTATGGACTGTAATCCCCACAAACTGCTGGTAGTTTGCACTTGCTCTAATCTAGTTTAATTTTATAAATATATATTGATGGCAGCCGCTCATTATGTTGACAGCATGTGGTGTGACATTGTGTAGTTAAAATGGAATACATTTCTGCTGGGGTGGCACAGTGACACCTTCTGGAAACAGTATGTACTACATTTAAACCATTTGCAGTGTTCCTTAAATGGAAACCCCAGATGCCCAGTTTGCTGACTTGCTTTTTGTGTAAATGTCTCTTTTTGTTGTTGTCAATTTACAAAAAGGACAGATTTCAACTGAAATTGGCGCTTTTATAAATTACATCCTCTGGCTGTCAATCAGACTACAGGTCCTTTTACTTCCTGGTTTGATTAGCTCAGTGGAACTAAATTCAAGAGGCAGCAATTACCCAGAGCACCTGCCTTGCGAAGACTTCTCAGAGAGCAGAAGTTTAATTTTTTGCTGGAAGAAAACAAACAATCTTCACACAGCACTTCCACAAAGCTAGTGCTTTAGGTCTTTGTAGTGTTCCTTTAAGAAATAGACAAACCTGAAGAAACAACAATCCCAATCCCTTTCCTCCAGCATCCCCAAATATGAGGAGAGAAGGGGGTGCACACTCTGGCTATCCTGTGCAGTGCTGTCCCTGGTGTCTAGGGGGAGCTATGCACTCTGGTGCAGTCTCCTTCCTGCTCGCTGGCTGAATTCTAGCTAGCCAGCAGGGAACCACTTGTATAGCGCTACATATCCCAACATCCCCTGCTTGTATTCTGCTACTGTGAGAAATGCTTGGGGGGCGGCTTTGTGCCAAACTGTTAGTGGATCCAGGACATTAATTTGTTTTTGCACTAGAGACATGGTCCATGTTGGGGATTAGAAGACAAGGGAAGTAATGCAATATGGGGCAGCAGATAGATTAAGCAGTCCCCCCTAGGACCTGACTTACACAGCCTGATAAAAGATTTTTTTGCTGTCATTTAGATTCTCCCAAGTTTACAAGTAGCATGTGGTTCCTAATTGGTGCATCCACTTCTTGTTCCCACACGGCTCTGTCCACTTTATATGTCAATGTATCCATCATGGAGTTAGTTAAACAGACGATGCACTGTGAATCCTGTGGGTAGATTATCTTGGCTATTCTGTTGAGCTTACATCCGATAATGTAATTTGGTATGAATCTATCTATATATATTTTAACATTTTCCAACACTGGTATATGTATTTATCTCACTATTCTGTGATCATTTCTGGAAGAAAATACAAGTAACTTAAAAAATTGAATTTCTTAGTTTCTGCATGCATCATTACATCATTTAAAAGCTTTAGAAAACATAGAATCCATTTCTCCCCATTCAATTAATTCACTATAACCCAGCCCACGAGTAGCTCCTCCCAGTAGCAGCAGAAAAGGTGACGAGCACTCACGAAAAACATCCGGAAAGCAGTCTCATCCTGAAGGTGGGATTTTTTTTTTATTCTCAACAATAACTCAAGTTCATTTCCAAATATCTGAATTTCACCAAACAGATCTCTGAATGCAAAACTGAGCTGAAATAACGGATCTGGAAAAATCCTCCCACTCTGTTCTAGGCCCAAATTGTCTATTTTAGTACAATTGTTGTTTTTGGTACAATTCTGAGTTTAGTGAATAATCTAAATACCTAAACATATTTACATTTATTCACCCCCACACTTTGTAGTAAATTGTAATTTGAATGGTAAAATGGAAACCAAAACAACCTAGCTGTGACTATTGCTCAATCATTGTAAATTGCTAGAATTCAGAGTTTCTGGATAAATGGAGAGAGAAAGAATGCATGTGTGTGAAGGGCCAGGGACGAAGGGGCTACTTGAAGTCCTTAATAAGGAGAGCTCCACCTGTCTCCACTATCCCCTCACCATATTGACTGTTCTCACACCCCAGAAGGAAGCATGAAGAAACCACAGAATTCCTTTCCTACAAGCACTTCTCCCATACTAGTCTCCCTCCAGGTCTACAGTACAACCATAAACTCTATAGGATTGCTGCCTCCTCTCTTCGATTCCAACATCTCCCTTCAGTCCTTTTATCCGGTCTCCAGATCCTGGTAAAACAAATCCCAGTGACTGGCTCCAGAACTCTTTAGCGTGCTAAGCTTATATTATCTCATCCCAGACCCTGCCTGTCCTCTGCTAACACTCACTATAAAGACATCGCTAGTCCTGCACTGCTCCTATGGAACTCCCTTTAGACTAGTCTGTGTTCTGGGAGAGACAGGGAAGACAGAAGGTAAAATATTCTCAGACGATGTCTCTTTGCAAAAAGTAGCAATGAGTTGGGTAATAACATCTAGAAGAGAGTCAGCGCTAGTAAATCCTAAGAGGAAGAGGCAGCAATTTCAAACAAGGACTCCCTCATGTGCCCTTGAAAATAATTGGAGAGTGGCCCTTTATATTTAACCACTGCAAGAAGCGGAAGTCCGCAGCCCCAGAGACCAGCACAGGATTTCAGTTCCACCCTCCTGGACTCTTATCCAAACTAGGATTTATATTTATCTACTTTTTATATTGTGGCGCAGCCCCATCCCTTTTTGCTTAATAACATCTAGACCCTACGAAGTGGTTGAAAGATGGTGAATGTGAACAGAGTTATTCACTAAAGGGTGACTTGTTGGCAATGCATAAAGGATTTCAGGTTTAAGCTAAAACAGCCAAATTCTCCAAGTCAGCTCTGATTTCCCACCAATTCACACATTAGTGATTCGCAGAGCAAAATGTACCTTTTCCTTGTTAAATATTTTAATAAATAAAGCAGGATGTAGAACAAAGAGTTAAAGGAAAAAAAATAGCTTGTTTCATCAGCAGGACTGGCTCTCAGAAGACAAGCAGGTCTGACGTGTTTGTAAGAGGGTTGGATGTTCAATCATTCATACTAAAAACTCTAACTTTATCAAAGTCAATCACAGCTCATACATTATCAAGAATTTATGGTTTATTCCCTAAACGTCAGAAATTTGTGCTGAAAGCCACAATGTGACTACAGTAAATTTGGAGACATTTTTTGAAACAAGCATTTTTTTGCCTGAATGAGAAATGTCTTTTAATTAATTGAAATTTGGGCTTAATGAAGAAATTATTTTTTTCCCCTCCAGAGACAAAACTCTGCAAGCAGGTCATTATAAAGAGCTATAATAACATTTTGGACCTCTTGCTTCCCAAAATGCTGTCACTCCTTCTGGTTATTAGAGATGTGTACAAAGTCAAAAAAATGTGTACAAAGTCATTTAATACCTTAAAATCTGGCTTTTCTTTAACTCATTTTTTCCCCATTAATCGCAAATCAAGTTTAAAAGGTTTATTACATTATTTATGCTTTACTTTTATAAATCTATTCCTGTATTTTAAAAAAACCCATCCAGACAGTCTGAAGCAGTTTAAACCACCACGTGAGACAGTCTAATAAGTAAATCACTAAATGCTAAAAAACTAATAATTTATCCATCATGTTGAGGATCTCTTGTGTAGAGAAAATTAGTTTAGCGGGGTTGCTGAGCATGGTATTTAAGATTGACAAATCCTGGTTTACTTTGAGGAAATGCTCTCACTGGTGGATCGAGTAACTAATGGAAGAAAAATATCCAGGCACATCTGAGGTTTCTTCTAAAATGCAGCCTTTTTATTTGAAACAAGGAAGTGGAGAATTTCAGAACCTCAGGTGTGCCTGGATATTTATTTTCTTCCATTTGATGTCTTCAGGGATAGGCCCTTCCTTTCTGGAGCACTCTACAATAAGTATCCCCCCTTTTTTGTGCGTGTTTGTTTTGCAAACATATATTGTAACTAGTGACAGTGACACCATGTGGTCACTTTGTATATTACAGGAAGTATTTTGCTAGTGGTGTGACAGTGACACCCTGTGGCGACTGTGTGAATGACAAAATATTTCCAACTGCATGACACTTGAAAGTAAATCTTGGTAGAAGCATTCACATTTTAATAGCTATTACTCAGACTTTCCTTCAGATTTTAACCTTATGTTCATTTTGCCCCTTCAATACAGAAACCCATTTAATTAAAAATAAAAAAAATTAATAGTCCAAGAGATAAAAGGCGATCAGGATGGCTTCCATTTATCTTTCACCTGCATTAGCTGCCATTCATAAAAGAGCATTGGGTGGTAGGACACAGGAGGTACAGGATCAGCTGGTGTGTGGCTCAGACAGTGGTATTTAGTCCCACAACTTTTCCAATAAGTTATATTCTCCAAGGGGTATGAAATGCACTGGGTGGGAGAGGGGTGCAGTGAGTAGCCTCAAAACTCTCTAGATGCTTCCGTGCCTGTGGGGAAAGGAAGCGGTTAGTGCAAATCACTGAAATACAGCGAGGCTGGACAGAGAATGCTGGAGCACAGAGTGGGGAGGAGGCTGTTAGTGCGATCACTGATACAGAGAATGCTGGGGCACAGAGTGGGGAGGAGGCTGTTAGTGCGATCATTGATACAGAGAATGCTAGAGCACAGAGTGGGGAGGAAGTTGTTAGTGCGATCATTGATACAGAGAATGCTGGGGCACAGAGTGGGGAGGAGGCTGTTAGTGCGATCACTGATACAGAGAATGCTGGGGCACAGAGGGGGGAGGAGGCTGTTAGTGCGATCACTGATACAGAGAATGCTGGGGCACAGAGTGGGGAGGAGGCTGTTAGTGCGATCATTGATACAGAGCATGCTGGGGCACAGAGTGGGGAGGAGGCTGTTAGTGTGATCACTGATACAGAGAATGCTGGGGCACAGAGTGGGGAGGAGGCTGTTAGTGCGATCATTGATACAGAGAATGCTGGGGCACAGAGTGGGGAGGAAGCTGTTAGTGCGATCATTGATACAGAGAATGCTGGGGCACAGAGTGGGGAGGAGGCTGTTAGTGCGATCACTGATACAGAGAATGCTGGGGCACAGAGTGGGGAGGAGGCTGTTAGTGCGATCACTGATACAGAGAATGCTGGGGCACAGAGTGGGGAGGAGGCTGTTAGTGCGATCACTGATACAGAGAATGCTGGGGCACAGAGTGGGGAGGAGGCTGTTAGTGTGATCACTGATACAGAGAATGCTGGGGCACAGAGTGGGGAGGAGGCTGTTAGTGCGATCATTGATACAGAGAATGCTGGGGCACAGAGTGGGGAGGAAGCTGTTAGTGCGATCATTGATACAGAGAATGCTGGGGCACAGAGTGGGGAGGAGGCTGTTAGTGCGATCACTGATACAGAGAATGCTGGGGCACAGAGTGGGGAGGAGGCTGTTAGTGCGATCACTGATACAGAGAATGCTGGGGCACAGAGTGGGGAGGAGGCTGTTAGTGCGATCACTGATACAGAGAATGCTGGGGCACAGGAGGTTGGCGGCAGAATGCACTCTGCATTACGCAAACCTGGTGATGTCAGGTAAAAGGAAGATCTAAATACTTACTAGATATAGAAAGCCAGTTGCTGCTTTTCCACTAAGGTAAATCCTCCCCAAAAAGGCAACAGTGTTATGTTTATGAATTTCAATGATGACCCACACTGTGCAACACTACACTCTTTTGTGCTCTGACTAAGCGAATCTGCTCACACTGTCCCACTGCTCGTAATAGCGTAACCCGCTCACATTCGCCTCTACCGCACTCTGGCTGTGTAACCCGCAACAATGCTTCGCCTGTGTAACCCTGCAAACACCAAGTCTCTGGCTGTGTAACCCTGCTAACACTGCGCTCTGGCTGTGTAACCCTGCTAACACTGCGCTCTGGCTGTGTAACCCTGCTAACACTCCTCCCACTGCGCTCTGTAAGTGTAAACCCTGCTCACACTGCCACACTGTGTAACCCTGCCTCAATGCACTCTGGCGGTGTAACCCTGCGCTCTGGCTGTGTAACCTGCTCACACTGTCCCACTGCTCTGTATGTGTAAACCCTGCTCACACTGCCTCACTGCACTCTGGCTGTGTAACCCTGCTAACACTGCGCTCTGGCTGTGTAACCCTGCTAACACTGCGCTCTGGCTGTGTAACCCTGCTAACACTCCTCCCACTGCGCTCTGTAAGTGTAAACCCTGCTCACACTGCCACACTGTGTAACCCTGCCTCAATGCACTCTGGCGGTGTAACCCTGCGCTCTGGCTGTGTAACCCTACTCACACTCCCCCACTGCGCTCTCTCTGTATGTGTAAACCCTGCTTACACTGCCCCACTGCACTCTGTGTAACCTGCTCACAATCCCGCACTGCGCTCCGACTGTGTAACCCTGCCCCACTGCGCTCTATAACACACCAAGACACTCCACGTTAACCAGCTCTTATCACAGACTGTGATCCATTCACTCTATTCTAGGTCTCTTGTGGTTATAGAACGGTTCAACTGTAATAGACTAAAGGAACCTTCCCAGTTTAAGGTGTGGGTCCATAAACATTTGGAAAAGTGACTTTGCCTGCTTGCATATTCTGTATGACAACAAGTGTACTCACCTACACTCCATGGAAAAACACCAGAATTCTCAGCCTTATAGGACTGCAGGACGGACAGACACCAGTCATCTTCTAACCCGTACTGACTAATCACAGAGGCTGTACATAAAGACAAGGGATCAGCACAAGGACTGGTATTGCAATAGACCAGTTTTACTGAGAATTAGCATTGTGAACCTTGATTGGGCTAGTGTGAATTTTTCCAGCCATGTAAAGACTTAAATGATAAATCTCCATTATCCGTTCTGAGACCAGTGAATCTCTTTCCCCAGTCTCCTTCACTTCCATGTTTGCTACTGCAAGCCTCACCTTCTTGCACAGGATTGGATGCTGCCAGCCAGTTCCTCACTGCCAGTCTCCCTTCTTCAGACATCACCTTGGGGTACCTATAAAAGGACCAGATGGGTCAGATTCTGTCACTTTCAGCTGATAAAATCATTCTGAGTTTCACATTATTTACAATCTACTGAAATGAACTGAATGGGTGGTTACCCATTACTTAGACATAGTAGAAAAGGGTTTGGGGGATAGGATTGGGGTATTGTTATAAGATAAGGTGTGTAGGGGTTTATGGAGTCAAGATTTTGACTTTTGTGAGTAGCAAGATGTGTTTAATGTGGCAAACTTTTAGTTTAAATAGCCACATTCGGGCGTTCATTTGGCTGCTGTTCAATACTTAGTGTAATGGACTGAGTGAGGATAATGCACACAAAGTGGGAGAAGCTGCAAAGCCTTTTCCACCACTAAGGGTCTATTCAGAACAATGGTGTCTATCAGCTTTACTGGAGTACATTTCTCACAAATCTCATCCAGTGCTTGGGAGATAGAGAATATTATTGGCATTATGAGACACAAAAATAATCTGCCATCGCTCTAATCCTAAAGCTTCTCACCGTTGCTGTAACAAAGTCATGAGCAGGTCATTCCCTCTGTTTGATGAAATGTCTTCTGGGTGTCTGAGGAGCACAGGAAACAAGTTAGAGCAAATAATACGAAATGCCCCTGCAAACGGCTCTCCCTAACGTGCACTTACGTGGTTGTGATGATTTCATCCTGTGATCTTCTGATAAGTAATACGGGGCCCTGATACCTTAGGGGAGGAGAAAGAATAAGGTCACTGACAGGTTAACACAGAACTTTCCATTTCTGATACAAACATGAGACTGGCACTCATAACACTTTAAGCACCATAACCACTTACAGCTTACTTGTGCGGTTATGCTGCAAGACGTATTTGAGAGCCACCCACCTACTTCCTGTTAAAGCAAAGCCCAGGCTTTTTATTACTGCTCGGATGATGTGAAGCTTCTGCTTTATCTGTGCAAAGCTCTTTTCCAATCACGCCTTTGATTGGCTGCGAGTTCTATAGTGGCTATGGTGCATATAATGCCATTTCAAAATATAAATGTTTCAAATATTACTCAAATGCAACACACAAAACAACCTTGTGTAATAAGGGAGCAATAAAAATCAATAGAGATTGATAAGTCTCTGCACAATATAGGTGAAAGTAAATTAATGGCTGTTCAACTCACTCACATGCTGCAGAGGCACACACTGGCTCAGATTAGTTTAGTGCCAGTAACGGTTAGACTTGTGCCTCCACATTAGCCCATAGTAACTTACTGCCTGTGACCATGATGGCTCTAAAATTCCTTTAATGCATGCATGGAAACATGGGGCACATTAAAAATACAGGCGGCACAAGATACCTGCAGAGCTGCTCCGCGTTGTTTAAATTTAAATATTTCTTGACAGTCCTGGTTACAAGTCCTCCTGAACAAGGAATAAAGAGAAAACATCAGCTACACAACATGAAAGAAGGAGGGGAGAAGAGAATATTAAATGAAAATTTAGACAGATGGTAATACGTAGAAGGTAAGATGGAGGAATTATCGAAAAACAGTGACTTAGATAGAGGGGCAAATGGAGACTCAAAAGAGCACAGAAAAATGAATGAGATGGGGCAGCAAGACTCCCTTTACTCACGCCAGCTCTCAGGCATCACTTTCAAAGCCAGCGGAACAAGATCGTCAAACGAGGCATCAAGGACAAGGGCACTGATATCTGGGTAGGACATGGTGGCCCAAGTAGCTGTGAAAGATAAAAGTGTTTGATCTGAAGTGGACTTTTTTTTTTAGCTAGGTAACATGTGGAACAGGCCTATTTGATGCCAGTTAATGTGTGACATCTTCAGACACATTCTATCTCAGAGGAAGGAAAAATTACATTTATTTTTCTACAAACAGCAGTGAGGCACTAAAGAGATTCCTGCAATACAGTTTATACAGCATGGAATGTAGAGAGTTAACAAATATGAAAGTCCTACAATCCCGCATTCCTAAACCATTTAACCCTTCCATTCTCTTCCCTTTCCTTCCACCCTCGCTCCTCACCTGTAAAGCCTCCGATAGACCAAGCATACACAATAATGTCCTGCAGCTCAAATCCAAGGTTGTAGATGGCGTATTGGACCACCACATCCATGGCGTTTGCCTCATTTTGAGGGAAAGGGATGCCCTATGAAGGGGTTAAATAATTAGATTCAGTGATTATGAACAGTTAATGAAAAGTTTAACTAGGTCTTTAATTCCCAAGAAAAGCCAATAAATAAGCAGAATAGCTGGTATAAATATGGTTCTATGGATATCATAAACAAATCTGCTACTGGTATCACAGTCCATAAAATAACCCGTACTAGCCACACCAGAACCACTACATCACACTATATTATTACAGCTCACTGTGATGGTTATAGTTTTCGCATTCAGTGCAGTCCTTCCATTTAATCAAATGGTTTTCATAACCCGTGGGTTATCACAGATCGGGGCTGTGTCACATATATACGAATCTCCAACAAACGCCATGTATGTATTGTAAGATACCCTGAGCTAGCCTTTAATAAATTCACACTCAATCCATCTATATTTATATTCAGACAGAAAAGGTGGGCATGTCAAAGGGATAAAATATTCTGTAAGTGAAGGAGATAACTGATAAAATGACTCACTGTGCTACCAGCAAATCCAGGATGATTCCACCCCAGGACTGAATAACCAGCTGAAACACAAAGAAAACATACAGCACAAATAATGTATACATGACTGCATCTACAGGAGTATCATACAGCCTACCATGAACACACTGATCACCAATTAAAGGGACACTACAGTCACTAAAACAACTTTATCACAATGAAGCCATTTTGGTGTATAGATCATGGCCTTGCAGTCTCACTGCTTAATTATCTGCCATTTAGGAGTTAAATCACGTTTGTTTTGGTCCATGCAACCCTAATGACACCTCCCCAGGCTGTGACTGACACAGAATGCCTGAAAGAATAGTTTCATTTTCAGTCAAAATTAATTGTATCTCCTGCTCTGTAGATTGAACTTTAATTACATACAGGGGGCTGCTGCAGGATCTAACAAGCTATTAACAGAGCAGGAGATAGGAAATTCTAATTTAAATAGGATTTGCAATAAGGGAAGTGTAAACATTAGATTATTATTTACAGGAAGTGTTTAGGAAGTCTCTATAAGTCACATGCAGGAAGTGTGACTAGGGCTGCATAAACAAGGTGAGTTAATGGCAGAGAATTAAGCAGTGAGATTGCAGGGGCATGATCTATACACCAAAACTGCTTTATTAAGTTAAAGTTGTTTTGGTGACTTTAGTGTCTCTTTACTGATTTAAGAGCACCTGGCTTCCAGTTCAGGTTTACCTACACTACACAGCTGAATACAGGAAAGAATAGGAATTTGCCTGTTGTAAAATACGATTTCAAACATAGAAACGTGACAGCAGATAAGAACCATTCGACCCATCTAGTCTGCCCAATTTTCTAAATACTTTCATTAGTCCCTGGCCTTATCTTATGGTTAGGATAAGGCCAATTAATACCCAAAGTTTTAATTTCCGTGCAGTTAATCTGTGAAACTTCACTACACTAAAAATAACAGAACAATCACAAGGTCAGGTAGATGGAAAGATGTCTCACCTTCAAGTGGAGTTGAAACACAGCCAACCTCGTAAAAGCCAGCATTACCCTCACAGCAGATCACCTGCCAGGTGAGAGAGGAAGATGGACAAAATGGTACATTAGTAGCAGGTAGTTATGACCCTGCAGATAAGCAATATGCACGCCGATATGGCCCTATGTATTAATGCCTCTATATTTTGCACCAGAGAGACCGAGGATAGCTATTACATAACACATTGTGTTCCTTAAGGGATCACTCTATATACCATATTGACTTTGCTTTAATGTAAGGTTTAGGGTGCAGTGCGCTCAGGGTAACCTGCTTTGTTTTTGGACTGGGGAGCATTTTCCTGGTCAGCGGACAATGCCAAATAGGCAAGATGTGCTGTGTGTTTTTCAGTTCACAGTTAGGGGAATCACACCGGCTGAAATATATCTGACATTCTCACAACTAATCTCATGTTAAGAAGTAGTAAAATTGTTTTAGAATGCTTGGACTTTGCCGCATGCCCCTCCTGTAGTGATTATGATGGTTGGAGTGTTCCTTTAAGGAGGAGCAAACCTTTCCTTGATGGAGCATGTGTAGGGTCTTCTACAGAATACGGTTCATTTTTTTTTATTTATACAAACTAAAATAAGGTAAGATAATACAGTCTTGACATAGCTTCTCTACAAGAATTTGGAAACAATTGGGGGACTGGGCAGGCAAGTGGCAGAGGAGATTAAATGATACAAAGTCATATTTTGGTATAATGAACCCATACATTAAATGGGGTAGAGTTAGAAATAATAATAAATGAAAAATCCTTGGGAACAATTCTAGATCCCAAACTATGCAGGATGCAATGACGATCTCCCTTGCAAAAGCTAGTAAGGAGCTTTTGTGTATAAGACGGGGTTGATTCACATGATCTAAATAGAATTTTGCCTTTTTATAAATCAATGGTAAAACTCCACCTTTTAATATGTGGTGCAATTTTGAAAGGAGATTTCACTTACAGCTGTCAGAATATTTATATCAACAGACATTTTGTGATAAAAAGAAATTAAAAGTGTATATAGCCCAATCCACTCAGAACAAAGCAGACTCCATTTTGCTATCTTCAGGATAACAAAAACACATAATTTCCTTGATTTCTTCTTACTTCTGTAACTAGCCACTTGTTTGAGCTGAGGAATGTATTACATAAACAAACCAAGATAAGCAATGAAGCAAGGGGGATGGAACGCTCTGTCTAAAATGTTAATGGAATAGATGCATTATCTAAACACAGACACTAGTGACAGAGAAGACTAAGTAATTAATTTTACTTTCTAAATTTTACAAGGTACCATTGTAAGAAAGGGTTGAAATTGAGTTTAGAACTGTCAATTTTACAAGTTACGATCAAGTAGATGCCACAAAGACTGAAATAAACGCTTTGAACTGACAGCAAATCTAAGTTATGGTAGACATTTTAGATAAGCCAAATGACGTCAAAATCGTCATCAGGAAAAGTTAACTCTTTCCTGGATAGGAAGGTTTCGTTAGACGAGACTGCCATCTATGGATCAAATACCTAAATTGCGATCCATCGATTGGACACACCTACGGCTGCCTATTGGGTTATCAACTAATGACGTACAGAGAGTCTGGCCCTTTAAAAGTTAGGACAAAGGGAAGACAGGGGAGTTGGAGACAGAGAGAGATGAAGTGAAGTTTGGGCATCCAAGTTGGACATGCAGAGAAATCCAGGACAATATCTGGGACTAACACTCTACCCTTAAACTCTCTTGGACATAAACTCTTAAACTCTTTAATACTTTTTCTATCACTCACACACCTCCATACAACCAATCAAGTTTCCGGGACTACCTATTCATCTGATGAGAATATCTACATAACTGGTAATTATGCTGGTTTTATTTAATTAATTTAAATTAATTAAAATTTACTAATAGCATGTTATATGACTGGATAAATCACGGTCAGATTTCCATAGTTAGAAATCTTAGTTAACTAAAGAATATATAGTTATAAACATTCCATTCTGCAGGTGGAATTAAGAATAATTATATATTAATGTGATAGTATCACGTGTTAGCATACCGCTGTTTTTATCCAGGTGTATTGATTTGCTCTAAAATAAGATAAGATATCTTTTTAGACAAATTAAAATTCTTTTTATAAAATCTGGTAGATTATTCTTATTGGATGGTTCCAGGAAATGATTAATGAGCTGGTTCAAATGTTATTTTAATTGAAAATCACAGGAGAATAGGATACGATATGCCTAGGAGGATCTAGCCAGCATTGAAATGGTTATTCAGTTGATCTAACTGTTAGCCAGGGTTTTATGGCCCTTCGCTGTGAAAAGCTTCACTTTTTGTCTGTAAGGATACCCTCATAAATCGTGTAAATCTTGACAGAAAATGCTGTTTAGCCATTGAAACGTGTATAGCCATTCCATTGTATTGCATATTATGTTATACTAAATATTCACTGATTGTTATCATGCATGTTGCATAATATTATTGTTAATTATTGGTCATAATAAAAATAAAATCTATTTTTATAACACATTGTGATCATTAATTGTTTGGAATACTTTTCACTTACATGATAAACGATCTCTAAGATCTAAGAGAATTGAAATAGTGGGCAATTCTCGACTGCTTAAAATTATCATCCCATAAATCTCCCCACACAGCAGAGGAAAGGGTTCTTTACAGTAAGAACAATAAAGATGTGGAATTCTCTACATAAAGAGGTTGTTTTATCAGATTCTATAGATATTTAAAAAAACAAAGAAAACGGTTTGGATGCTTTTTTGCATAAACAGAATATTCAGGGATATAAGAAATATGTATAGGAGAAATCGGATTGCCATTATGGAGTCAAGAAGGAATGTTTTGCTTTTTGGTGGCATAATTGGAAATGGCTACAAATGGTTGTTTTTGCTTCTTTCCGATCAACAACATAAAGAATGTATATCAGGGTTGAACTCGATGGACTTTAATTGCTTTTATATAAAAATAGTTGATTCTGCAAATATCACCTCTGAAAAATGTATTGTGATCAAGCAGAAGATTAAATAAGTAATTCTCACCAGCTTTTCCCCATTAGGTTCTCCAGTGTTTCTGCGTTCCACGAAGATGGTGTCTATCTCATTCCCATCACATGCCAAGAGCTTGGCTCTCTTCCCATTATACTACGAGGCAAAGGAAGAATTGCTGATATGAAATGGGGTCTATATATACCACAAGGATAAAAACAACAGGGTACATGACACACTAATACAGTATTACTGGGGGAAAATAGCAGTTAGTAAGTCAAAATGTAAACAAAGGTACAAAATCTTACCTCCTCCACCAGCCGAGCCTGTCCTTGCAATAACATCGGCATCAGAGCCTTCTGTAAGAGGTAGACAGAACCAGGGTACAGCATCCGTCTACCGAACGAGTGAGCCACCACGTAACTAGAGGGGAAATATTTACATACGGTGTAAGGGCTAACAGGCTACCCTGGATCCCAGTGACAAACACCCCCTCCACAATTAGGCCACAAATACCAGCTTAGGAACAAGTTATCCTCACTCACAAAAATTGTAATTAATCTTTACTTATCTAGTTATGTTAGGTCATTCAGTCCACATCAATAACCCAATACCTGGTTATCTGACAGGGCAACTTCTGGATCCTTTGCAGGAGGCTATCGCCAGCGCCCCGCGTTCGGGGTTCAGACTTCAGTAATGGTACTCCACCAAGGGGCCCCGTACCTTGAATCCTCTCTTTACTGCAAGGAGAATAGGACAGGTTTGTCTCTACCCGAGCTGGATGGTTACTCCATGCATCTACAACTCTCCATCAGAAAATTAAAAATAGTGGTACGTGGGCAAAGCCTTTTCGGATGACAGAGACATGATATATGACAAGATAAATACCTGCTCGTTTCATCCCACCGGAAATCCACTGGCCAACTGCGGAAGTCAAAATTATAGATGGAAAGCCTTCTCTGTTGGTGGGAACAAAAGATACAGTCTCCAGTCACTGAGAATTATGGAGTACTCTCTGCAGGTTTAAAAGAATAGTCATGCACTATTCATACATTATACACATTAACAATACCACCTAGACGCCAACACGGCATCACGTACACATGGATCTTCATCTCACCAGTAGAAAACTCGAAAATAGGTAGGGAGTATGATTAATCTACTCGCAGACAAGCCGTAAGAAGAAACAAAAGGAGGGCATCACTAAATGTTGTTATCATAGTCTATTAATATAGCCCCCACAAGTTGCATGGTGCTGGAGGTATTAGAGGAAGGTAATAATAAACAGTTTTCCGGAATACTCAATATTTCCATCTGTTGTTGTACCAATGGGGGGCTTTGTTAACTGTTGCACTGCATCCCCAATTTAGCGCCTGCTTTACATGGAGATCTAGTCACTAAACAGTGAACTGTGAAGAATGGAAAACCGATTTACAACATTTAGGTTCAGACAAAATGTGACAATGGCAGAATGTTTTCCAAATCCTCTAGTTGCCTAAATTTAGCAATTTGGGTTTAGCAAAGAACTCTTGTTACAGTGTCTAAACAAACCAAGAATGCCATTGGTCAACATGTACATTGAGGTCTGCGGAGGGTATTGAGGTTGGTAAAATACTTTATAATGTATACATCTTGATTTGGATAGAAAGAATATACTTCAACCCAATTAGATCTGTATTTACTCTATATCACATCACATTCTGCAATATGCATCTTACACACTAAACAATTAGAAATCTAACAATTCCCAGACTTTTCCCTTTATTTGCATGTGCCCCTTAAAGCAATATACACAGAAGCTGTGGACTCATACATGGAATTTTCCAGATCCTTTTACTTTCTCCCAAGCAAGCCAACACGCACTCTCAATTCATGGTATCAGCTAAAATGTAAGCATGGCTATGGCTTCCAGCAGCAAGGTTTGATCACATGGGTTATTTAAAGTTTCCTGTACATGCGTGATTACCCAAATTCTGACACCCATGATGTATATGTTTGTTTGCTAGATGAAGATACTGCGCTTTGAACATCTCGTTGCTGTGTGCTGCACATAGTCCCCTAATCCATAGGGGGATCGTTCTGATGTACCAGCTAACTGCTTGCAAATCCCATTCTATTTGATATTTAAGTTATAGCTCTCACCTTTTTTTCCTTTGACAGAGGCACACACTGTAACTGTGCTGTCTAGCTAGATCTGCACGTATTAACATGCAATGCCTGGGGCACCATTCCAGACTACTATGCACGTACAGGAAATGGCTTTAAAGCTAGACGTTTGCTGGTGATTTCGAAAGCACAAGGTATAGAGTATTTTTAGTACCCTGAAGGTGACATTGTTTCCAAATATTTAAAACAAATTTAATACAAGACATGATGAAACAAACAAGTTGATTTCATTTACCAGTAATGTTTACGGCTTTTTGTTCATACTTTGTCACCTATTAGGCAATCTGATATAATACATAGCTTTCAAAATCACTCTGTGACGAACTACCCTTTTCCATTGGCTTCTAGAGGGGCCTGATTGCCAGCCTCCTGCCCCAAGACTATAGGCCCTGAATAAAGACATGCTAAAAAGGGACTTCCATGGGAAAATGTGCCTCTTCCCCTACCCCTTTTTCCTGTCCTATTGTTCTCCAGCAGGGAGTTGTCCCAGGGACACTGCCAGACCAGTTGAAACTGGCTGCTTTGTCCCTCCTCAATCGCTCATCAGTCTTTACTATTGTTTAACCCCATTGCGATCCAACTGTATTCGTGAGATCGGAGTGCTTTTCGGACATATGGAACGCTCAGATCCAAGCTATCTGGGGATATGTTGGACATATATGTTAAACATTGTATTATAAGAGTTATGTATTTTTATGTTTTTGTTTTTTTTTTAACAGTTTTTGGACTTAGATATATTTCCTGTACCTGGAGATAATTAAGTTACCACAGCCACATTATCTTCAGGATAGAGGAGAAGATAGACCGGCTGCACAGCCTAAATCCGTGAAACTCTTTTGGGCATGAAAACCATGCTTGCGGTCGGTCAAATATGACTTCCACAAAACTTTTGAACCCCTGTTCTGATCTGGGTGATTTTTGGATATGCTGTTCACCCAGATCAGGGCTATCTGGTGATGTATTTGTGGGGATATGTGGTGTTTTGTGAAAAATTTGTGTTTTCTGCCTGTGGGTAACTGAGTTAGTCCATTGTGTTTGGTAATTGTATCACAGGCACAGGGGAGGGTTTGTGTACATTATCTGGGAGTGCCTAACTATACACAAGTGTTTTGATTGGCTTTGTAACCTGTGTTCCACAAGGTCCACATGGGTAGTAACCTTGTGGGAAAACTTGTATAAAAGAGACAATAAACCCTCAGTTCATTCTGTTCCTGCTTAACCCTCAATACATAGCCATGTCTCGTTATTGAAGGGAACTGCTATACTTTGTATACTCCCCTGAGCTCTAATCACTTAGCTCTTTTAAGAGCTGTTCCTGACCACATGGTCCTGGAGGACAGAGGTTAATCCAGGGTGGAAGGAAGATGGCAAGACTCCAGTTAAGGTACAGCGGTTGTGGAGTCTGCGGTGGTTGTGGTATCCGGTGCGGTGCTTATGGTCATCGGCGTCCGCTAGGAAACGTCAGTCAACAGAGGTGCCCAGTTACACACTCTTATTAGAGTGCAGTGGTACAAATTAGAAATTTAGTAAGCAGTGTGTCAAGACGCCAGTAACGGTACCATCTATAGCGTGTTCAGCAAATGAATTAGCTAAAGGTGAAAGAGAGTAATCTCCTTCCTAATTATAAAGACGCACAGTGTCAACATCTCGGCACACAATGTCCAACACCCAGTCACAGAGTATTACATGTCCATCACTGTGTTCCATACCCTGTCACATATTGTATATATTAAATCACACAGAGTTCCACACCTGCTGGACACTATCAGTCTTGTGTAGTTCTCCTTACCTTGTTCTCTGGGGTGTTCTCGAATTTGGTTCTCTCCAAAATGCTAATAAACTGAATGTAGTGAGGGTTGCTCCATCTTCCCAATCCTGCAAACAACATAATAGTCAATAAAAACTACAACTGCCCTTTACTGCTGCCCAGCTGGGCATGGAGCATACACTTCACACACAGAGGGCTGCATCATCTTCGGGTCACCAAGATAATGGGGTACAGGGACTCAGAGTATAGAAGTTTAATCCCCCATTGCTATCATCAATATTCTGCAGAAAGTGTTATTCCTCTTACAAACGTTTAATATAAGGCTTGGTATAATGGGAGACACGGTAACTTTAGTGACACCAATGGAAGTGTACAATTTCCGCTTGCTTGTGTCTAATAGCGGCACATGCCAGATTATGAACTGCCTCAGCCGGTTGGTCTGCAGGAAAGTGGCAATTTATAGCAGGAGACATTGCATGAGTCACCATGAAAGGAAATGTGAAACGCCATCTCACAATGTACCCCTCCTCCCCCATACTGAGAGTTTGCACCTTGAACAATTCAATCACTCATAGAGCTTTATATCGGAACTTGGCAAACAGGTGGTTTTATATCAGATTATTTATATATACGCACACACTCGCTGTGAATCAAACTCAACATTTATTTTACAAGACATAATATAACATCTCACCTCTCAAACACACCACTCCTGCCAGCAGTAAGAGCAGCGTCATTCCATATTGCCCTAAAGGTACCAGCCTGGACGCATTCAGATAGCCTAAACCAGAAAGCATGGGGCATTAGTGTACATAGACATATCATGGATTACACAAATGGGAATCAAGTCATAAGAGATTTATGGAAAATAAATATGGAAGGCTGTATTAGAATTCATTCTGCACAATGTTCGGCAAATTGGATGCATAGTATAAGATTACATGAACAAGAGGTTCATTCCTGCAGTCTGTATCCCAAATTAAAGTAGGATCATGGCATTACCTAGTTATTGCAAATCTAAAGGTTAATATGGTGCCAAGTGCATGTAGAATCCCACTTTAAAGGGGCATTGCAGTGTTACACGTGTGAAAGCTGAACATCATTATAAAAGGGCAACATTATATCCAACTTGCCGGCTGCATCTCCAGTTAAAGGCATTATGGCCCCTGTATGAGATTTATCCACCGCTCAAAAAATATCAAAAGGTTATTGTGATTCTCATATAAAATGTACTGCAATTTAAAGGGAACATCATTAGGGTGCATTTGAAGTTATCAGGGCAATAAGTTTATCTTGCATATAGCACATGCCATCATCATGTGTCAAACAGATAGACATTTCCATTTTATGTTTGGGTAGGTTAAGCTACAGACAAACCCAATGGCCAATCAATAAAAAGTAGACAGATAAAAAACAAACTCAATAAACATATGTAACTTCCTTACCTTTTCTGTACATATACATGATAGCGAGAGGGGAAGAGTAATAGGAAATGGTCCACAGGACAGACACCTGGGGAAAACAGAGTAAGCAGTTATTAGTTACAATTTTAGAATTCCAATAAAATCACAAGATATATTACTACCAGAATGCTTTGCTGTGCAAGAAAATAGAGTGTTCCCCCAATTTCCTGCAGAGGAAGTAGGTGTGCAAGGGGTTTATGGGATACATTTAGCTCAGGTAGCCTAAAATACAGATTTCATAATTTCCTTACAAGCAGCAGTTTGTGAGGATTTGCGGTTAATGACGGACATTCACAACTCTTTATTTATTTATAAAATATTTTACCAAGAAGGATACATTGTGGTTTCTCTCGTTTTCAAGTATGTCCTGGGTCCCAAAAACATTGCCTTGTTACAATAGGATACAATATTACAAAAAATACACACACACACACACACAAAAATATATTTAACACATAACAGATGATAAATATATACAACCATGACAGGTGCATTCTGTGCGGAGGTGTAAATATATATATCTCTATCATAAAAACAAACAAATCTCAAGGCACCTCGGAAGGACGTGCTGAGATCCAGAATCAACTATGAATGTCATCTACTATAAATGTTATGGTTTGTTTTGGCCTGTTGCCCTCTTATCTTTTCTTACAATATTATTATTATTATTATTACTACTGCCATTTATAAAGCGCCAACAGATTCCGCAGCGCTGTACAATTAGTGGAGAAACATACAATATACACAGACAAATACAAGAGGTAGAGAGAGCCCTGCCCGTAAGCGAATATCTAGCCATTGGAGCTCACGGGCCATCTATGCTTGGCTAGATGGCCCGTGAGCTTACAATCTAAAGGATACCAGGGGGATTTGAGACAAGAGGTAGCAGGGGGAGTCTGGATGTGATGGCTGGAAGAGTTAACAGAGAAGCAGCTATTGGTAAGATACAAAGGGAATGAAGAGGTAATTGAGTGAGAATCTCAAACAGCTGGAGAGGCATGCTATATATTTAGGGGGAGCCTGGGTGGGTGGGAAGAAAAAATGCAGTCTTTCACTGAGCTCAGTGTGATGTGAGGCCTGAATAACAAAGAATGAGATGGAACAGTCATATGAAGGTATTTACAACTGGGGAGGAGAAACGTAGAGGGGGGGTGAGGATGGGGGTTAAAGTAGTCATGTGTTCTATACTATTGAAATGTTTAATATGACACTACTATACCACTACAGTACCCCCTGGCTAAGCTCATTGATACAGCTGTTAAAGCATATGCTAGTCTTGAGGCCACGCACCACCCAAAATGGCCCCAGTGGTTTAAACTTATGCATAAGACATGCTTTCATTTTGATATAACTGAGTAATAATCCTAACGCACTCTATGATTGTGCAAAATAAATTTCTTTAATTTAAAAATGAGGTTCCTGCAAACTGTGAGTGACATAACATTCTCCCTGAGATGTTACAATAATGATACAGAGAAATCAGTGTAAGATAACTGAATTACTCCATACCTGCATTTAGTCTTAAAGTCACCACTGTACAACTGCGTTTCTAAACATACTGCCTCAATAAAAATTTTGATTGACAAAAAAAAATCAATAAAAATTTTTAAAAAAAAATCAACAAACCAACCAAATAAACACACCAATATATATGTCACTTCCTTTAATGAAGGAAATTAAAGAGGTTTAGGGTCAGTATAAGAACACATTTAAGACAGTGGATCTTTGTTGTAAAATCCCAGCAGACATACCCATGCCAACATGCTATCTGTGTGTTTCTCCAGGGCTCGCGGCTGGTAGAACGACTCCTGGGGAAAAGAGATAGACAATTATAGGATTAATATAGGAGTGTAGTGCTGCCTAAATGTGCAATCGGCAGACAAAAGGAGGGCATGCAGAAACACTGCCCTGTGGAGACACCAGGAAGGCTATTTTTCACAAATCACACCTTAGTGCATGTTTTGCGGTAATTCCTATGGATTACACAGATAAACAGAGCAAGCAAGCCCTGCAGCGAGAAGGTATCCTAAAGCCCATCAGACAGAAGTCACGGGTGCTCTGCTCACTGTGCAACAGTTGGCCTTCTATATGCAATGCATTATGGTCAGCCAGTTCTTCCCTGCTAGAGAGGGGTATGACATGATCTTGCACAAATTGAAAGCTCTCCCCGGGGTTCAATCATACAGGACATTTAATTGGCAATGCTGTAAGGAAGCACTTCATTCTACAGTGTGAGATCTACTGCTCGGGAATTGCGAAAAATGTCAACTGCACATCTGAAGGGTATTTTCTTTTTCTTCAAACCACATGCTCGGGATCTGCTAGTATTCAGATACGAAACTAGCTAAAGATTTTTAGTTTATTTTATTAGTATTCTCTATATGATGTGATCTTAAAGCACAAAAACCTTACAGTCAAAACAAAAAACTCTGAAAATCACAAGATAGAACAAAATGAGGAAGCGTGACCAGTTACACGCAATTCTACACACGTGCTTTTCTGTCTAACACAAAGTTACAGATTTTGGCTCACATAAATGTATTGTATCCTTATTTATCTTGTCTGAGAAGGATGGCAAATCGCGGTACTAGGTGGTACCACAATGGCTAATCGTGGAACCTGTGAATAAATAGAACAGTGTTACACTACATGACATATTGTATCTTCTTAAAGGACCACTCTAGGCACCCAGACCACTTCAGCTTAATGAAGTGGTCTGGGTGCCAGGTCCAGCTAGGGTTAACCCATTTTTTATAAACATAGCAGTTTCAGAGCAAACTGCTATGTTTATGAATGGGTTAAGCCTTCCCCCAATTCCTCTAGTGGCTCTCTCATTGACAGCCGCTAGAGGCGCTTGCGTGCTTCTCACTGTGATTTTCACAGTGAGAGCACGCCAGCGTCCATAGGAAAGCATTATGAATGCTTTCCTATGTGACCGGCTGAATGCGCGCGCGCATTCAGCTGACGGGGAGGAGAGAAGGAGGATCGGAGGAGGAGAGCTCCCCGCCCAGCGCTGGAGAAAGGTAAGTTTTACCCCTTTCCCCTCCCCAGAGCCGGGCGGGAGGGGGACCCTGAGGGTGGGGGCAACCTCAGAGCACTATAGTGCCAGGAAAACGAGTATGTTTTCCTGGCACTATAGTGGTCCTTTAAGGTACTGGGACATGTCTGCACCTGCCGAATGCTGGCCTGGAAATCTTCGTAACACTGTCTTTTTTTACCCGAAGGCTGCCATTAACGTAACTGTACGCTTGTTGTTTTTTATGTTTTATGATATTTCTTTGTCTAGAGCAGGGGTTCACAATTAATGTTATCCACGGAAACCTCTGACAGTGTACCAACATCACGGAATACCCACAATTTATTTAATTTGCACCGTAGCACAAATTTTCACTACCATAACTTCAAAGTAAACAGATTTTTTGTGGTTTTGGTGCAGAAGCAATGGCTATTTTTTTTTGTTTTATTTTTTATAAATAAAATAATTTTGTAAGAGGTTAAAAAAAAAAATTAAAAAAAATCCCAACTCAAGTACATTAGGGCAAAACTGTGATATATAAAAATATTTACAGCAGCACAGTTTGACTCTAAAAAAACCTATCCTCATATGCCACACTGGGCACTAATCTAAACGGCAGCACAATAAAGCAAGTCATTTCTCCTGTGTGGTCAAAATTCTGATTGCAAAATAGCTGAGCGCCTGACAGAATCAGAGCTTTCCTACATGTGACAATCCTATCAATGCTTGCAACCGAGAGAGTCTGAAACAGCTGACTGCGGGCGGGAATAAGATTGCAGTCTCTGTGATTTCCGACCTTCCAGGAGCAGCAGGGAGTGATGGCCATGTTGGATGTGGCGAAAACGTGGCAGAGCCTCATGGTTCCGCGTAACACTAATTAGGAAGCGCTGATCTAGGCAGACAGTTTTTGTACCTTTTACATCAGTTAAATGAAAAGGCATTTGTTGAAGCCTTGCAAGTCTGTTCTTAAGGAACGTATTTACTAAGCACTTACATACATTACTGTTGGATTTTAGGGCTCAACATTTCCCTGTCTGCTGGTGAGTGACAATTTAATACTACAAATTCAATATGACATGGACTCTCCAGGCTTGCAGTGACTAGTAGATTAGAACTTGAAATGTTAAGCTCTGATATAAAGATGTACTAAATTGTAACAGCAATTAATAACCCCACGGAACCAACTCCAGCCAAATACACAGAACAAGTAATGCCCTCGCTGGTGTTCTTTACAGAGAATTAACGGCTTGATTTCCTTTTTGGGAATTGAAAAACATTAGAAATTTCCACAAAGAAATTTAATTAAACAAATACCAGAAAGTGTGTATGTGATGCACACTGTCAGAGATACATTATCCTTTTTATATATGTATTTTGACAGCATATGAATATAAAGGCTAATATTGCAGAGCAGTGCTTTCTGTACACCATCCCACAATGCTCCCTACTGTTCTCTCTAATTTCCAAGTAATATAAGACAACGCCATACACTAGGGGATTTTATTCAGTATTCTAATTCACACAAATCTGTCTGCAATGTGAACAGAGGACATAAGATTCCTCCTGTATTCTGATAGACTGCCAACATTAAAACACAAGGTGGAGGGACAGTACAGCATTGGGATCACATTTCTATGGTGACTGCACCAAATTCAAAACATTCACCCATAACAATCTAGGCAGTCACATATTCTAATGGTTTTAAAAGCCTAATCCATAACAAAAAACACACTTTAGTTTGAGTGCCTACCGTCGCAAAAAATAAATAAAATAAAAAAGTAAAATATGAAACTTTGTTAATGTACTATACATTTTGGAGTATATAAAAGTATGCCATGTGGAAGGAAGGACTATTTGTTTATATAAAATTTGCATTGTTTAGGCCTATATTATGAACATTGGCGCCAATATATGTATTTTGCAAAGTCCCCCAAAACTTGTATCCCTATGTGTACAACACTGTCTGACTCAGTCTCAGCATGACCAGAGGAAGGCACGGGCTTCTATTTGCTATGGCATGCGACTTCTTACATCCAGGACCCATATATCCATCATGGGTTAGGTAGTGTGGCCCCAAAGGAAAGTTCAGCCTCTGCCATAATGGGTCTTCGAAAAAGTAACTTTGTCATTACAATCCACTAATTATTTTATAAAGACAAAAACATTATCACCAACTCATGTTTACCGAGTTGGAATTTCGCTGAAATTCTAATGTAATCAAAAGATATCATTAGACAAAGTAGTGACTACTTTATCCTATGGGCAAAGTCTGACTTGACAAAAGGCAAAGCTAGTGATGGCTGCAGGAAGAGGATTTATCTCACACATTGAGAGAGTTGGTTGTGTGGAAATCCTATATGCTTGTGGTATCTCCCATAGATCTGTGTATTGTTCTTCCAAGCATGCACGAATGGACAGGAGTAATGTGGCTCCTGATGGACGAAGCCACAACGGATGAAAGAAGATAGCTACAAAGGCAGAGGAGAGCTCCATACAACTCCTTGCAGCTGCTCCACTGGTCGCCGCATAGCGTGCAGGGAGTCTTTGAAAATATGCAAAGAACCATGAAAGTGACAGAGCCGCTTCAAGTTCAAACCAGCACACAGTATGGGGTCCCTGGGCTTAAAGGAGCAATTTCCACAACCTAGTAAGGATTGTTAGATCCACCATGTTATCTTGGACACACAATTTCTCCATGACAATGCATCATATCCCAACCTTTGGAGACATGAACGCAGGAGGTATGCTGGTAACACTGTGCACACTAAGAGATTATGTCTCTAAAGTTCTTGAATGGGTTGAATGGCTATAATATGAATGACATATGCTGCACTTACTGAGAGCACTTCGAAGGTGTCACCAAATTAAGGACTGTCTCTCCAAACCTGGGGTACTGGGGGCTCTAGCACAGGAAATCACACGCTGTAAGAGGGAAATCAACCATTTAATCTGGGTTGTACCTTTGGGATCCCTTTCTGACTTAAGTATGGATTTCCCTTCTGCAGCATCTGAAAGACACATACTGCATGGCAGCACTTTTCATGCACGGCCCAAGACCATGAATAGCAGACATAACCAGAGAAACATGGAGGAGCGGGCAGGCTCAGCCACTGTCCTCACCTGAATGGTTACTTCCTGATGTTGGTCCCTTACCCCCTGACACTGGGCCCCTCCCTGATGTAGTTCCCCCTATACCCCCTGACACTGGGCCCCTCCCTGATGTAGTTCCCCCTATACCCCCTGACACTGGGCCCCTCCCTGATGTAGTTCCCCCTGACACTGGGCCCCTCCCTGATGTAGTTCCCCCTGACACTGGGCCCCTCCCTGATGTAGTTACCCCTGACACTGGGCCCCTCCCTGATGTAGTTACCCCTGACACTGGGCCCCTCCCTGATGTAGTTACCCCTGACACTAGGCCCTCCCCTGATGTAGTTCCCTGACACTGGGCCCCTCCCTGATGTAGTTCCCCTATACCCCTGACACTGGGCCCCTCCCTGATGTAGTTCCCTATACTTGACAATGGGCCCTCTCGATGTAGTTCCCTATACCCCTGACATGGCCTCCCTGATGTAGTTCCCCATATACTCTGACACTGGGCCCCTCCCTGATGTAGTTCCCCTATACCCCTGACACTGGGCCCCTCCTGATGTAGTTCCCCTATACCCCTGACACTGGGCCCCTCCCTGATGTAGTTCCCCTATACCCTGGCACTGGGCCCCTCCCTGATGTAGTTCCCCTATACTGACACTGGGCCCCTCCCTGATGTAGTTCCCCCTATACCCCCTGACAATGGGCCCATCCCTGATGTAGTTCCCCCTATATCCTCTGACAATGGGCCCCTCCCTGATGTAGTTGCCCCTGACACTGGTACCCTCCCTGATGTAGTTCCCCCTGACACTGGGCCCCTCCCTGATGTAGTTCCCCCTATACCCCCTGACACTGGGCCCCTCCCTGATGTAGTTCCCCCTATACCCCCTGACACTGGGCCCCTCCCTGATGTAGTTCCCCCTGACACTGGGCCCCTCCCTGATGTAGTTCCCCCTGACACTGGGCCCCTCCCTGATGTAGTTCACCCTATACCCCCTGACACTGGGCCCCTCCCTGATGTAGTTCACCCTATACCCTCTGACACTGGGCCCCTCCCTGATGTAGTTCCCCCTATACCCCCTGACACTGGGCCCCGCCCCCTGAGATAGGTTCCCTATCACTAGCCCCGCCTCCTGGCACTAGGTCCCGCCCCCGCGGGAGGTTCCCTATCACTAGGCCCCGCCCCCCGAGGGAGGTCCCCTATCACTAGGCCCCGCCCCCGAGGGAGGTCCCCTATCACTAGGCCCCGCCCCCTGAGGTAGGTCCCTATCACTAGGCCCCGCCCCCAGAGGGAGGTTCCCTATCACTAGGCCCCGCCCCCAGAGGGAGGTTCCCTATCACTAGGCCCCGCCCCCTGAGGGAGGTTCCCGGATCACTAGGCCCCGCCCCCTGAGGTAGGGTCCCGGACACTAGGCCCCGCCTCTGACACTAGGCCCCGCCCCCTCCCAGACCCCCATACCGTGAATCTCACCCATGATCCCTCGGGCTCCGCCTCCTCCCCGCCCCGGCCTCTCACCGCTGCTGCCCGCCCGCTCGGCCGGTACACTCGGTACAGTCGGGGTCCCCGGATACACAGGTAGAGCAGCCCGAGGCCCCGGACCCATCTCCGCACCGGGCCATCTCCCCCGGGCCCGCCCGCGGCCGCCATGTCCCTCCCGTCAGGCTGTTCGGAGGAGGCTCCCCCGCGCGCACCGTTACAAGGGTCACCGGAGGGAAGAGCGGGCGCCGTGACGAGGCTTCAGCGCGACGGACCAATCAGCGAGCAGAACGCAGAGCACGCGGGAAGGCCAGTGACAGGTGGGCGGGGCTTACGGATCGAGAACTGCGAGCTGGTTGGATGAGAGCGCCTAGAGGGCGGGGCTAGCACGGTCCCAGGACCCGGCGCGTCGTCTAGCAACGGCCCAGCCTATCCCGCGCGAGATGATAGCGATGGCATGATTCGATTGGACGAAGACCTTTATAGTGGGCGGAGCCCGAAGCAGGTTATTTCCTCTTAGTGTTGTCATGACGACCCTACACATCAACATTAACCTAGCTCGTGACCGGAAGTGTGGATTCAGACATGTTGTTAGACAGGAAGTGCAAAGGACGCCATGTTTGCGACTAGGAATCCATAGTGACCAAAAACACACACACCAAGCACTTAGAGTTTCAGGCCAACCTACCCCATCTCAAGGCATTGCACGCGCTCTTTCAGTTTGGCAATGTGTGGCCCTTTAACCCCTTAAAGACACATGACATGATTCCCTTTTATTCCAGAAGTTTGGTGGTTAAGGTCCTATGCCAGTTGTGGATAATATAACGAGTTGTCATTAATGGTAAATGTTCAAGCTGGACAGAGGTGGCAAGTGGTGTCCCTCAGGGGTCTGTTCTGGGACCCCTTCTATTTAACATGTTTATAAATGATCTCGAAGACCGCATTGAAAGTCATGTTTCAGTGTTTGCAGATGACACAAACTCTGTAAAGTGATACAATGTGAGCAAGATATTACTTTGCTGCAGAGGGATTTAGATGGACTGGGGGTCTGGGCACTCAAATGGCAGAAGAAATTTAATATTGAAAAATGCAAAATTATGCACTTCGGCGTAAAGAATACACAAGCAACGTATACCCTTAATGGAAGCAAATTAGGGATAACAACACATGAAAAGGACTTGGGAATTGTTATAGACAACAAACTATGCAACAATAAGCAATGTCAATCAGCAGTGGCCAAGGCCAGTAAGGTATTTTCATGCATGAAAAGGGGCATTCATTCTCGGGATGAGAATATCATTTTGCCTCTTTATAAATCACTGGTAAGACCCCATATGGAATATGCTGTGCAATTTTGGGCACCTGTTCTAAAGAAGGATATTATGGCACTAGAAAAAGTGCAGAGGCAGGCTACAAAATTAATAAAAGGAATGGAACATATCAGTTTTGAAGAAAGGTTAACAAATTTAAACCTATTTAGTTTAGAAAAACGTCGCCTGAGATGGGATATGATAACATTATACAAATATATTCAGGGCCAATACAAACCATGGAAATCTATTCACAAACCGGACTTTACATAGAACACGAGGTCATGCGTTTAGACTGGAAGAAAGAAGATTTCGTCTAAGGCAAAGGAAAGGTTTTTTTACTGTAAGAACAATCAGGACGTGGAATTCTCTGCCGGAAGAAGTGGTTTTATCAGAGTCCATACAGATGTTCAAACAGCTACTAGATGCATACTTGCAAGAACAGAATATTCAAGGATATAATCTTTCAATGTAGGGTAATAACTGCTTGATCCCAGGATAAATCTAACTGCCATTCTGGGGTCAAGAAGGAATTTTTTTCCTAGCTTGTTGCAAAATTGGAAGTTTTTCAAACTGGGGTTTTTTTGCCTTCTTTTGGATCAACAGCAAAAAACAAATGTCAGGAAGGCTGAACTTGATGGACGCAAGTCTATTTTCAGCTATGTAACTATGTAACACTCTCACTGTTCTCCATAGTGTGTGTCAAATCAGTGTCCCTGCACAAGTAGGCCCAACCACTCTGGATACGAATGCCCCTTGATTAGTAGTAATCCAAAATGCAGTATCAACATAATTTCCAGACAGCTTTACTGTAATAGTACTTAAAGGACCACTATAGGTACCCAGACCACTTCAGCTCAACGAAGTGGTCTGGGTGCCAGGTGCCAGAGAAACTGCTATGTTTATACTGCAGGGTTAATCCAGCCTCTAGTGGCTGTCTCCCAAACTAGTGGGCTGTCACCCTTCCGCAATTTACACTGAGTAAATTGCACTTATTTGACGCTGGACGTCCTCACGGAGTCCAGTGTCAAAAAACATCACCATAGGAAAGCATCTGACCGCGTATTCGGCTCCACTCAGTTTTAACCCCTTCAGCGCCGAGGGAGGGGGGCAATCCAAGAGCCTATAGTGCCAGAAAAATGGGTTTATTTTCCTGGCACTATTGGATCCCTTTAACTATCCTCAGGCACTGAAGCCTTTTTAAATATATTTTTAAGTACTCTAGAATGTAAGCTCATTGAGCAGGGCCCTCCACCCCTCTGTTCCTGTACGTCCAGTTGTCTGGTTACAATTACATGTCTGTTAGTCCACCCATTGTACAGCACTATGGAATCTGATGGCGCTATATAAATAATAAAATAACAATAATAAGTTGTTTAATTTACTACAACAGAGATGGTTACATGAACTTTCAAAATCTGTTCCAAATTAGAAAAATTCTATATTTTCATTGCACTTTAGCGTTTTTGTTTTCAGACTAACCTTGCTGACAAGGTTAATATGCGTGCTGCAAATAGCCATCCCCCTCTCACATTTCAACATGTTCCTGATTCTCAGCCTCTGAAAGAAACGTACTAATACGCAGTAATAATAGGAGCTTCCGGGTCATTGTCTAAGAGTCTCAGCTGAGCGCTCCCAGCCAATGAGCTAATCACCTCCCAACTCCGGGACATCGGGACACCAGTGGGAGAGAGGTAAAGGGGAAGAATTAGTTATGCAATCGTGTCACTAACTGCATCCCCAAACGGGTGGGCTCTACCAGAAAAGGGGCGAGTGTGTCTGCGTTAATGGCAGATCAAGCCAGGTTACCTGTCCATTATTCAGGTCTATTTACTAAGGGCAGGGCATGCAAGGAGCATGCCAAAAGTGGGACACCAGGGAACTAAGGCAAGATGGCATAACGGAACCTGAAAGTCAGGACTTTTGAAAAAACGGGACAGTGTGGAGGCATGGCTTTGCTTTGCAGTTCTAGGATTCACTCAATGCATAGGTTTCTGGTGGTATAGGAGGAGGTGACCAGCTCCTGGCCAACCCCAGATAATTTGAGTTCTTACCCTAGGAGGATGCCAGGGCACCCAGGGCCGGACTGTGAAGAAAATTCGTCCCGGGCATTTTTTTATTACAGCGGCCCACTACAAAGGGGGCGGGGCCAGATAGGGTGTGTTTTGTCATCACCAATAACAAGCACGCCCCATCACAAAGTGAGCATGTTGGTTCAATGCTCTTCCAGGGTAGACCATGCACAGAGCTCTGCTGAAGAGCTCTGGCATGAGAAAAAGACCCTGTATTTGTTCTGCACAGCGCAGGCAAATTCAATAACATGCTTGCACTGTGTTTGCTTGAAATTTGTCTCTGGTGTCTCCATAGTTGGGATACCAGGAGACAAAAATGCTAGGAAAGCATATTGTGCAGTGTGAGGGTGCTGTGTGTGCGTGTAAGGGGTGTAGTGTGTGTGCGAGAGGGGTGCAGTGTGTGTGAGGTGTGTAGTGTGTGAGTGATGGGTGCTGTGTTTGCATGAGGGTGCTATGTGGGTAAGGGTGCTGTGTGTGTGTGCTGTGTGTGATTGGGTGCTGTCTTTGCGTGAGGGTGCTGTGTTTGCGTGAGGGTGCTATGTGCATGTGAGGAAGCTTTGTGTGTCAGGGGTGCAATGTGTGTGTGTGGGTGCTGTAAGTGTTAGGGGTGCAGTGTGTGTGTGCTGTGCATGTCAGGGGTGCAGTGTGTGTTTGTGCTGTGCGTGTCAGGGGTGCAGTGTGTGTGTGTGTGTGTGTGGGTGCTGTAAGTGTTAGGGGTGCAGTGTGTGTTTGCTGTGAGTGTCAGGGGTGCAGTGTGTGTGTGTGTGCTGTGAGTGTCAGGGGTGCAGTGTGTGTGAGTGAGGGTGCTGTGAGTGTGTGTGAGTGAGTGCTGTGAGTGTCAGGGGTGCAGTGTGTGAGGGTGCTGTAAGTGTTAGGGGTGCAGTGTGTGTGTGAGGGTGCTGTAAGTGTTAGGGGTGCAGTGTGTGTGTGCTGTGAGTGTCAGGGGTGCAGTGTGTGTGTGTGTGCTGTGAGTGAGGGTGCTGTGAGTGTCAGGGGTGCAGTGTGTGTGTGTGTGTGTGTGAGGGTGCTGTGAGTGTCAGGTGTGCAGTGTGTGCTGTAAGTGTCAGGGGTGCAGTGTGTGTGAGTGAGGGTGCTGTGAGTGTCCATCCATCCCTGGTAGTCCTAGTGGTGAGTGAACTCTAGTAGTCTACTGCGAGACCCGGAGCATTGCCATGGTTCCTCTGCTGGCAGGCTGGCTCTGTGGGGATATTTATGGGATAATAATAGTAACAGTGAGAATTGCCCACTAATTCAATTCTCAGATCCCAAATATCGTTATCGTGTTAAGTGAGAAGTATTTCATATAAATAATCACAATGTTATAAAAATAGATTTTATTTATAATAACAAATTAATTAATAATAATAATATGTAACATGCGTGACAATAATCAATGAATATTCAGTATAAAATGGTATGCAATACAAAGGAATAGGTATATTCATTTCAATGGCTAAACAGCATTTTCTGTCAAGACTTCTGATTTATGAGGTATCTTTAACACAGACTGAAAGGAAAACTTTTCACAGCGAAGGGCCATAAAACCCTGGCTAACAGTTAGAATAACCCTTTCAATGCTGGCTAGATCTCCTAGGTAGTTAAGATCTATTCTTATGTAATTTTAAACAAAATAACATTTAAACCAGTTCATTAGTCATTTCCTGGAACCATCCAATAAGAGAATCTACCATATTATATAAGCAGAGTTTGTTTTTAATTTGTCTAAAAGATATCTTAACTTAATTTAGAGCAAATCAATACACCTGGATAAAAACAACGGTATGCTACCATGTGATACTATCACATTAATATATAATTATTCTTAATTCCACCTGCAGAATGGAATGTTTATAACTATATATTCTTTAGTTAACTAAGATTTCTTAATATGGAAATCTGACCGTGCTTTATCCTAGTCATATATCATGCTATTAATACATTTTAATTAATTTAATTAATTAAATGAAACCAGTATAATTACCAGTTGAGTAGATATTTCATCCGATTGGTAGATAGTTTTAGGAACTTATTTGGATGTCTGTAGGTGCATGAGTTATGGTGAAAGGTGGTGTTGGTTAGAAAGTCAGTGAAATTCTAAGTGTTAGAGTTTTAAGAGTAGAGTGTTAGTCTCAGATGTTGTCCTGGGTTTCTCTGCATGTCCGAGTTGGAGTCCCCACACTTCCAATTCCTCTCTCCTCTTTTTCTTTCTCCTTTGCATCCCTCTATCTTCCCTTTGTCCTAACTTTTAAAGGGCCAGATTCTCTGTACGTCATCAGTTGATAACCCAATAGAAGCACTAGAGGTGTGGCTATCTTCCAAATCGCAAATTAGGTATTTGGTCTATAGAGGGCAGTCTTGTCCCACTAAACATACCTATCCAGGAAAGAGTTAACTTTTCCTGGTGGCTATTTTGACGTCATTTTGCGTTATCTTTATCTTTGCTATAACTTACGTATCCCTTCAGATCAAAGGGTTTCTTTAAGTTTTGTCCAGACTATGTGTCTGGCAAATCTGAGTTTTGACCCATAACTTACAATGGGACCTTATACATATAGACAGTTAAATTTTATTATCTAATCTTCTCTGTCACAATTGTCTGGGTTTAGATTTGATCTATTCCATTAGCATTAGACAGTCTATCCAACCCCCGTTCTTCTTATCATTTGGTTTGTATATACTATGCATTCCTTTAGCTCTGGCAAAGTGGTTAGTTTTACAGAAAGAAATTTTGTGTCTTTTTGTTAACTTGAAAATAACAAAATGGAGTCTGGTCTGTTCAGAATGACTCAGAATATACACTTTTAATTTCTATCATAGCACAAGATGTCTGCCGATATAAATACCCTGACACTCCCTCCCTCTCTCCCCCGGCGGCCGCACTATCCTGCATGTGGGCTGGTGAGGGAGATCTCTGATCTCCCCACCGGCCCGCAGTAGACTACTGCAGGGCCGGGGTTCAGATAGTGCCGGCCCTGCAAAGACCGGCAAGAGAGATCCTGGGACCTCCCTTGCCGGCCTCAGCCCATGGCCACCGCGGCCCACCGGGCATTTGCCCGGTGTGCCCGATGGCCAGTCCGGGCCTGAGGGCACCTAATGGAAATAAATAGTTTTACCTATGCAATACTTTGTGAATATTCCCCTAGACATACAGAGCTATATATATTTTATGTTACAGGGCTTCAGTCTCATGTCCTGCTTTCTACTTCTGTATTTCTTAGTATGTAGCTAAAGTATATACTCTATACATGGCTTGAAAGACTGAATGGTCCGTAGGCCTGATACTAGTTTTCACTATCTATGTTAAACATTCTGCACTTGGAAAAAATAACCTTCTTTCTAAGCACCTGCAAATATTAGACTGTCATGCGCATCAGTTAACAGAAGACTAACTAGCAGCAATACGTAATGTTATATGAGAAATTATACTTTTGGTTCTGAGACTCCTATGATTGGTTAATGTTTCCGTTGATGTATACACTCCTAGACAAACTGTGTTTTATATATACGATGTACGACCATTAAACCTTTGAATGCTTTATGATACTCCATCTGACTGATGTTCATTGAGTATTCTCAGCAGCTGATTTTACACAGAGACAAGGAAAGCAGGAATGTGTTAGTGCGGAAGGGTTTATGAGACCCCGTGGTGATTTTTTCAGCCTAACAGCACCAGGACCACTGTAGTGGAGCGTTCATTAAATTAATTAATGTACTTGAAGATTTTTTGAATAAGGACTGGATTCTATTATATATAATAAATTAGCATGTCATTGCATCTGTAGCAGTTCTGCTAGATGTAACAGTACCTTTATTTAGGATCCAGGCAAGGAAACACAGACACGTACAACTGATGATTAGATGCATTAAATATATTTGTAAAAAATGGACATTCTGTAATTAATTTATTCCATATGTATGCTTACATCATGTATACTGTACATATATTTGTTACACTTTCTTAAAATACAAATATATCTTATAAAGAGAATGAGTGAGTGTTTTCCTCAAAGCATTGCAAATAGTGTAGGGGTGAGCAGGACTCCCAGGAAGGCGAGTTGGGGTGCTCGGATGGAGAAACCACTGTTGCAGAAATTCGTTTCACAACATGTTGAATTGTAAAAGTACGTTCTGAGTATTCCTGTTGTTATTGCTACGGAGGATCTGTTGCATTCTGCTGTGGCAATGCATCCAGATCTGGAGAAAGCCACCTGATTTCCTGTCATTGGAGAAAGAAACAGAGTTTAATGGGATTTACACCTGTTGCTCTTTCAAATACCTTTTCCTGCTGACAGAGGCTAAAATCCACAATCAAGCACTGAATTGTCAGCAAATAGATAAAATCAGAATTAAAATACAAAGTAAAGTGAATTTAAAATAATTAAATATGCTGTGTTTTCATTTCAGCTATTTTGGTCTAAAATGTTAAATTCACTTTGAATTCCCAGCAATTCATACTTTCTTTGAATAACACTGATGTTTATGGTTGAATTCCCAGCAATTCATACTTTCTTTGAATAACACTGATGTTTATGGTTGAATTCCCAGCAATTCATACTTTATTGAATAACGCTGATGTTTATGGTTGCAGGATAACATTTAAAAAATGTTTTTGTGTATCTTAAAAAAGTAAATGTTGCATTCCCACTCACACCCCTAAAAATAAAGTGTTCCTCCAGTTGAAATATTGGGAGGTATGTCCTAAGCAGGAGCTTCTGGCTTCATTTTGCAGGGTTGTCCAAACTGTGGCCCTGAATGAAATACATAACCAAAGACTCATGGGAGTTGTAGTTAAGGAACACCTGGAGGGCCAGAGTTTGGAGAATCCTCCTCTCTTGGATAAAGTAGAGGGGAGAAGTGACCCCTCTCCCCCAGCAGACCCAACGTAAGAAGACAAACCTTGTTTAAAATGGTTTGACTACTTAGAATAAGTAATCAAACCAGGAATGGGCACCACAACACTCAAAAAGGAATGGGCACCACAAGACTCATGGCACCATAACCACTACCATATGCTGTAGTTGTTATGGGACTTAGAGTGTTCCTTTAACACATTTTTAATATATGCCTTTCTACAGTGTATCTCTTTGATTATTTTTTTGAAATAAAGGCTTTCAAGTGCCATCTTCTATCCTATAAGTGGTAATGCTGCCAAGAGTACGAGAGCCGGGTTCCTAGTGAGGCAAACTGTTTAATGATGTTGGGTCTTTGCTAGGCCTGAAGCTTCTCTTCTTCACTGCAACACACATCCTGCTTCTGCAGAGCTGCAGAAACAAGACGCCGATGCAGTCGCCATTCATTCATTGCTGCCCACTCTCAGCCAGTGAATGGCACACTGTGCAAAATAACAAATGTGTACAGAATTGAAACGAGCCAGTCTGTAATTCTAGTTCCGGGCTGCCTGATGACACCCCATGATGTTGCATTTACAGTTGCACCCCTGGCAGCCAAACGGTTAAACTTGGTGTGTGCAGAGTTGCACATACAGACTCCAGGCACCATGACCACTTCAATAACCCAAATCTGACATTTCCTCTCAGGCATTAGATCAATGTTTGTTCTTGAGTAAATGTTTAACCCCTTAAGGCCCAAACTTCTGGAATAAAAGGGAATCATGACATGTCACACATGTCATGTGTCCTTAAGGGGTTAAATAAGGCAACAAAAACATAGTTTGTTATTTTTCAGTTTTTACATTTCAGATAAAACAGTTTAAAATGACAGATTTTGTCACTATTTATTGATATTTACTTAAATATACTTCTTTTTTAATTTTAGTCTGGTTACCTAATATATGAATTAATCTTTTTTTGGAGTTAAAGTACATGTTTACTGCAAACATTTGGCGACTTCCTAGAATCTATAGCCAAGCACGTCCTATATTCGTATAGAGCCTAGAATTGTTTCCAAAATAGCCGCTCAATCAGACTTCTTTTCCTGCAATTCAGAAACTCTGATTTCAAGGGAATCCCATCCTTACTTCTTATACACTGTTTTACAACCCCATTCTTCATTCGTCAAACCATCATCTCACACAATTTGCTCAAAATGCCTATCAAAGCAACAACTCACAAGGTTCTGGCGATTCACAGGTTGCTATAGACTGACACATCTTCATAAAACCTAGTCCCTTTATAGATTTCTACAGAACTCACATAGACTTTAATAGAATGCTATCCTTCCTAAACTAGTTATTCACACAAACTTTCACTGAACCCCAGGTCTCTAATTTGTGCCCCTCTGCTCTTGTCTAGGAGCTCCATTTTGTTGGTGTGTCTGAGTGTATAACAGAGCTTCACAGCAATAATACGCCCAGTAATGTGTGTGAGTGTATAACAGAGCTTCACAGCAATAATACGCCCAGTAATGTGTGTGAGTGTATAACAGAGCTCCACAGTAATAATACTCCCAGTAATGTGTCTGAGTGTATAACAGAGCTCCACAGCAATAAAATGTGTGAGTGTATAACAGAGCTCCACAGTAATATTACTCCCAGTAATGTGTCTGAGTGTATAACAGAGCTCCACAGCAATAATACTCCCAGTAATGTGTCTGAGTGTATAACAGAGCTCCACAGCAATATTACTCCCAGTAATGTGTCTGAGTGTATAACAGAGCTCCACAGCAATAATACTCCCAGTAATGTGTCTGAGTGTATAACAGAGCTCCACAGCAATAATACTCCTAGTAATGTGTCTGAGTGTATAACAGAGCTCCACAGCAATAATACTCCCAGTAATGTGTCTGAGTGTATAACAGAGCTCCACAGCAATAATACTCCCAGTAATGTGTCTGAGTGTATAACAGAGCTCCACAGCAATAATACTCCCAGTAATGTGTCTGAGTGTATAACAGAGCTCCACAGCAATAATACTCCCAGTAATGTGTCTGAGTGTATAACAGAGCTCCACAGCAATAATACTCCCAGTAATGTGTCTGAGTGTATAACAGAGCTCCACAGCAATAATACTCCCAGTAATGTGTCTGAGTGTATAACAGAGCTCCACAGCAATAATACTCCCAGTAATGTGTCTGAGTGTATAACAGAGCTCCACAGCAATAATACTCCCAGTAATGTGTCTGAGTGTATAACAGAGCTCCACAGTAATAATACTCCCAGTAATGTGTCTGAGTGTATAACAGAGCTCCACAGCAATAATACTCCCAGTAATGTGTCTGAGTGTATAACAGAGCTCCACAGCAATAATACTCCCAGTGATGTGTCTGAGTGTATAACAGAGCTCCACAGCAATAATACTCCCAGTAATGTGTCTGAGTGTATAACAGAGCTCCACAGCAATAATACTCCCAGTAATGTGTCTGAGTGTATAACAGAGCTCCACAGCAATAATACTCCCAGTAATGTGTCTAAGTGTAAAACAGAGCTCCACAGCAATAATACTCCCAGTAATGTGTCTGAGTGTATAACAGAGCTCCACAGCAATAATACTCCCAGTAATGTGTGTGAGTGTATAACAGAGCTCCACAGTAATAATACTCCCAGTAATGTGTCTGAGTGTATTACAGAGCTCCACAGCAATAATACTCCCAGTAATGTGTCTAAGTGTAAAACAGAGCTCCACAGCAATAATACTCCCAGTGATGTGTCTTTAAACTACAATAAATGTGTTTAGAAATCAGTCTGTGTATTAAGATACATTGTTCTTGTTCTGAATTACATTTTAGTTGTATAAATTGTTATTAGTAAATCAATTAAAATGTCTCAGAACAGCCCCGTCCCTGGCCATACCCCTACTCACACCTCTAAAATGAAAGTGTCCTTCTGTCTAAAAATTGGAAGGTAAGCTTATTTAGAGTTTTATATAACCCATAATAGTCTACAAAATGGTTCTTATTAAAGAACGTTATGCGAGGACTTGCGTATGGATAAATTAAGTTGAAACATCAGCATATCTCCGATTTTACAAACAAAAATCTAGTAACCTCTAAGGGAACTAGTAGTGGTGTGTCAGGGACGGCCTTATAGGGGGTGACCCTCACTAATGTGCGGAAAACAAAGAAAGGATCCCCAAGGGCAAAAAGCCCTGAGGGTCGTGGTATAGGTGGTCCCTGGAGACCCTTATAATCATATGCTAAAATATAACCTTTATTGATCTATATAAATTAAAAAAGTAACTTGTAAAGACACATGTGCAACCAAAAGAAAAATGAGAAATGAATTGAGAAAAGAAAAAGAGATGGGCTGGAGAGGCACATGCGGCCAGTCCTATGAACAAGGGGTGCCCTTTATCACCATGCCACATGCTGCCAAGGGCATCTCCTGTGCAGGGGTCCTTTCTTTGTTATCTCCGATTCTAGAATATGGAATCGTGCTGACGACTGCCTAGTTTTTAATAAAGGAAACCCATTCCTGGCCCGACATTAGGCTAGCATATGTATACCATGTACTGAATCATTCAGTGACTCCAGAAGGCATCTATAAAATCTCACCCTACACAGATTCTATGGTAGCAGAGATTTGTATAGAACCCCGTATCTAGATATTCCATCTGGTCCATGGACGGTGTGATCCCCCCATTACAATATACATTACCTATTAAAACTTTCATGGTCCCACACTGATCGGTAGGATCCGGACAGTAAGTGCTGGTACTTTGAGTGTACATACATTGCGAGTATACTTGGTAGTTGCAGTTATAACATTGTCTCACAGTTTGAGGTTCTCCTGTAGAGAAGGAAACAATATAATGTTTATCAGTTACTTTTATTTACTGTCTGATGTACACCGATTTTAACTCTGTAAGGCAGCGATGGATAATCAGATACGTTGTCTAAACATCATGAAATATGTAGTTTCCAAGCAAAAATGCCTGGGTTAATCACACTGACATTTTACAAAATATAGCGGAATGGCCTTAGCCCCTTAAGGACCAAACTTCTGGAATAAAAGGGAATCGTGACATGTCACACACGTCATGTGTCCTTAAGGGGTTAACACAGATTTGTTTCCATATTGTTATACATGTTTTTGCTATTTTTAATGCTGTTGAACCAATGTTCAACAGAGCTCCCATTCATAAACTGGTGCCATTATGACATTAATATATAAGTATTTTTTTCAGAAGCGACAAACTGTGGGTGTAGGGATATACTATTTCAGTTTAAATGATTTATTTTATTTATTTTATCTACATGTATTACTTCTAGTAAGTGGTTCACTAGCAGCTACAGCTCGAAAATGTATTTATTTATGTTCTCAACTGCTGCACAAACCTGTCCGATGCTGGCTGAGAGTAATGGGGGCTATAGAGCACAGCAATAGTAATAACAAGCGCGTTGTATTTCCTTCAGTAAAATAATAAGCCCTCTATATACTCTGTACCATCCTGCATCTAGCAGATTTAAGCCATCATTTACTGTAATGTCCCTGATGATGTCATATCAAACAGATTGATTGTTTTTGGAGCATCCCCAGTAATGTGGTTAGAGGTGTATCTGTCACACAATATCCTTCTTTTATCTGTGTAAACAACATGTTCCCACTGTAAATGTGGGCACACCTAGTCATTGATCTCTTTATTTTTGGAACATTCCGTTGTGAAATCTTAAAAGTCAAAATATTGACCCATCTTGATGGAATGGATGAAAACAGAACACAATAACAGCTTACGTAATGCAAATAAAACAATTAAAATGAATTGCTTTAGTGATCACTAGCATTTTGTATTAAAGAAATCCAAAAGGCAAATCTTTGTTGGGTATATTTATTGGGATTTAAAAAAATTTATAATTTTTTTCATGTAATTTGTTTAAAGTTCTCTATACCCTCTTAACATTACACTGCTTCTTCTTGTTGGATAATAAAAATAAATAAATAAGTAGAAACAAAAAAAAGACAAAATAAACAAACATGAATTGATGATGGTTATAATGAAAGCAGTCTCTCTGAATGAAGAAGAGGGATGGAGAAATAAATTTAATTTTAGCTAAAAAAGTAAAAGACATAAACACAGATTTAAAGTTTGCTAATTTATTATATTTTGTGAGGTTTGTGTTTATATTTTATCAATGGGTAGCATATTTATATTTTCATTTTGTACATTTACTATATTACGGAATAACCAGTGTTATTTTTATTAGCATATTTAATCTTATGAATAGCAGTCTCTGGTTAATGTGAGTTGCTAACATTACTTAAATTTGCATTACATATTACATATTTATTTAATGCTCCATATTTCACATCTCAGTGAGCTCTCTCTTTGTCATCTGTAAATTTCTACACCCCAAGATGTGTCAATAAGGATGCTCTTTTTAGGGTTAATCCATATGATGTGGTACAATATAGGTTGCTTAACAGTTATGAATTTTTCCATTTTTAAAGTAATAACTTCCATGTGCTGCTATTGCAAAAATAACAGTTTTTTATTTTACTTATTTTAAATAAAGTGGCCATATTTGTGACATGGCTCACAACAAATTTTAGTTAAAGCTTTTACAGAAACCTCAATGTCTCAGCTTAGGGTGGTCCAAGCTCCAACACATATCTCTATCTCATTACAAGCTACCTATACATATATAAATATTTTGCTCAGTGATGGTCCTTACACTTAGAAGTCTTAATATAATGCCCAAGATTATTGAAAGATGCACTTTTAGGGTCATTTTATAATGACAAGTGTTTGAGTCTCAATCCTACATTTTTAAAATGTATAGTAACCAATTTTACAATTATTGAACCACATTTGAGATGGATCGACCCAGCACTGAATTTTGAAAATACTGTGGAGTATAACTAACAGCTCTTACTGATAATTTTTGTAAGTAGACAATCCATCCATCCATCCATCCATAAAAAGATTAAAATATAATAAATATTATATTAATATAATAAGTGAAATTCCTATATACCTAGGTACAGGGTTAATACCATAATGAAAGAAAGTATAAGAATTTTTTTTTTCTTTTCATAAAATAACTAATAAATAAAATATGATATGATATGAAAAATATGTCTTAAAACCCACAATCTATATTTTCACTTTTGTTCGGTAAATCCCCATGTGTTTTGTATAATTTGTCTCGGATATACATTATGTCCATATAGTAAATTAAATATTAAATAGAGTTCATTTGACTACAGTGATGGAGATTTATCAAAGTAATACCATGTGCTAAATCTGGTGCAATCACCATGGAAACCAGTGGTTCCATTAATGACGCCTCTCGTTTTAGATGTTTGAACACTTGTTCAGAGTATAACACTTTGATAAAGCTCCCCTTTTGGTGTCTAAATAAAAAAACACTTAAAAAAAAATCAGTTGTGTGAGTAGAATTGTTTTTGGAAGTCAATCTGCATTCTGTACACTGGACACACATGTTACATATACACCTTATAATATAACTGTGTAGGTAATATATATACCTTACACAATAATAATAATTCATTGCTAAGGTATACGAGTCTCTTATATTTACCCATTGGAATTCCATAAAGGATCAGAACGCATATAAGCAGCAGGTAACAGGCCATCTTGGACTATAAGTAGGCGGTCAGTCCCAAATAATAAATGTTGATGGAGCACCCCAGAGTGATACAAAGTAGATACCTTAAGGTTCCTGCTTTGTCACCTTTATATATGAAAGTGCCATCCCTATCGTGAGCAGGATCAACAGGAATGTATTGTGGTCAAGGGAGAGGTTTGTGGTCTCAACAGGTAACGTTAGAAGTAAGGTGGGGGCTCCCTTTTTCACATAAGTTTCAAGGTGGGGCTGTAGTTTCAGCGATACGTAAAAAGGTGGGAGAAACGCAAAAAAATAAGCAAACACAACAGAGGTAGAATGCCATCTGTGGTGAGGGATGACAGGCATGTTTTTATTATCTATGTTGGTGATTCAATGGTCATACCTCATTAAATGACATTAATTTTGTCACTATCAGAAAGATCAGTTGCATAAAATAGGTCCTCCTCCGCACTCCTTGTAAGAAAAACATTGGAGCCATAGATGTGTTTTTGAAGAGAACACAAAGGCCTTTGTAAAACTGAGTGATGCATCCTTCCATAATTCCACTGTAACCTTCCTTTAAAGAATCGTGAACCAAGTATATTATGACCCCATGGTGGGATGCCTATTTTAATAATTAAAGGGGGGACACACACATAAACTCCGGAGCTGAGGAGTTACAGGGAGAACAGGGGTATCTACGTCTGCGAGTTGTTTGTGCCTGCAAGAGTTATGTGTATGTTTACCAAGGTAGGGAGGTGTCCCCCTCCAGCCATGGGTCCCATATTTTGTGGAAGTGTTTGGGCGTATTGTGGATTTGGGATGTAAGCTTGTCCATTTGTACGTGGTCTTGTATTTTTTTCGTTATAAGGAATTGGGAGGGTAGTCGGTTTGTCGACCATAATTCCGCTACTGCTCGCCTCGTTGCCAGGGCAATGCGTGCGCTAAGCTTGTTTTCTGCTCTGGTCAGGGTCTCTAAAGGTTTGGAGAGCAGTAGGGCCCATGGGTCCAGAGGGTATGGTTTGTGTAAGTGTTTCGTGAGTAGTGTAGTGACGCTGAGCCATAAAGGTTTAATTTTGGGGCAGGTCCACCAACAGTGGAGGAACGTCCCCTGTTCTCCACACAGCTTCCAGCAGGTGTTAGGTGTTTTGTGGATGATTGCTAAGCGGTGGGGAGTAAGGTACCAGCGAAACAGCATCTTGTATGCTTGTTCCGCATGTGTTACGCAGATAGAGATTGAGGCCGTTGCCTCCCATATATCTGCCCAGTCAGTGTTATCCTCCGGGGGTCCTAGGTCTTTTTCCCAAGCCACTATATATGGCAAAGCTATTTGGGTGGGGTGAGTGACCAGGGTCGTGTAGAGGTCTGAGATTTGACCTCGTCTAAGTGGGTGGTGTGTGCAGTCTTTCTCAAAGCTAGTGAATGTGGCCGTGCCTGCTTGATAGATCATCGGGGTGGAGGCGAAGCTGCGTAACTGAATGTATCGGAAGTGGTCAAATGCCGTGAGAGTATCAGCGTCTTTGATTTCCGAGTATTGAATTACCTTATTGTACTGATATAGGTGGCTGAGTCTTACAATGTCTCTTTGGTCGAACTGGGCGAAGTGGACTGGAGTGAGCCCTGGTGGGAAGAGTTTGTTCCTCCAAATCGGGGTCATTGGGGAGAGATATGAGGACAAATCGAATTTATCCTGCAGTCTGTCCCATAGGTCTAAGGAATGAGTGATGGCTGGGGCAGTTGGGGGGGGTAGAGGTCGATGTGGTTTAGGGACCCACATATAGAGGGATGGGTGATCTCTGCCAAAGATTGTATGTTCAATGTCCACCCATCGTTTGGTTTGTGGCGGGGCATGCCAGTGCTGGATCTGGGCTAATTGTGCAGCTGCATAGTAGTGTGAGAAGTGTGGTAACCCGAGGCCTCCGCATTTTTTGGGGACGTAGAGTGTGTTCCTACTGACTCTAGGTTTACGTCCGTTCCAGATAAATTTGTCGACCGCCGTATGTAGGGTTTTAAGGTCAGCTTTGTTGGGAGGGACGGGCAGCGTCTGAAAGAGGTATAGCAATCGGGGAAGTAGCGTCATCTTTACAGACGTCACCCGTCCCAGCCAGGAAACTCCCAGCTTCGCCCATTTTTGCAGATCGCTGTGTGCGATGCGGAGTAACGGTGTGTAATTTTTTGCATATAAGGTGGTTAAGTCTGCTGGTAACTGGATCCCCAGATAGGTTATGGCTGTGGGGCATATTCGAAATGGGTATTTGTTTTTTAGGGCGTTTAGTTGTGGGTCGGTGAGCTGAATGGGTAGGATTTCTGACTTTTCCAAGTTCAACTTGTAGCCTGCCACCGAGGCGTAGTCGTGTATGGTTTTTAGTAGGGCTTCTATGGATTGTTCCGGGTTGGTTAGTGTTAGGAGAATGTCGTCCGCGTAAGCAGACACCGTGTATTTTTCGCCTCTGATAGTTACTCCCTCTACCTGAGGGTTGTTTCGGATTGCTTGGAGTAAAGGCTCTAACGATAAGGCGAACATGAGGGGCGATAGTGGGCACCCTTGTCGTGTGCCATTTGATATCGGGAATCTGGGTGGTGTGATGTTGGGGAGCAGGAGGGCTCCTTGAGGGGAGTGGTATGTTGCCTGCAGGAACGCGATGAAGGCGCTCGGGAAGTTCATATGTACCAGTGTGCGGTAGAGGAAGGGCCAGAGTAGGCGGTCAAACGCCTTTTCGGCATCTAGGGAGATCACGGTGGTAGGGAGTTTGCGGTGATGAGTGAGCCATATGAGGTCTATGTTTCTGCGGGTATTGTCTAATGCCTGCCTATTGGGAATGAAGCCCACTTGGTCTGGGTGTATTAATCTGTCTAGGTACGGGTTGATTCGGTTGGCCATCATCTTGCTCATGATTTTAAGATCTATGTTTAGTAGGGAGATGGGCCGATAATGTTCGGGTTCCGTGAGGTCTTTGTTAGGTTTGGGGAGTAAGCATATGTTTGCCATCGTCATGTCCTGTGGAAGGTGTTCGCCTGGCAAGGTAGCGTTGAATACGGCACAGAGGTGTTTGAGGAGTAGGGGGCTAAACTCTTTGTAGTAGAGAGCAGTGTACCCATCGGGGCCCGGGCTTTTATTAGGTTTACAAGCCCCGAGGGCTAATGCCATCTCTTCCACTGTCGCCTCTGCTTCTAAAGCTTGTTTGGCGGCTTGGGAGAGGGTAGGTAGGGTTATGTGTTGGAGGTAATTGTCTAGCCGTTCCCGGTAGGCCGTGGAGTCGTGACCGAGGTGTGATGAGTGGTTATATAGGGATTTGAAATAGTGTTGGAACGTGTCCCCGATCTGCTCAGGTATGTCGCTGATCGAACCCGTCCTCGTACGTATAGACGATATATTTTTGGCCTCTAAGCGTTTTTTAAGCCGACGGGCTAGCATGGTATCGGCTTTATTGCCTGATTCATAGTATTTTTGTTTGAGCCACATCAAGGCTTTGGTCGTGTCCGTGTGCATTAGTCGTTTGAGGAGGTCTCTGGCGGCAGTGAGTTCGCGCAGAGTACGTGGCTGTGGGTCGCGTTTGTGGCTCGTTTCGAGCTTTCGTAGCTCCGTCAGTGTCTCCGTAATTTGCTGTGTCTTCTTTTTTTTATGGGTTGACGCTAGGCTAATGAGAATGCCTCTGATCACTGGTTTGTGTGCCGCCCATAGCGTGATTGGGGACTTGGCTGATTCCGCGTTTGTGGCGAAGTAGTCCTCAATGGTTTGAGCGACTGATTGCCTGATTTGTGTATCATGGAGGAGCAGTGGGTTTAATTTCCAGGTCCATGGTCTTTTGAGGTCTGGTAGGCGTATAATAATTGTTATGTCTGCGTGGTCTGACCACGATATGGAACCTATAGAGGTGTGAGTTATCTGCGATATCAGATTTGGGGAGAGTAAGAAGTAGTCGATGCGTGAGTATGAGGCGTGTGGGTGCGAGTAGAAGGTGTAGTCTCGGGTAGATGGATGTTGTGCTCTCCAGATGTCTACTAGTGTTTGCGTGGCTAGGAAATGGGCAAAGTGGGTATCGTTTCGGGAAGGTTGTGGAGCTTCCGTCCCCCGCGATGATCTATCGATGGCTGGCATGTGTGTAGCGTTGCAGTCGCCACCTACTATCAGGCGTTTGCCTGCGTAGGCTTGTAAGTGTGTAGCGTATTGCAGCCAAAACGTATTGTGTGGGGTAGTGGGAGCGTATACCGAACTTATAGCATATGGTGTTGCTCCTATTTTCCCTTCTATCGTCACATAACGTCCTTGGGGGTCGCTTGTTCTCCTGATATCTGTTAAGGGGCATGTGGTTTTGAGTACAATTGCTACCCCCTTCGTCTTCGTGTCCGGGGAGTTGGCCATGTAGCTTTGTTTATAGTATCGGTTGGTGAGAGGGAACGATCTCGTGGGTGTGAAATGTGTTTCTTGCAGGAGCAATATGTCTATGTGTTGCCTATGTGCCCATCGTAGTAGGCCATGTCGCTTAGCGGGGGTGTTGAGGCCCTTGGTGTTAATAGAAACGCATTTCAGGGATAGTGGCATGATAATGGTCGTGCCCCCCGGTTCAGGTCCAACCGCAATCTGTGTGGTGCGTTGGCGGGTGGTGGGTCCAATGATTTGGAGGCCGAGCGCCCGGCCGGGGCTCCGCGCCGCGACTGTGGATTGGCAGGGGGGGTATGGGGTGGGAGGGAGGATGAGGGGTGGTAGTGGAAAGAGGGGGGGTAATGTGCAAGGGTGAGGTATTGGTAGTATGGGCCCTGGAGGGCCAGGCTACTGGTCTTACTCGTTGCCAGTAGGTGGTGGAGTGGTCCGCCTGACTGCTCCGTATGCGTAAGGGGTAGGTGTGGTGATGGATTGGTGGGTAGTGGCAGGTAGCCAGAGGTGCCTACAGGCCCGTTGTTGAAGTTGTTGCAATTCCTTGTAGGGGTGTGGGTTGGTCGTGTTACTTGCCAGCTCTCAGCATCCCCGGCGTCACTCCCCCCCCCTGCCACCCCCCACCAGAGTAGGGAGGCCCGAAGGGGGAGGAGCAAGGCCCCAGGTGTATGTCGCCAATAGGCGTAAAGTGTGTGTGAGTACTGTACCCATAGTCGGTCTGTGTTACGGGAGTCTCAGTCGCTCTGGGAGGCTGTGGTTTATAGTAGGGCCGTCCTCTCTAGCGTCAGTCTTCGTCTTCCCTTAGTGACCAAGGGGTGGGGCGTCCTGTGGAGTAGTCTTGTCTCCGCATGTAGTACACTGGAATCACAGTTGGAATAACATTAAGCAGAATAATGACTAGTGCAAGTCCGTTTAAAAGCATTAAAATTCTCAAAACAGGTGCGCCCCCGTTGCACATAACAGAATATAATGTTTAGATCTCAGAGAAAAGTGTTTTGCCGTGTCATATGCCGCGGGCTAGTTTTGCCATGCCACCTCTAGTATTATTCCCTTCAGGTATGTGCTATATGTGGGTATCAGTAGGTAGTGGCGTATCCTCTAATGAGTTGTTGCCTAGCCTATTCATATCGCTTCAGTTGTACTTTCTCGCTGTGATATATAGTGCCTTAGTCTTTGAAGACGGTGGCTGGTCAGAGTGGGTGATCTCAGGCCTTGGTAGCATGTGAGTTCCCTGTATTACGCTGCTTAAGACAAATATGTCGTGCTGTTGGCTGTCTGCCTGCGTTTTTGTTTTGTGGTGCATTTTTCTCTACAGTTTTTATTTTTTTTTTTTTTTCCCCTTCCTTCGTTTATGAGTTGCCGTCCCCCCCTTTTTTTTTATTATTTTTTTGTGTCGTCTCCCCTTTCCCTACCTCCCTGTACCCCCCTCCTGCCCCCCCTCCAGTTTAGGTGCGTTGTATAGAAGGTAAGGTTGTTATGAATGTGTTTCGTGCATGCGCAGGGGCCTACAGTGTGTGCTGGTGTGTGCGAGCAATTTTACAGCAAAAGCTTAACAAAAAACAAACAAAGAGAGATGAAGGAAAACATTGAGGCCAATAGAGTCTTATCTGTCCGTCGGATGGTGGAAGGTGCATCATGTCAGCGGCCTGTCGGGATCCTGAGAGTCCTGGTTGTGTGGGATTCAGTGTCCTTGGGTACTTGAGGTGTTGAGGGTCCTGTCGGTGCGCCGGAATCCGGTGGAGCTGGCCATGCGCAGGTGATTTGCTGATTGGCGTCGGTTATTCCCGAGCGTCTGGGCTCGGATCTCCCGTGGGTGGGTGGCGTCGTTGGTGGTCCGACTCGGCTCTTCCGGTCGGAGAAGCGGAGGCCATGTTGAGCCCCCCCATCGTTATTGGTATCCTCAAGGGGTATGCCCAGCTGTTCTGCAAAACTGCGTGCTTCAGCGATGTCGTGAAGAGTATGCGTGTGATTGTTTCTTCGCACTGTGAGTTTAAACGGGTGCCCCCATGTATACCGGATCCGTCTCCGTGTAAGTGCCTGAGTGAGCGGTCTCAATTCTCGTCGCTTTCGCAGAGTGCTCGGGGCCAGGTCCTGGAAAAACAATACCTGGTGTCCCTCAATTTGTAGGGGTGTATTTCGTGCCACTCTCATGATGGCTTCCTTAATATGGTAGTAATGGAGCCGTACTATCACATCCCGCGGTGTTGGCATTCCGGGGATGGGGGCCCGCAGTGCTCTATGGGCGCGATCCAGCAATAGTTCAGCTGGGGGTGCTTCTGGGAGTAGGCTGCAGAAGGTCTCCCTGATGGTGGAGGAGAGGGACTCCATATCTATGGCCCCTGATTCTTATATTATTCCGCCTGGAGCGATTGTTAAGGTCTTCTTGGGCTTCTTCAAGCCTTTTCACCTGCTCTGTGAGGTTTTGTAGTGCCTGCTCGTGGGTATTCGCTTTGGAGGAGGTGGCAGCCATCTTGTCCTCTAGGGAGCTGGTGCGTTGCACGAGGTCTGTCAGGCCCGCCCGCAGAGGTGCCAGGTGCTTAGCAAATTCCGCCGCCATATTCTCCTTTATGTCTTGCAGTAAGCCACGGAGGTCCTCCCTCGTGATGGGGGTTGTGTTCCGGTGGCTCACGTCGCTGGCTGTGGAGTCGGAGTCAGACTCCCTCTGTTCCTCCGCCCGCCGTCCCTCTTCTGGTGCGCGGGATCTGAATATCGGGGCCACCGCCGACCCCTTTGAGGATTTGCGCCCGCCGCCCATGTCCTCGGGTGCACTGAGGGTAGGTGGTTCTGTGGAGGGTGTTTGTGCGGTAGTAGGGTGGGAATTGCAGCTTATGTGTGCTTCTGCAGGGCCTGCTAGGAGCGGAGCTCTAGCAAGATGCCGCCATTCGCGCCGGAAGTCAGGCGCCGCCCCTCTTTATCTTATGTTTTAACCCCTTAAGGACCAAACTTCTGGAATAAAAGGGAATCATGACATGTCACACATGTCATGTGTCCTTAAGGGGTTAAAGAAAACTAGTTAAGAAATAAAGAAAAGAAAAACAGATACTGAGAGAGAAGTAGGAGAGGAAGCGATTGGGAAATCCCCCTCCCTCCCCCCCCACTCTCTGGCATGCTATCACACCATTCACCCCCACCTAGTGGCGGAACTATTGTTGACAGGGTCCTTGTGCAAGGCATATTTTAGTGCAAGAGTGGTGAAAATGTAGATTCTATCTGTCAGTTAACTCCACAACACTTTGCCAGCTGTGGATCTACCATTTGCCCATCCTTGCAGAGTTGTATTTGTGAGCAGTGTTTGCGCGTTTTAATATAAACATGTTTTTGTATAGAGTATGTCTGTGCATGTAGGGGTGTATTTGTATGTACTGTTACCATTGGAAGGCAGTGGTGTACTTGTGTGTAGTGTTTACATTTGAAAGCAGTGGTGTGTGTATTTGTATGTAGTGTTTGCTTTTAAATGCATGTGCGCTTTTGTGTGTAGAGTTGGTGTTTGTATATAATTTTTGCATTTTAATACAGGGGTATGTTTGTATGTAATGTTTGCATTTGCATGCAGGCGTGTGTTTGGATGTCTTTTAAATGCGGATGTACATTGTATGTAGTATTGGTGTTTGAGTGAAGGGGTGTGTTTGTATATACATTTGTAGTTTCAATTTGGGGGTGTGTTTGTATGTTGTGTTTAATTGTGTATATATACACATTAACACACAGATACACACACATGCACACACTGACACGTTCACACACCTCGACACATGCACACACCTGGTTACATGCACACACCTGGTTACATGCACATACCTTGACACATAAACACAACCTGAAACTCAGATACACACACTGACACAAACACACACATTGGTATATACACATACCTTGACACACAGATACATACACATACACACACATACACACTGGCACAAACACATTCAGATACACACTGACACACAGATACAAACAAATTGCAGCCACCCTCCTGTTAGCACACATTTTGTGTTCTATGCAGTCCCGCATTAAATGGAGTTAAAAGCGGTTGCAGCAGCAAAGACTGTGTAACAGTTTTGAGCCCCTGAGCCTACACATACTTACCTACCCCAGTTATTTGGTCGGTGGGACTGCCTGACAACCTATCCATGTCTGATATTGTAAGACCTTACTTCCAGTTCCATTCTGGAAGAGTATTCTCAGCTCCGATTCTACTAAATCCAGGTCCTTCAGGCTTACCTACCTCTATTGCAATGCAATGAAGAGTCAGGGGAATCTAACCGGAGCTGATTTAACAAAGGCAAAACCTCCAAGGAAAAAACAAACTAGCCAAAAAATCACGCCCAACGTTTAAACTTCCAGCCACTTTAACACACTCGTCATTAACCCCCGTTTGACTACAGGCTAGTTCAGCTACAGAAGTTTCAGTAGTTGTGTCTGCCATCTAGTGGTTTTACATGATGTTGCATGATATGAATTTCTCTGTTCTATTACAACAAGCATGTCAAACTCAAAGGTTAGCATGGGCCAAATAAACAAGGTTTAAGTTTATGTGGGCCACAAAAAAACCCAAACCTTACATTTTCATAGAAATGTAGGTTTGTACTCACGGGACCTAAAAGATAAGTCAAGGACCGCTTCTCCCAAACCCATCCCTCTTTGGGAGATAATTGGGAGATATACAGGATAGATGGAGTCAATAAGGCGATGCAATCCTTGTGACGCTTTTCATTGGGTGGGCCCCCCTGGATTACCGTCCCCCCTGGATTACCGTTAAGCGATGCCGGGTGCCAGAATGATGTCATATTCCGGCACCTGACATCATTAGGGAGGGCGCGCGCAAGGGAGCAGTGAGGAGCAGGAAGACTGAGCTCCCTTGCTGCCGCCACATTCCTCTCCTCCCCGGCTGGATAAATTTTAGCAGAGTAGGCATCTGCAATGTGGGGAGAGCAGGTGCCTACTCTACCTTAGTAAGCATGCGGGTCGCTAGTTTGACATGCTTGTATTACAATATTAATTAAAAGAATTTTGTTTTTGCTTTTATTATTGTGAATTATTTCTCTTAGCTACACTTCGGGTTTAGGATAATGTTGGAAAACAAATAGTTTTGTGAATATTCCCCTAGACATACAGAGCTATATATATTTTATGTTACAGGGCGTCAGTCTCATGTCCTGCTTTCTACTTCTGTATTTCTTATTACATAACTAAAGTAATTCGGTACACATAGCGTGAAAGACAAATGGTCAGTAGGCCTGATTATAATAAACATACAATATTTTCTGTTCTTGTGTTCTTGCGCCTGACACCAGCTTTCGCTATCTTTTATAAACAATCTGCACTTGATAAAATCGCATTCTTTCTAGCACCTGCAATTTTTTTATTTGGTTCCTAAATCTAAGACTGTCACGTGCATCAGTTAACAGAACTAAAAGCATTACATAATGTTATATGAAAAATTACACTTTTGGGTCTGAGACTCACACGATTGGTTAATGTTGCCGTTGATGTATAGACCCATAGACAAACTGTGATTTTTTTTATATATACACGATTTCTGATCATTAAACCTTAGAATGATTATTGATAATCCATCAGTTGTGGGACTACTTTGAGTATTCCCAGCAGCTGATTACAGAGATAAAGGGAAGCAGAAACGAGTTAGTGCATAAGTCCATGGCAACGTAAGGGTTTCCAGAGCCTGTTGTGATTTGCAGCCTAACAGCTAATTAAGCAGCTTTAAGTGTTGGTTACATAAATCAGCATTAATAATAAATAGATATTCCATTGTAATTTGCTCCTATTGATTTTGTCATGTATGGTTATAATTTAAGTACACTAAGTCAAGGTGCTAATTGAAAGGGGATCTTGCTGATCTCAGCGCAAGGTTTGCTACGTTTCTTTACCCCATATGTAGAACGTCACACTGCATATGTCTCTATTATATACGTTGGTTTTACAATACTTATGGGAAATTGATTCCTATTAAATTATCTACCTAGTAGCTCTTTCCATTAATACGAATACGAGTCCAGCGTGCTTAACCCCTAAGAACAGAGGCAATTGTACACGTTCTGATCAAAACAAAATGTAACCAAATATAATAAATTAATAGCCTGCGCTCCTGTTATGAATATATACAAAAATAAACTTTATTACATAATCAAAAATATAAAGATACTCTGAAACTACTGGTAGACACCAATAAATACACATTTCATAAGTCAAAAATCGTATACATGTATTTCATTAATATTCACAGTAATATATATAACCATGCAGGTATTTCAAAGAGATACTTTATTTTGTATTGTAATACAGCAAGTAATATACTCAAAAAACGCACGGTAAAAAAAAAGAAGAAGTCAATTGCTGTACAAAAGGTACTATACTTAGTTAGTGATCAAGGAACACAGCCACCCAGCATTTCGGCAAAAAAAGACCTTTGTCAAGGGCGAGTCTAAAGTCACTACCAGCTAGGTTTATATAGGTAAACAAAAGTGAAAAAGGCGGTAGCCCCTCCTTTGAAAAACTCTCACTTCCAACACCTGTGTAACCCTGAGCAATCACAAAGTAAACAATAAGTATAAACAATAAGTATAAACAAGCATGGTGGACTGTTGCTGTGGCAACATACACCATTACTAGACATGCGCATATCAAAATATATCATCAGTTCACCCAACCCCAATTCTATCAATGCCACAATTAAAGAATCCCATTAGGAAAAGAGGGGAGATCTTGGCGAAGACTACTGCTGAGCTGAAGAAAATAAACATTTATTTCCTCACTACGGCCATGAAAGTAGAACTATTTAAACTTAGGAGAACAAATACAGACATTACTGATGCCGCGGAGGGGCCCAGTTCTAACAATATGGCAGATTTATATGGCATGATGTCTTCCGTACTGTCTTCAAGAGGCCAGATAAACAACAGACTGGAGAGACTGGAAGCAGCCAATGTGCCAGCCATACCAGCAACACCAGTCCCTGTAGGCGGTCCGACCCTGGAACAAGGTAATATTACCTTTCTAATACCCCCACGACACACATGATTATCCCTGCCCACCTTGTTCCACCCAACATCAGAAAAGATATATTGTAAAAGAAATCCTTAAAGGGACACTATAGTCACCAGAACAACTACGGCTTATTGAATTTGTTCTGGTGAGTAGACTCATTCCCTTCAGGCTTTTTGCTGTAAACACTGTCTTTTCAGAGAAAATGCAATGTTTACATTACAGTTCCACCATATTGCCTTATTGTGTTAAGCCACCCACTACATCACAGATCACAGTACGCCCAACATCGGTGGGTCTTCCACTAATTTTAACTTGGGAGAATTACATGCTAACTTGCAATACTTACTTGCAGTATTAACTGCTTTAAGAGACTCCTCAATTTAAGCTTTCCTGTGGTCACCTCCAAAGGGGAACCCGTAGTAGATGGGTGGGATGCTCAGCCCAATAGAAATCTGGTCTGTATTCCAAATCTACACAGAAAAAAATGGGAGTGCGCCCATAAAACCTGTACCGGGATGGGAGGGGAGGGGAGGGGAGCGGGGGGCACTGTTGTACTCATAAGACATCACTGAAGACAAATATGAGTGTAAAAACTAACAGTATTATGACATTTACAGTTAAATGTCATGCAAAAATAAGAATAACAATATTTCTTCATTTTTCCCACATGCTCAAATTCCAGGTTTTATTTTGATCAGAACTTGGACAATTGTCTCCGTCCATAAGGTGTTAAAACAGTATGCCTTGTATGTCACTGAAATAATGCACTTCTCAACGTTATCTGCACGCAGCCACTAGAGGTCATTAGTTTCATAAGGTATTGTGCTGCAATGTACAAACACGAAATGTATTTTACAGCGTTTGGGCTAGACTTTTTTTTTTGGTTATAGTACTGCAATATGTGATTGCATATAGCCTACTCCTTCTGACTCTTTCTATATAGTGATTTTCCAAGAAGACCGGTGTACATTAGGAAAAGCACAACTAAAGTTTCTGGGAGTTGCAGTTTACTTCAGAGCTTTCATAACTAGAATCCTGATATCTGACGTACAAGTTCCAGAACCCTCTTAACTGTTCATAACTGAGGCTGTGCACAGAGAGCTTTAAAATGTGTTAAACAGCGTCTCTTCAATCACACAGATAGTTTGGGATTGATGGATTTATAGAGGAGAGACACAGCCAAGTTATCTCTTTTGTGTAGGCTTGTGGCTGTCACATTTCTAACCTCGGCAAATAAAGGTAAACAGCTGGACTTTTACAACGTTTACAATGCTGAGTTAAAGTGTAGGCATTATTACAACTTATTTTATTGAAGCTGTTATTGTGCCTTATATGCTCCCTGTCTGCTTTCCCCACGATGCAATCTAGTTTTGTTGGAAGGTTTGAAAGCCAGGATTCTCACTTCTGGGCTCTCATACCCAAGCATGCAGTGATGTCTGCACGCTTTGACGAATTTGGGCATCTGCATGTCCCGAACCTGCTCTTGTAATGTGTGGTGTACTGAGAGGTGAGTGATTTCACAACCAGCCCACCGCTTGCGAACACACAATGCGTGCATGAGCAGTGTTGCGTTCTGAGATTCTCATAGAGAATCCTAGCATTCAATTAGAACAATTTAATTGGCGGATCATGAGATCTGATGCTACAGTCCACAGAATCACTTGTATTATACCATCAGTCTATAAAGATAAATTATCATTTCTGCACCCATGTCAAGGACAGCATGCTGTGAAAAAATACAGATTTTAACACTTTAACAATTTTCATAGTAATATTAAAGGAACACTACAAAGTTTTCCTGACACTATAGTTTTGCAATCGCTGCTTAGGCCCCAAGCCCCCCCATTACATACTTTAAGACGGTGTAAACGTCACCTTTTTTTCCAGCGCTATGCGGGTCTGATTGTGGCTGGCCCTGCCCCCTCTCCACCTCCTTTCCAAAGGAAAGCATTGGGAGGCCTTTGTACATGCTCAGCATGCTGTGCCAATCAGAATCTCCTCTTAGAGATGCATTGTATCAATACATGTCTGAGGAATGTTCAGCTCCATGGCGACACTGAATATCAGTGCTGTACATTATGCAGCACTGACCCTGGAAACATCTCTAGTGGCCATCTGAGTGACTGCTATGTAGCGGAGTGCTAGTCTTTCACAGACTATCTCAGCTGGTAATCCAAATAAGGCTCAGGAACAAGTAATAAAACCCAAGAGAATAATATCCACGGTTTGTAAAGTAATCCAAAAGTATCCCACACGTTTCCCAATGACTGGATGACACACAGCATTAGGAACAGAACTGAACTCAGGTTTAATTTCTCATGCCTGCTTTTAAGCAATTCTCCCATGCAAGGGAGACACCCACAGTAATTATTACAGTAACCAATAAAATACATGTTACCTCCCACATATCTCCTCCCCTCAGCATGACACATAATCCATTTAATCCGTGTACAGTATTTCCCCAGTTTCTGGATGTACACCAAATACATGGGGTACACTCATAAATAGGGCATCCCCTGATAGCCCTTATCTGAGTGAGTAACATACTCAAAAATCACCCAGATCGGACCAGGGGTTCGGGAGTTATGGGAGAGTAAAGTTTTGACCGACCGCACAGGTAACAGTAGCCGAAAATAGTTCCATAAGTTTTTGCCTTGCGGTCGGTCTTGGTTCGTGGGTATAAACGTATGAAAATAACGAATGAAATGGGTGTTGCTTGCTTTCATGTGAATCCCCTTGTTCGGATGATTCTTTCTACCGAATGGCGGCTCATTCGGTTGTTTCCACACAAAGTTATGGAAGTCTGGAGGTCTCAGAGGTGTTTGCTTAGTCGAGTGTCCGATTTGGGTTCCAGATACTCGACGACCAAACACCGCTGTTCGGGAGTTAATATGGTCGCCGCCACGTGTTCGTATCCCAAATAGAACAAAGTACCGATTGCCAATTAGGGGTTTGCAACATTGTTGCGAGCGGTAATGAGAGGCACACTTATCCCTGGGGTGGTCTGATTGTTCGGTAGTTTCACTTGTATAGTAAACGGAGTTATTTTACCGAACAATCAGTCGAATGCTGCATACAATGTGAACACATAGAACAAGCAATACACGAAAGCATACACAAATTTTGAGGACAGCCTTAATGCAAACCGCTACACGCTACAAGAGGTATTTCTCTAGTAGACAGCCACTAGAGGAGACTTCTGCGAACATAAAAAGTGTTTTAAAACGACGCTGGACGTCCTCACGCTATGTGAGGACCTCCAGCGTCGCCGAAATACCCATAGGAAAGCATTGTATAATGCTTTCCTATGGGGAGGTCTAATGCGTGTGCGCGGCCTTGGTTAACTTCATTGTTTAACCTTTTGTTCAAAAAATACTCTGCTCTCGTTTGCAAACACAACACAGGTTTATTTAAAAAAAAAAAAAAAAAGAGAAATCAATCAATAAAAAAATTATTGAAAAAAACAGAGGAATTGAAAACTGAATTGCCAACTTTAAGGAGTAATGGGCCAAACCGTTTAATTAACTAAATTGGGAATTCTAAATGAAATTCAAATTTAGGGCAGAGTACCTGAACTGGAAGCATAACTGACTTGGAGAATTTTTCCAGTTCGGCGACTTTAAACTTAAAATTAAAATTTTCTTTTGAATTCTCACATTAGTAAATAACCCTGTATGGTTGAAATTCCCCTTGTTGGTGTCCGTGGTTCAATGGTTTGTAAACGGGTAGGATTACGTCCCAGATTACAGGTTATTAAAGTGGTTCCTTTTTAGACAGAATACAATGATTTGCCTGCAATGTGATACAATGTATACAATACATACTGAGCCGTCTATATATTGTTAGCAGTGATAAGATTAATGCACATAACACCTCCTAAATAAAGAGGGTCAAGTAGAAAAGACGAGGATCTTTCCCAATGGCTGAGACTTTCATAATCAATTCAAGGGGCACCAATACAAACGTGAGTGAGCACTTAACGTATTTATTAAACGGTACGTGATGATATAAGACTGAATGTGTTTATTAAACCAGTTCTGTTCCTTCCCCATAATTTGTTATATGTCAGATCAATGTAAAGTCTGGTAAAATAAATAACATGCATAATACGGGAAACGTAGGAGATTCTAACGTTTCATAATCGAGAAACAAATCATTCAGCAACCAAAGAATTAAGGGAGTGTCTCTGCTTAGAGTAACATGTTCATACACTGGCAGGAGGGAGCAGCACAGGATTCATATTCAGATACAAAAATATACAAGATTCAGCTACAAAATAGGTCACTTAGATTCCCTGAAAATGGATTCAATCAGATTCCCTGACAGTGGGCCATCACTCAGATTCCCTGACAATGGGCCGTGACTCAGATTCCCTGACAGTGGGCCATCACTCAGATTCCCTGACAATGGGCCGTGACTCAGATTCCCTGACAATGGGCCGTGACTCAGATTCCCTGACAGTGGGCCATCACTCAGATTCCCTGACAGTGGGCCATCACTCAGATTCCCTGACAATGGGCCGTGACTCAGATTCCCTGACAGTGGGCCATCACTCAGATTCCCTGACAATGGGCCGTGACTCAGATTCCCTGACAGTGGGCCATCACTCAGATTCCCTGACAATGGGCCGTGACTCAGATTCCCTGACAATGGGCCGTGACTCAGATTCCCTGACAGTGGGCCATCACTCAGATTCCCTGACAGTGGGCCATCACTCAGATTCCCTGACAATAGGCCGTGACTCAGATTCTCTGACAGTGGGCCATCACTCAGATTCCCTAACCATGTGCATTCAATTGGATTCCCTAACAATGGGCCGTCACTCAGATTCCCTGACAATGGGCTGTTATTCAGATTCCCTGACAGTGTGCATTCAATCGGATTCCCTGACAATGGGCCGTCACTCAGATTCCCTGATAGTGGGCTGTCAGTTAGATTCCGGACAGTGGGCCGTCACTCAGATTCCCTGACAATGGGCATTCACTCAGATTCTCTGACAATGAGCCGTCACACAAATTACCTGACAGTGGGCCATCAGTCGGATTCCCTGATAATGGGCCGTCACTCAGATTCCCTAACAATGGGCCGTCACTCAGATTCCCCAAAACTGGGCCGTCATTCAGATTCCCTGACCATGGGCCATCACTCAAATTCCCTGAAAATGGGCCATCAATCAGATTCCCTGACAAAGGGCTGTCACTCAGATTCCCTGACAGTGGGTCATCACTTGGGTTCCCTGACAGTGGGCCATCACTCGGGTTCCCTGACAGTGGGCCATCACTTGGGTTCCCTGACAGTGGGCCACCAATGGGACATAGAAATAGTCTCTCCCACTGCAGGATGAGTTAGGGATCATGAAGTCTGTAGGTGACTCTGATAATACATTTGCAAATCCAGTAATTATTTACTAACCTTGGGAATTAACTACCCAAGTCTTCCTGTTGATCAAAGTAATGACAGTGTAGTGAGCCGTGGAAGCTGCCATCACATTTATTCCATGAGTGTTATCAGACTCAGGTTTCACTGTGATCAGTGTGTTTGTTACACTGCACATGTGAAACAGTCACAGGAAGTCTGTTGTTTTGTATGCTTGTAAAAGACTACAAAACAAGTGGGTAAATATGCCTTTCAGTATTATTTCGTTTCGGGATGCAAATTTTGAAGGTTGATAAAATAAACACAAAATCGGATCTGAATGCATCAGGCAGGATGCACATTTGCAAATTACTGTGTACTTGCTTTTTGCGAGTAACACTTTCAAGTACTGATAGCACTTTAACAGCGCTGGCACCCAGCAGGCTAATAGTTAAATAACCCTTGGCTGTTCAAGGGTTAACGCTGAGGAGGCTAGCCAGCCACTACTTCGAAATGTACAAATAAATAAAAGACCTATGGGGGTCAATAAAACTCCCCACTTACTGCACTGGTGGCTTTTAAACTCACTTATGCCCTCAACTACTAAATGTTGAAAACTAAACTGGGTAAAAAATCTTGGGATGAGATATTCCTCCTGTGCCCCAACCAATTGGCAGACGGATGGGGAATATTAGATTAAAAAATGGGTGGTGGACAGAAAACAGGGTGGACTTCCTAATGTTAGGTGGTGGTCATGGGGCTATGTACTAAAAATGGGGGGCCTAGTGTCTCCCCAGCCCCAACCAGCCCACCCATTGGCATGTGGAGGATTCAAACTGATATGTCATGACCAGGTGAAATTGCTAAATTCCAAAATTATTATCTCCGTCACACCCTAATCTTGGCTGAATAGCTGTACTTGGATCCAATAGAAGGATTTCTGTTCATCACCTTGGTTACTTGGGAAGACCTAATAAATATAAGGTTCACCTAATCTTCAAGTCTCACTGCTGTCAACACCACTAATCTTAAAGAAACATTGCAATTTAAATGACTGGGCACGGGCATGGGATTTTTAAAAGAATAGTCCACAGTATTTTCACACAAAGTAAAGGACAACGGGGGTTATATAAATGAGTACCGATCAGTCCATCAGAATTTGGTGTAAAATAAACAAAATAACAAAAAAAAACATTTATTTTCCTTGCAGTTTCCTTGTGGCAGGAAAATATGACGAAATAAATAGAAAAAGGGGCAGCACAAAGTGGGAAACCATCCCTATATATGGAGGTGAAAGAACAAGAATAGAGACTGAAACGTAGTGTTACTATGTAGATGCGGTAGAGGTAATTAAATATCTGGTAGGGGCACGGCAAATAGCTCTTACCCCTTCCTCCATTACCGAGCCTGTTGGGTGGAAGGTAATTGTAAGGATGGGCTAGGTAGACCCCAAGCCCCCAACTAGCCAAATGATAAATGAATATATAAATCTATTTTGACATTACAATTATAGGGATATAGTATTCCCCCCAGCTTAACCCCTTAAGGACACAACTTCTGGAATAAAAGTGAATCATGATGGAATATTTCAGTCATGAGTCCTTAAGGGGTTAATAAAATAAATAAATATAAACACCCAGTTCACTCTTGGGCGGCTCCCTATCCTCAGGGTAGATGAGTAACACATGTAGGGTGGCAGTGAAGGCTGGAGGCTGTTGGAGGAATGAAAGAGACTTGTTTTTACATGTAATAGATTGTTATTGTCCTCTGTCTGCTTATTAAATTATTTTAAATGTATGTTACAGCTTTAGAAAATCACAAAGCAACCCGGTACTCTCAAGTCACCACTAGGGAACACCATAAAATGCGAGGGAGAACAGAAACATTGCTCTTTTTTCTCCTCTTCCACTATGTTCAATGGCAGCAAAAGACCACGATTAATGATGATTGACAGGGAGCTAAAAGAACCATACAAAACATATAAATACAACAGACATCATTGTGCCTCTGTCAGAGAACCAGATCAGAGAGAAATCTGTGGAGGAGTGTCACTTGTTTCTTCCCTTCTTTTTCCATATCTCTCCTTCACCTTTCTTAAACCAATTTTTATTTTAATCAATACTATATATGCTCAGTGCCCCAATTCTTCTATTTTTTTTCCATCCAATCATTGTAGTCCTCTCCTGATTTAAAATTATCTTTAAATTGGTTGGCTATTCCTGCCTCCATTTTCAGTTGAATTATAACCTGATTTTAACCTCCAGCCATGTAGAAATCTCTGTTGACTTTTAGTGTCTTGCTATTGAAAGTTTGCCACAACCAATAAATGTAAAATTATATTTTATATCGATACTTTTCGACATTTCCAATAGATGAAGGGGGACACTTTCATTTTAAGGGTGTGAGTTGGGGGTGTGGCCAGTGGCGGGGCTATTCTGAGACATTTTAGGTGGCTTACTAATAGCACTGTAAAAACAGAGAATATGAGAAAGCTTAGAGAAACTCATTGCCCATTGATTTGTCCCCACTCGGGTATCAGAAATTGTTTGGCTCGCTTGTGCCATTTCAAAGAGAACCTGTATCACTTGCATATCAGACTGATCCCACCCATAAGGGCAGTCCAAAACCGGAATGTCAGCAACCCCTCATTGCACGAGAGATACAGTCACCCTGGTGGATAGTTTTGGCCTCCTTTGGGTTACATCAGAGAGGTGGAGCTGGTATCCCACTAGGCACAATGGGCACGGGGTTCACGTCTGGAGTAGCCTTTTAACTTAGGGAGAGTCTAAGCAAATGCATTGCAACAAAAACAAAGAATTAGTGAACTCTGCGAATGGACAAACGCTTAGAGAAATTCAGTAGCTTGCCCTTTGACTAGTCCCCGCTCAGGTCTCATTTGTGCCATTACCCATACCATTTACATATCACAATGATCCGCCCACAGGGACAGTCCAGAACTGAAATGCCGGCATAGCCCTTATTAGACTTACTAATAGCAATTTATACAACTAAAATGTAATTTAGAACAAGAACAATGTATCTTATTTACAGAGTAGTTCATTGTAGTTTAAAGACACATTACTGGGAGTATTATTGCTGTGGAGCTCTGTTATAACACATTACTGTGAGTATTATTGCTGTGGAGCTCTGTTATAACACATTACTGGGAATATTATTGCTGTGGAGCTCTGTTATACATGACACATTACTGGGAGTATTATTGCTGTGGAGCTCTGTTATACACTCAGACACATTACTGGGAGTATTATTGCTGTGGAGCTCTGTTATACACTCAGACACATTACTGGGAGTATTATTGCTGTGGAGCTCTGTTATACACTCAGACACATTACTGGGAGTATTATCGCTGTGGAGCTCTGTTATACACTCAGACACATTACTGGGAGTATTATTGCTGTGGAGCTCTGTTATACACTCAGACACATTACTGGGAGTATTATTGCTGTGGAGCTCTGTTATACACTCAGATACATTACTGGGAGTATTATTGCTGTGGAGCTCTGTTATACACTCAGACACATTACTGGGAGTATTATTGCTGTGGAGCTCTGTTATACACTCAGACACATTACTGGGAGTATTATTGCTGTGGAGCTCTGTTATACACTCACATTACTGGGAGTATTATTGCTGTGGAGCTCTGTTATAACACATTACTGTGAGTATTATTGCTGTGGAGCTCTGTTATAACACATTACTGGGAGTATTATTGCTGTGGAGCTCTGTTATACACTCAGACACATTACTGGGAGTATTATTGCTGGGGGGCTCTGTTATACACTCAGACACATTACTGGGAGTATTATTGCTGTGGAGCTCTGTTATACACTCAGACACATTACTGGGAGTATTATTGCTGTGAAGCCTGTTATACACTCAGACACATTACTGGGAGTGTTATTACTGTGGAGCTCTGTTATATACTCAGACACATTACTGGGAGCATTATTGCTGTGAAGCCTGTTATACACTCAGACACATTACTGGGAGTATTATTGCTGCGGGGCTCTGTTATTCACTCAGACACATTACTGGGAGTATTATTACTGTGGAGCTCTGTTATATACTCAGACACATTACTGGGAGCATACTGCTGTGGGAGCTCTGTTATACACTCTCAGACACATTACTGTGGGGAGTATTATTGCTGTGGAGCTCTGTTATACATTCAGACACACATTGGGAGTATTATTGCTGTGGAGCCTGTTATACACTCAGACACATTGGGAGTATTATTAATGTAGCTCTGTTATACACTCAGACACATTACTGGGAGTATTACTGCTGTGGAGCTCTGTTATACACTCAAACACATTACTGGGAGTATTATTGCTGTGGAGCTCTGTTATACACTCAAACACATTACTGGGAGTATTATTGCCGTGGAGCTCTGTTATACACATTACTGGGAGTATTATTGCTGTGGAGCTCTGTTATACACATTACTGGGAGTATTATTGCTGTGGAGCTCTGTCATACACATTCCTGGGATTATTATTGCTGTGGAGCTCTGTTATAACACATTACTGGGAATATTATTGTTGTGGAGCTCTGTTATACACTCAGACACATTACTGGGAGTATTATTGCTGTGGAGCTCTGTTATACACTCTGACACATTACTGGGAATATTATTGCTGTGGAGCTCTGTTATACACTCAGACACATTACTGAGAGTATCATTGCTGTGGAGCTCTGTTATACATTCAGACACATTACTGGGAGTATTATTGCTGTGGAGCTCTGTTATACATTCAGACACATTACTGGGAGTATTATTGCTGTGGAGCTCTGTTATACACTCAGGAGTATTATTGTTGTGGAGCTCTGTTATACACTCAGACACATTACTGGGAGTATTATTGCTGTGGAGCTCTCTTATACACTCAGACACACAACCAATATGCAGCTCCTAGAAAAGAGGGACATTAGGATTTGGGCCAAAAATAGAGACGGTCCCTCTATTGGTAGGTATGTGTTTACTTACAGTCACAGCTTTACTATTCTGGCCTGAATGTTTACATTTTTCAATTCACCATTATTATTATTATTTTATTATTTAT